TGGTGCTGAGAGTTGAAGCGGAAGGGGAGATGAGGCGGACAGTGGAAGAGATACGGAGGGTGGAAGAGGAAAAGGCTTCCGTGGCCGCAACGAGGGGAGATGCGGTGGCGAAGACCATTATTATGCGAGTCTGCGAAGAAGATGGATGTGGAACGAGAAGCCAGCAGGCGTAGTGGAAAGGAGGAGCCACACGCATGCAGACCAGCTAGGATAATAGAATTGCTTCTGAAATGCTGCAGACAATTTGGTTGGGAATGCAGAATGCTGCGGGGGCAATTACCTCCGCGGTAACACTCATTGAGCTCGTTCGCACGGAAGGTAAGCCACGTGTCCAGATCGTAACAAAGGTATCTTCTCATCGCCACCGTGGTAACCAACATTTCCGAAATGGTCAACATTATTGCCTGAATGGTAATGAACAGTGCTTCCGGAATTCCTGGCTGGTAACTTCGCGTTCGAACTAAGCTGTACAGCGTACAAGTAGGGCTTGACTCAGCAAAACTGAGACTGATGTCACGGTACAGCACAGAATGCACATGAACGCTTACAAACGCAAAGCGTTACATGCAAGTATGCGATACAATCAACTATGACAACAAAATCAAGATTAAAAAAACTTAAATAAACATTCTTAACAAAGAATATCATGCAATATTTGATACTTTGGAATTTTCTTTTGTCTTTTTTACAAATTTTATAGTCTTTATGCAAAATCTGAAAAACTTACATCGATATTGTAATTTTTGTATATTGATTTAGATCAAGCTCTGAAGATTCTTAAATAAAAGTCTTGTTGAGTAAAATAATCTGCTTCATAATAGTTGTCACTATCATAGTTTTGCGTTTTGACATAGTTCGTTATTTTTTGTGGCGTTTGTTTGGTAATAATGCATTCGGTTTTTAATCAGATTTCGAGCTAGCATATGGAGTTTTAACGTGCGGAATTATAAACGCCAGTATTATAACCCGAAATGCGCATTTTGTGGAGTACATGTGGACAATCAGTTTCGTTTCGGCTGAGTCAAACCCTACTTGTACGGTGTACAGTTTAGTACGAACGCGAAGTTACCAGCCAGGAATCCCGGAAGCACTGTTCATTACCATTCAGGCAATAATGTTGACCATTTCGGAAATGTTGGTTACCACGGTGGCGATGAGAAGATACCTTTGTTACGATTTGGACACGTGGCTTTTCTCCCGTGCAAACGAGCTCAATGAGTGTTACCGCGGAGGTAATTGCCCATGCTGCGGAGTACAAATTGGGAATTGAGAAAGCTAGAGGGGGGACATGGTGGGGAGGGGGGTATGATATGGTACTGTACTTTACCAAGGGGTACAGTACAGTATATTCCGCTAGTCTGGGCTGGAGCGACACTTGGCTGCAGGGAAAGGTGACGAACTCATGCAGTGATTCGATGCATCGGGTCCGGAAGATGCAGTGCGTTCATTGTTGGCCCAGTTTTGGTGCTGATGTGGAGGTCCGTGAGAGGTTGATCCGTGTGCATTGGTGAGGGACGAATGGAGATGGAAGATTCTATTACTGGATTCGAAACAAGCATACTGCGACTACAGTGTCTGCTGCTACATTGCGTTTGAATGTTTCATGTCTAGTGTATTCCGCAGTTAGTTTTTGAAACCACACAATAAACTTCAGAAATACATTTCGATTCCTCGAGATTGTCGCACTACGCGCCGTGTGCTCTGTTCATTACACCGAATTCAGCTGAATTCTCCGCCATTCTTCATTGATTGCCCAGCTCGCAGGTTTTCTTCACTATTTTGGCACTAGAATTCACGGACATGAGTGAGCCAGAGACTCGATGTGTAAGAGGCTGCTGCGTGAGCACAACAGTGAAGCTGAACGTGCCTAAAGCAGAGATACAGACAGGGCCGCTTATTGCGAAGGGTAAGAACGTAGACAGCTATTCAAGTATTGGTCTTAGAGGAGATAAGGTTGCTTGATCAGGCGGACTGAGTGTGAAATGCAGGCCCGGAAAGCAGCGTATATGAAGGGTCTTTTTTGGAGCAGCCAGTGGCCCTGAAGAAGCCACGGTTGTCAACATCCGAGGATATGGATCGATTTCACAAAGAGCTAAAGCTCCTAAGGTATTGCATCTGAAATTCTCCTTGTAAACTCATTTTGCAGCATTGAACCACGCTCACATTGCATCATTGCTTCCGTCTTTCCGTGTGAAGCTCGCTCAAGCATCCCCACATCGCCACGTTGCTTGCTGCTCGAGCTTATCCTCCTGAATACATCCTGGTTTTCACCCTTTATCGTGGAGGGAACCTTCATGAAGCACTCCACACGAAGCAGTGGAAGCCAAGTGTGCTGGACATCCTTCGCATTGGTTATCAGGCTGCTCAAGCACTGGCGTACGTTCATTCGTTGGGGGTTGTACACCGGGATGTGAAACCATCCAACATCCTGGTATGGCTGTGTTCAAGTCCTTTTCTGCTGAGATTCTATGGCGGTAACGTTTTCTGACAGATGCGTAGGGATCTGATGCAGATTGATGACTTGGGCAACGCATTTCTGTCAGACTTTGGACTTGCTGCACACTCCAGCGAGCTCCAAAAACACTCTGCTGCAAACTGGCAGTCATCTGGGAAACCAACAGGAGGTTTTCACAAGAAAAACATGGTTGGAACGTTGAGGTGAACGCATTATATGTTTCTGCCTTCAGAGAGAACGCATCGGCAATTGCCGTACAATGGTTACATGCCCACGTGGACTTGCAGGTACATGGCTCCTGAAATCCTCGCCAAGGATGTTCACACCTTGAAATCAGATGTTTACAGCTTCGGCGTCACGTTCAAGTATGTCTAGCTGCAATCAATTCGTTTGCTTTAAGCAATTTTCGTGTAATTCCACCATTATCTCGGCTCCTTTTGACATCCTCCTTTCAGTGAGCTTGCCACAGGCGTCATCCCTTACTCTGACTGTACAACTGATGTCCAGGTAAAAGCCTTCTGTTTTGATAGCATTCTAACCATTGGCTAGGCATAGCTACATAACAGACACAATATTGTCTTTCTCCTCACCGCTTGCACTGTTGTCCAGGCTCACACTGTGTTGGAGATGGATTATTCTGAACAGCAGCTGGCTGCAGCTATTACCACATTCAATCTCAGGCCAAATCTTCCTGGAATAAGTGGTCCAGTCACGGAGAGACTGCGGAGCCTCATTGGGAAGTGCTGGCATCCGAACATTGACTCCCGGCCTTCAATGTCAGATGTTGCGCATGACATTGAGAACATTCTCTCAGGAAGTGTGCCCTTTTCAATAGACCATATCCAGCAGCCAAACATAGTGCACAACCAGCCAGATCCTTCTCAAGCCTCTCCACCTGAAGAGATTTTAATTTCCAAGGATACTGTGCTGCCAAGCAAGGTTGCAGACCTTGCCAAGCAGGCAACAGCTCATGCATCAGCTATTTCCATTGGGTCTTTTGCAACAAGTGGTGCAAGAGAGAAGATGGAAGATCGGCATTTTATCAAGGCATTCACTGTTGCATCTTCCACAATTTATCTGTTTGGGGTTTTCGACGGTCATCGAGGTATGCGTTGCTGAATCTTCACATTTTTGCAAGCTGTTAATATAGTATTGAAATGACTTTGAAGAATGCATCCGGATTGCTTTACAGGGTATGAAGCTGCAGAGTATTGTGCACGGAACATCCCTGGAATTGTAATGAACAAGCTTTCTGATCTCAGGTGGGTGCTTTCTTGGCACACAGCTCCCATTTCCTTCCGCTACATCAATGTTGACATTTCAACTGTTCTTCAGATATGCCCACCCCACCCCTTCTCAACCTCCCCCCACCCCCCTCCCCTCCCCACAACCTCCTCCTTTTCTCACCCCTGTCACCTGCATCTGATTTCCAGTCCTCCTGAGGCTCTCACCGCGTCCTTTCTGGCAATTGACAAGGCCTTGGAATCAGAGCTGAGCAAGCAGCGGAAGGCTCGGCCTGATAGTGGCAAGGGGTGGTACCCAGGGTGCACAGCATGTGTGGCCCTTGTGATTGGAACCGACATGTACATTGCCAATGCTGGCGACTGCAGAGCTGTTCTGAAGCAGTCTGGAGAAGTGAAGGCATTGTCCCGTGTATGGCCTTATCCATCTGCATACCTGTGGTTTTGCTGACGTTGCAAGAACAGACTGCATGTAGTGTTTGTGAAGCCTAGCCGTTGTGCTAACCCCCACTGTTATGCCTGTCCCCAGGATCACGTCGCTAGTGACCCAGAGGAGCGCGATCGAGCTGAGAAAGCAGGCGGTTTGGTGCAGTGGCGAGTCAACACGTGGCGTGTGGGAATTGCTGGAATTGAAGTGAGTCTCGTTCATGTATTTCAGCAGGGGGTTAGCATTTTCAGGTGTTGGTTCCATCTACCAATGATATTGACATATCATGGTGTTCTGTGTGTAGGTTACTCGATCATTGGGCGATCATGACATGAAACCTGCAGTGACAGCAGAGCCAGAAGTTACCCACCACAGGCTCACTGAAGACGATGAGTTCCTGGTGAGTGTAGGCATCACCTGCGTGTGTGCTTGTGTGTGGACTGCTTTCTTTGAGTATGTGGCGACAACATCACATACGGTAACCCGCAACCACCCTCCCACCCTCGACTGTGTTTTGCAGGTCATGGCGAGTGATGGGCTGTGGGAAAAGCTAAGCAATGAAGAAGTGGCACAGTACGTGCTAGACACTGTAAAGGAGCCCTCAATGAGCAGCAAGCGGCTGGTGACAGAGGCAGTGGACCGGGGCAGTCAGGATAATGTCACAGCTATTGTAGCATACCTGAAGAATGTATCCACAGTGGAAAGGATTTACTAGGTAAGAGCTGATGTGTATAATGGATCTACTAGTCGCAATTTGCAGTCATGGACAAACCAAACAAGCTAATGCGAAACTGAACCAATGGCACAGTCGGATTGCTGCTACGTGGCTACACTGACAACAAGAAAGAGATGCAACGCAAGTGCTTTTGGCTCTACGTCAGCTGCTCTTCCTCCTCCCCAGGAAAGCTGCTAAGGTCGCCTGTTTTACTACCTTTTTGTTCCCTGTGGCCTTGGAAGGCGCCCCAATTGGCTCCCTATTCTGCTTATGAAGCACGTGTGCTGCTGCTTTCACATGCTCCGACGACCCTGCAGGCTGGTCCACGTGTACCTGCTTCAAGTCACAGAATGGAAACATAGCCAGCAAGTCCGTTTAGTCACTGTTTGCTATAAAAACTGCGTGACTGCATGGTAATACGCTCTCTGGATTCCCAGAATACGTACCTTATCAGTGATTTTCACTTTCTTGGCAGGAGAAGCTGACCATCCCCTCTCCATCTCCCTGCTCCGGTTCACCTCCCTCAGCACATCTGACTGCTTTCCACCACTACCATAGGGGAACCCTGCTATTCTATTGGCAGCAGCTCCGGCGAGGACTGGAGACTGCAGGGGACGGGTCGGCGTGTTCATAGGCAAGGGGGTGTGATGATGCGAGTAATCCTTGTCCTCTGCTAGTGGAACCACCAGGGGACAGAACCTCGTACCGGCATCAGCAGCTGAAGACCGTGCAGCAGTTGCAGAGAGAGGAGCAGGAGATTTATAAACAGCAGGAGACTTATCAGCAGCAGGAGACTTGCAAGGAGCCGGAGGTTTATGAGAAGCAGGAGATTTATGACCAGGAGTGCAGAGACCAGCACTGATGGCAGGGACTCGGGTGCTCTCTGTCCCGTAGAGTTCTGAGGACAGGCGCTTCTTCTGCATTGCTTTCGCCTGCTGTTGCTCCCTCTGCTGTTGGTGGTGTTTCGGCACCTGAGGCGACTGCAGTTCCTGCACCGTGAAACCATCTTCCTCTGCCCCCACTGCCCCGCACCTTCCCCTTCCTTGGAAACCCATCATAGAAGAAACAGCATCTGTGCCTGATGCCCCCATTCTTCCTTTGCTAGTTGCCCCCACACTCTGCTGCGCTTTAAGATAGAGAGAAAGCTCCTCTCCCTCCAGCACCACCGCACCACCTCCTGACCCCCCCTCACTCCCAGTGCTGATCCCAGACACAGCATCTCCGCTGCTGGAACTGCCTTCGAGGATATCATCCAGTCGTTTCCGCTTCTCAGCACCATTCCCCTTCTCTTGCTTTTCCTCACTTCCCTCTCTCACACCTCTCTCCTTACTCCCCTTCCTCACCTCCCCTTCACCAGTCACCAAGTCACCCTTCAGGGAATTCTCGAGGTGGGATTTCAGCTGGTCTAGGCTCTCCCTCTTGCGCTTGGTTCTTTCCCTCTCTGCATCCATACTCAAACTGCCATGCCTGTCGATCACCAGGCCTGGGACTGAACCTGCCGTCTTGGCTGGGACCGAAGCTGCTTTTTGGCTCGGGGTTGCTGCTGTCGGCCTAACTGGGACCAGACCTGCAGCAGCAGCAGGAGATGCGTGCGGGAGCGACGGCAGGAAAACAAGCTGCGATTTCGGCGCTGAGTGCACATCCACGTGTTCCGCCTTGTGCCTCTTTTTTACAGACTCACCAGCAGGCGAGACGACAGGGTCAGATGAAACAATCGGATCTGACTCCTGCGTGCCGCCCATTCCCGCTCCACCAGCCTCTCCCATGCCTACACTACCTCCCACACCTCCTATTCCCCCTCTCCCTCCACCTGCTCCTGAACCCCTTCCTCCTCCTGCCCCTCCTCCACCTCCCCCTCCCCTACCGGTGGCAGGTTTACGCAGACCAGACCATGAAACCAGAAAGCTGTCTCTGCCCCCATCCTCCTTCCTCTTCTCCTTCCCCTTCCCCACGTCTTGCTTGCCTTCCGTCGCCTGCCCTTCAGCCTGCTTTCCGTCTCCTAGCTTCTCCTTCTGCTTACCCCCCTGAGACTTTCCAAGAACCCCCCACGCAGACACCATTGCCCCGGAATGGCAGTGCTTGTTGTGTGGTCTATCCTGGATGTGGTGGCTTGGGTCTCCCCCCATCTCCTCCTTTTTCCTTTCATGTTGATGAGAGTCATCATCGTTACTTCCACCAGCAGCAGCACCACCACCACCAGCAGCTGCAGCATCAGCAGTACCAGCACCAGCACCAGCACCATTATCAGCAGCAGCAACACCAGAGGCACCACGAGTGGAAGCAACAGCAGCAGCTCCAGTCCTCAACCCGCGATTGGTTCCCCATTTGTTGGAGAAGATATTTGCTCGGGAGAATTCGTATGGAATGTCCCACCGCCATGCCACCTCCTCTGCCACGTGGGTCAGCACCTTTGTCAGCACATTTGCCGACGGCCAATCAAGACGCGCCAGGTTATACGCCTTCTCGATTTCAGTCTGAGGTTTTGGTTGAGAGGTCGAGGGGGAATGGGAGGGGGTGGGGAGCGTATATGTCAGGTAGAAGGGAAGGTTAGGATGTCAGGGGATGGGGATGAGGAAGCTAGCAAACGTTCCAGTGAGGACAGGAGGGCAAGACTTAGGGAGGAATGAGAAAGGGGAATGATGTAGATAGATAGAGTCTATGGAAGGAAGAGTGAGTGCAGGAGTGGAAGACATAGGGAGTGAGTGCAGAGTGAGAAATTAGTGTTTCTGAGGAGGTCCTATTTTGAGACATTAAGAAAGGAAAGAGATCTCATCCTGAAAAAGGCTGCAAGGATATGGGGATACGGGAGGGATCAGATAGGGTGGAAACTAAGAGGTGCGGAGAAAGTCTGCATACCTGTCCTTCCTTGTGTACACAGTTGGAGTAAGCGTCATCGTACTTTTGTGTGAAGACAAAGTGAGGGTCCGTCCTGACAGGTGAGAGCGCACGAATGCGTGGGACAAAGGGGGGTTTGGCACAGAAAGAGAGAGCTTGAGGGAGGGGGTGTCTGATAGTGCAGCTGGCACAGGCTGCATCGTACTTGTATGTGAAGACAAAGAGAGAGGGTCGATTCAGAGAAGTGAGAGCGCACCAATGCATGAGACAGCGGAGGCACAGAAAGGCACAGAAAGGGGCACAGAAAGAAAGGAGCTTTGAAACGTCGCGAAACTGAAAACACGTGAGAGAGCAACAATGAGTGGGACATAGATTGGCACAGGAAAAGGGGCTCTAGAATCTTTGCTGCCTGGATCCTTATGATCTATATCCTGGACCCCTCCTTACCCCCTCCCCCCTCTCACCCTCATCTCCTTCTCCCCTCCTTCCCCTTCACCATTTCCACTGCCCTTTTCCCCATCCCCCTTCCCCTTTTCCTTCTAATTCCCCACCTCCTTCCACTTTCCCCCGCCTTCCCCCATCTCCTACCTGAGCCCTGTAACATCAGTGGGCGAACAGCCCACCTCCACGGCTGCTTTCAGCCAATCGGCTGCTGCCTCGTCATCCCACCACGTGGGAAAGCGCAAGCTGGCAGAGGAGGAAGTGGGAGGGGTGAGGGGAAGAAGAGTGAGTGATGCTGGAGAGGGGGGGAGGAGGGGAGGGAGGAGGAGGGAGGAGAGGAGGAGGGGAGGAGGAGGGGGGGGGAGGGGGGGGAAGGAGGGGGTGAAGGAGGGGAGGAGGAGGAGGAGGAGGAGGAGGAGGAGGAGGAGGAGGAGGAGGAGGAGGAGGAGGAGGAGGAGGAGGAGGAGGAGGAGGAGGAGGAGGAGGAGGAGGAGGAGGAGGAGGAGGAGGGGGAGGAGGAGGAGGAGGAGGAGGAGGAGGAGGAGGAGGAGGAGGAGGAGGAGGAGGAGGAGGAGGAGGAGGAGGAGGAGGAGGAGGAGGAGGAGGAGGGGGGGGGGAGGGGGGGGAGGAGGGAGGAGGAGGAGGAGGAGGAGGAGGAGGAGGAGGAGGAGGAGGAGGAGGAGGAGGAGGAGGAGGAGGAGGAGGAGGAGGAGGAGGAGGAGGAGGAGGAGGAGGAGGAGGAGGAGGAGGAGGACGACGACGACGACGGCGGCGGCGAGAAGTGCAAATAGCAGCAAGGAAATAGCACCAGAATGAAGCAGAGAGACAAGGATTAACAGAGAGGCGGTACACCGTTTGACAACAGACAATTAGAGGATGGTAGTGATGGTGGGGTGCTCAAACACATCTGGCGAGGGGAGAGGAGTCTATTCACAAGGCGCCTAACAAACAAGTCGTCACCGAGAGGGGGCGCACCGTTTGACAACAGGTGAGGAGAGAATGGTAGTGATGGTGGGGTGCTCAAACCCCTCTGGCTTGGCTGCTCCTGCTGCTGCTAGCACTCTCACCACAGCTCGCATTTGCAGCCGACTGTAATGGAGGGAGGGGGAGTAGGGGAGGGTGAGAGAGGAGAGGCAGAGAGGAGAGGAGAGGGAGAAGGATTGCGTGTTAGCCGGGTGAAAGGTGAGGTTAGAAGGGGATGTAAAAGTGGATTACACTCTTTGAGAGGGGTGAAGTGAAGGGTGTAGAAATTTCCCTCCCCTTGCCTTACCCTCTCCTCTCCTCTCCTCTCGGTGTACACCTCTCTGCACTCCTTCATTACCTCACTGCACTCCTTACGTACCTCTCTGCACCCTTCACGCATCGCAGGCGGAACGCCACAGAGCTCATAGCAGCCCGTGCAGCAGCAGGCAGCTTCTCCCCTGCTGCTTCCTTCGGCCAAAGCTCCTCCGCCTTCCTCCCCTCCTCCTCCGCAGCCGCAGCAGCAGCGCCAGGATGATTGGCAGCAGCGTACGCAGCAACGGCAGCGCTCAAGACAGGATCTGCGAAATCTATAGTTCGGTGGTGTGGTTTGGACTTCTGCCCGCGCAGAGCCATGTCTAGGCTGAGTTGGTGTGACTCGGGGAGTGCATGCACGCTGCGGTAGACGCTCACTAGAGCCGCTGCCACCTCTGCTACCTCCTCCTCTGACCGCTGCTGCAGCTTTGCTGCCTGCCTTAGGGCGTCTGGGGGGACAGACAAGGGGACACGCGAGAGGCGGGAGGGGAAGAAGAGGGGAGGAAAGAGGGGAGGGGGGAGTGGAGGGGAGGCGGAGAAAGGGGGGAGTTGCAGGAGGGTACGGACAGACGGGAAGTGGGGAAGTAGTTGAGTTGGTGTGACTCGGAGAGGGCATGCACGCTGCGGTAGACGCTCACTAGAGCCGCTGCCACCTCTGCTACCTCCTCCTCTGACCGCTGCTGCAGCTTTGCTGCCTTGCGCAGCTCGTCTGGTGATGGGCAGGGGAGAGGGGACGGTGGGAGAGAGGGGCCGGGAGAAGGGTGGTGAGAGGAGGGCGAAGGCGGGGAGGATAGGCAGAGGAGAAAGGAGGATAGGCGGAGGAGGGAGGGAGAGGTGGAAGGAGGGTTGCGGGATACAGAGAGGTGCAATTGCTATGGCACGGTAAAGTGACTCATCATCGCACACTTCGCCTCACCTTGCTCCAATACAGAGTTGAAGCACGCACGTTTCTTTTACCGCCTTCTCTCACCTGCTCGCCCCTACTCTTTTTCTCGCCCCAACTCTCACCTGCTCGCTCCTACTCTCATTTTCTTGCCCCTGCTCTCACTTTTCGACTCACCTCCTGCCAGTGTAAAGAAGAACACATTTCATTCGAGCTTTGAAACTTGAAGCACCTCAGAAACAACCTGATTGCCCCGCACTTCAACTCAACTGCTGGCCCTTTTCTCGACTCACCTCCTTCCAGTGCAGAAAAGAACACCTTCCATTCGAGCCGTTTGATCTCTGCTTCGTTCCACGGCCGCACCTTCTTCACCCCGCCTTGCCCTTCCCTCTTTGCCTTCCTCACTGCTCTTCCCCCCTCGCACTCGCCCCCACTCACCCCATCCTCTCCAACCCACGCCCCATCCTCTCCCGACCCATCATCCCCTCCTATTGCGCCTCTCCCCCTCTTCCTCCCCTTCCCATCCCCCTCCTCCCTACTGCTCCCCTCCCCACTTTCAGACTCCCCACTCTCTCCACTCTCCCCTTCCTCCGCCTTCCCCTTCTGCCCCACTCCCCTTCCGCCCCCTCTGCACCTCCCGTTCCCGTCCCTCCTCCCTTTCTCACACCTCCCTCCGCATAAACCACTTTCTTCCTCCTCCTCTCCTCCCGAGCCAACGGCATAAACCCATCCAGCGGAGATTCTTTTGCTGCCCGAGCTGCCCGGCAGGCCTCGGGCAGCAACTCTTCCCAAAACTCCGCGCCTTGCTTGATTGCATTCCCATCTGCCCCCCCTCTACAAGACCGGGTACTCCTTTTGTTGCTGCCACCACCAGCAATCTCATTCTCATTCTCATCTCCAGCACCCCCACTACCAGTCCCCCCTCTTTCAGGACTTCCCCTGTCCCCGTCTGGATTCTCATGATCCTCCTCTGCTGCTTCCTCTGGCCCCTCGGGTTCCTCTGAAGCGAAAGTGGCTATAGAGAATGTGCTTGTACCGGATCTGCAGGAGTAAGACGAATGAGAGGAACGTGAGGCAGAAAAAAAGCGAAGAGAATGGAGCGAAGGAGGGGGGTTAGAGAAGGAAGCACGGAAAGAGGATTTGGCGGTTACAGAGGGGGAATATGGCAGGACGGGATTTCGGTGTCTCTGCATCCCCCTGTTCCTGGTTTCCTGCGTTTCCTGGGAGTTTTTGAGAATCCTAAAATACTCCCAGTATCTCTGCATCTCCTTGTTCCTGGTTTTCTGTGTTTCTCTGTTTGCAGTGTTAGTGATTCTGGGTTTTTTTCTGCAATGCGCCAACTACTCACCCGCCAACTGCTCCAGGATCTGGTCAATGTTCTCTGCTGTGAACCGCACGCTGTCCTCTACTGCCCCAAGGGCAGGGTGTGTGCCTGACTGCCTCAGGGTGTGTGCGTGCCTGCATCCCTCCGAACTCACCCGCCAATGGTGCGTGTCTGTGTGCGCTGCTCCAGGATCTGGTCAATGTTCTCTGCCGTGAACCGCACGCTATCCTCCGCAGCCCCAGGACCAGTGCGTGCCTGCCTGTGTGCCCCAGGACCAACACCCTCCCTCACCACTCACCCGCCTATCGTGCGAGTCTGCGTGCGCTGCTCCAGGATCTGGTCGATGTTCTCTGCCGTGAACCGCACGCTGTCCTCCGCCGCCTCGTCTTTGAACAGCTCATACGCGCCGTGCTGCAGCAGACTCTCGATATCCTTACTCTGCTCCGGATTCTTCATCCCTCCTCCCCCCGAGACTCCCCCTCCCGCCCCTCCTGCTCCCCCCACGCCTTTTCCCCCCTTGCCACGCCCCCCTCCCTTACCCCCACCGTTCCCCCCACTCCCGCCATCCCCTCCCCCCTCGCCTGCCCCTTCTTCTTCTCCACTACCCCCGCTGCCGCCCTGGTAGTTGCCCAGAATGGCTTCCTCTAGGCCGTACTTGCGCGAGGCACAGTCAAACAGCTGCTGCTCGTACGTGCGGTGGGTGATTAGGCGGTACACTTTCACGTCCTTGCTCTGCCCGATCCTGCGCACGAGAGGTGAGAGGGAAGGTTGGGGAGGAGATGGAGGTTTGAGTCGACTCATAACGGCTTCACCTCGTTATCAGCTGGTAGACTTTCACGTCCTTGCTCTGCCCGATCCTGGGAGGGGGAGGGAGGAGGAAGTGGAGGAGAGAGGGCAAGGGTGTATTGAGAGGGTTGAGAATACACGAAAGAGGGTGAGGGGCATGTGGTGCGGTTGAGGGGGGCACAATGCGATACGTGGTGAGAGGACGAGCGGGAGAAGGGCAAGAAGGAGAATTTGGGTCCCACCTGTGGCAGCGAGCCATGGCCTGCAGGTTGTTCGGCATTGCAGCACGTTAGCATACCTGCGCACTGCACCACGCCCCCCATCCCACCTGCTGCACCACAGCCCCCATCCCACCTGTGGCAGCGAGCCATGGCCTGCAGGTCGTTCTGAGGGTTCCAATCCGAGTCGTAGATGATACACGTGTCCGCCTGCCATTGGGGGGTGAGTAATTGAGTGAGTAATCAAATTCAGTGAGCTATCAAATGATTGAAAAACTGAGCGACTGAACAGTGAGTGTGAGAGCGAGGGGAGTGAGCGAGCGGGTGAGCGAGGAGAGCAGGAGCAGGGGTCGTACAGCAGTGAGGGTGATACCGAGCCCGCCCGCCTTGGTGCTGAGCAGAAACACAAAGGACGCACAGAGTGATTGCGCGAGTGAGGGAGAGAGTGAGCGAGTGAGCGAGTGAGTGAGTGAGCAGGTGAGCGAGTGCATGAGGGAGGGCAGGGTCAGGGGCCGTACAGCAGTGAGGGTGATACCGAGTCCACCCGCCTTGGTGCTGAGCAGAAACACAAAGGACGGGCTGCCTGGCGCTGAGAAGCGGTCAATAGCCGCCTGCACAAGTGTGTGTCATGGGGATGGGGTGTGAGGTGGGGGAGAGGGAATGGGGTATGAGAATGGGGAATGGGCTGCCTTGGTGCTGAGAAGAAATACAAAGGACGCACTGCCCGGAGCTGAGAAGCGGTCAATAGCCGCCTGCAAAGGTGCATATCGTGAGGGAGGGGGATGGATGAGGTACGAGGAAGGGGGAACGACAGGATGAGGCATGAGGATGAGTAAAGGCAACGCAGTGCGGGCCGAAGTTTTGAGACGTCTCGAAGGCAAGGCCGTGCAGGCTGCAGTGGGCGGTGCTGAGAAGCTGTCAGCAGCTGCAAGCAAAGCAAGTCGATTCTTGGGTCGACTCAAAAATCAGCTGCAAGCAATGCAGAACGCACGCACGCACTTGGCGCTGCTCGCCCTTGATGGATCCGTCGCAGCTTGAGACGTGTCAAAGAACCAAGACGCTACTTACTTTGAACGTCTCAACACACACGCACCTGGCGCTGCTCGCCCTTGATGGAGCCATCAAGTCGCTCGTAGATGTGCCCGTTGGCCGTGAGATAGTCCTCCAGCAGGTCCAGCATTATCACGAACTGCCCACCAGCACATGGATCGAGGGAGAAGAGGAGAGGGGGGTTGGGGGGTGGTGGGTTGGGCGGATTCAAAGGAGTGGAAGGATGAGGGGAGAGGGGCGGGCGAAAGGTCAGTGAGATAGATAGTCCAGTAACCTTTCGCCCTTGGCGAAAGGTTACCGGCCGGTCCAGTATTATTACGCACTGATGTTGCGTGGTGACCCGCCAATGGAAGGCACCAAAGTGAGGAGAGGACAGGGTGTCACCTGGGAGGAGATGAGCACGCGGTGTCCCGCTGTCTTGAGCTTGGTACGTGCTAAAAGTGGTAAGGGGGGAGGGGTTGCAGGGGGGATTTGAGTGGTACCCACGTGCGAGAAGATGAGGACGCGGCGGCCGGCAGTCTTGAGCTTGGGCAGCAGCTCCATCTTGCCGCTGCCGCTTGTGGGGAGAGGCGCAGGGAGAGCGCAGGCACACCAGAGCTACACGCACCTGGGAGAAGATGAGCACGCGGTGGCCGGCAGTCTTGAGCTTGGGCAGCAGCTTATCCAGCAGTACCATCTTGCCACTGCCGCTTGTGCGGAGAGGCGCAGAGGGGCGCAGAGGGGCGCAGAGGGGCGCAGAGAGGGCGCAGGGAGGGCGCAGGGAGGGCACAGGGAGGGCACAGGGGCAGCAGAGCGACACCCACCTGGGAGAAGATGAGGACGCGGTGACCCGCGGTCTTGAGCCTTGGGGCGTGTGGAAAGTGGCAAGGGGGGAGAGGTTGCAGGGGGGATTTGAGCGACACACACCTGGGAGAAGATGAGCACGCGGTGGCCGGCCGTCTTGAGCTTGGGCAGCAGCTTGTCCAGCAGCACCATCTTGCCACTGCCCTGCACCAACATGCGCTGCCTTATTGCCTCCCCATCCACTGCGCCCCCCCCTGCTGCTGCTGCTGGGGGTGTTGCTGGGGTTGCTGCTACTAATGCTGCCGGGGGTGCTGCTGTTGCTTCTGCTGCTGCTGCCGAAGGTGATGTGGGTGCTGATGTTGCTGGGGGTTCTGTGGGTGGTGGTGATGCTGGTGATGATGGTGCTTCTTCCACAGCAGGGGGAAGAGCAAGCGCAGTACCATCCGCATCAGCAGCAGCAGGAGAGTCGGCAACTGGTGGCGCCAGTGCCAATGGGGCCGCTGTAGCAGCACCAGTAGCAGCTGTAGCAGCAGAGGCAGCAGCAGGAGAGGCTGCAGTAGCAGTGGCAGCAGCGGCGGCTGTGGCAGCAGTGTAGGCCTTGAGAACCATGTCCTCCTCTAGCCCGTTGCACAGGAACGGGTGGTTGCACAGCTTACGCAGCTCCATGGCCTGATGGGAGGAAGGGAAGAGATGAGTAGAGGATCAGGAGGCGTGTCAAGGCAGGCTGACTAATTGGTGGTTGCACAGCTTGCTCAGCTCCATGGCCTGATAAGCGGATGCGGAGAGGCGGAAATGGGGAGACGGTGGTAAACGGGAGGGGCGGATGGGGCGCCGCAGGCTCTTCTCCACGTCCTCCTTCATCTCATCCTTCTTCCCCCTTCATCCCTCCCACAAGATCCAGTGTGATACACACGGCAAAATCTCTTACCAGTAACCACCCCTGCCCCTCTCCCTCTCCCCCTATTACCCTCCCCCCTTATCCCCGTACTCACCAGGTTTCTCAGATTCGGCAGGTTCTTGTTCGAAGCTCCTTGAAGCAGAGTGCCTTCCGATACAGTGCTTGATAATAGCGCCGCTGGTCGCGGGTCAGCTCCACCCACACGATCACCTCCTCCTTGCGCGGTAGGCTCTTCTCCACGTCCTCCATCCTCCTTCACGCTTCATCCTTCATCCCATCTCCACCCATTCCCCCACTACCCTTCCCGCAACATCCCTTACCTCATCCTCACCAGGTTTTTTACCAACAAACACCCCTGTTCTCTCCCTCTCCCTGTTCCCCGCTCACCAGGTTCCGCAAATTCGGCAGATTCTTATTCGAAGCTCCTTGAAGCAGTGTGCCAATGCGGTTGCGGTAGAGAGCTTGGTAATAGCGCCGCTGCTCTCTTGTCAGCTCCACCCACACGATCACCTCCTCCTTGCGCGGCAGGCTCTTCTCCACGTCCTCCTTCATCCTTCACCCATCTCCACTCTTCCCCTTTCCATCTCTCCTTCAAGATTCCTTGCCTTACACTTGGCAACCTTCTTACTGCCAACCACCCCTGCAGTCTCCCTTCCCCCTACCCTTTCCCCCTGCCCCCACTCACCAGATTTCGCAGATTCGGCAGGTTCTTGTTCGAAGCTCCTTGCAGCAGCGTGCCAATGCGGTTCCGGTAGAGAGCCTGGTAGTAGCGGCGCTGGTCTCTTGTGAGCTCCACCCACACGATCACCTCCTCCTTGCGCGGCAGGCTCTTCTCCACGTCCTCCTTCATCCGCCGCAGCAGCCTCGGCCGAAGCACCTCCTCCTGCAGCACCCGAACCTGCTCCGCGTCCGTGATGTTGCCGAACCTGGCCAGGAAGTCTGCCTCGTCGCCGAACGTGGCTGGGTCGAGGACGTTTAGCAGACCACTGGGTGGGGGACGACACAAGGGATGGGAGGAGGGGGGTAGGGGAATATGGTGGGAGGGGGGGAGGGCGAAATAGGGTGCAGTTGACGGCAGATCAGGCGAGGGGCAAGCGGGAGTGCGAGTGAGGAGAGTGGGCGTATGAGAGAAGGGAGTGGCTGGGAAGGGAGGGCGGATGAGGGGAAAGCGGGTGAGGGAAAAGCGGGTGAGGGAAAAGCGGGTGAGGGGAAAGCGGGTGAGGGGAAAGCGGGTGAGGGGAAAGCGGGTGAGGGAAAAGCGGGTGAGGGGAAAGCGGGTGAGGGGAGAGCGGGTGAGGGGTGAGGAGTCAGGGGGCAAAGAGAGAAAGAGGGGAGGGGCTGGGAAGAGACTGATAATAGGAGCGGCACCACCTGACTCCCCCAACCGCTTGCAGCACCACCCCACCCCACTCCCACCAACCGATTGCAGCACGCACAAGAGCTCGCGAGTGTTGTTCTGCACGGGCGTGCCTGTGAGCAGCAGCAGCCCTCCTCGCCTGATGCACAGCTCCTTGAGCGCTGCTGTGGTCTTGGCTGTCGTGCTCTTCATGCTGCCACACAAAGAGAAGGAATGAGGGTGGGATAAACAGCCAACAGGGTAGGGTGAGCAGCAGCAGCAGCAGCAGCAGCAGCACATCGCCCATCGCTTTGCTCTCACACTCTAACCCTCCTGTCCCTCGCTCTCCCCGGTGCGTTTCATCTCTCACCGGTGCGTTTCATCTCTCACCGGTGAGCCTCGTCCACGATGCACAGCTCCCACCGCACGTTCCTCATCTCTCACAGGTACACCTCCCCACTCCACACCACCCCACTCCAACCATCCTATATCTCTCCTCTTCTCACCGGTGAGCCTCGTCCACGATGCACAGCTCCCACCGCACGTCCTTCAGAGGCCTGCGGTCCTTCTGCAGAATCTCGAAACTCGTCAGCACCACCTGCGAGACGCCACGGCAACACACAGGTGAAACTCCAGGTAATCTTGACAGAGAGCATCGTGACAGGGGAATTTGCAACGTGCTAACAATTCGACACGAAAGTGCTGTTTATCGCCCCCTTGCTCAGATTCACTGCTTGCTTCCCGTTTTCCCCGTAATTCTCCGCATCCTGCTCATCCGCGCTCATTTTCCGCAGGCCTTCCCCCACTTCCCCATTCACATGCGCGCGGGCCCCCTCTCAATCCCCCATCCGCGCAACTCACATGCGCGCGCCCCCTAAATCCCCCCTCCGCGCAACTCACATGCGCGCGCACGCCGCGGCCGCTGGGGTGCGCGAGCTCGTGCTCGCGGATCAGCGCGCGGTCGTCCTTAGACCCGACGAACGGCACACAGTTAATCTCGGAGGACGAAAGCGACTCCAGCTCGCGCTGCCAGTGCGGGAGCGTGGACACCGGCGCAACGACCAGGAATGGCCCGCGCACGCCCGTGCGCAGGCGGACTGTCTCCAGCAGCGCGACGGACTGCGCGGAGTCGGGTGTGAGTGGGAGGGGAGGGAAAAATAAAGGGGGACGGGGGAGAAGGAGGGGAGGGGGAGAAAGGGTGCGCGGAGAGCGGGGACGATTGGGGAAGCGGGTGAGACGGGGAATGGTGGGAAGGGGAAAAAAGCGGAGAGGGGGAAGCGGAGCGGGAGAAGCGGAGAGGGAAGGGGGGAGGAGCGGAAGGGGTGCGGGGGGTGAACTTGGACTCGCGCCTGGCGCGGAGAACGATATTGCGGAGGGAAGCAAAACTTAGGGTAGATGGGGTGGGAAGACAGGGATGGGTATGAACGAGGTTGCGAATAGTGATGAGAAGAACAAACCGCGGCGCTTCCGCACACATCCCACCCGCCCCTTCCAAGCCTCCCCCTTCCTCCCCTCTTGCCGATCCCCACCACCACTTTCCCCCCACACCCCCTTCCCCCCGCGCACCTGCATGGTCTTCCCCAGCCCCATTTCGTCCGCCAGAATGCAATTCACGCCCTTGTTGTAGTTGTGGTACAGCCAATCAACGCCCGCCACCTGGTACTCGCGCAGCGTGCGCCCGTTCTTGAACGCCACTCCCATCGACGCCGGCTCTCCGCGTTTCACGGCCACCGGAGCGCGCCGCCGCATCGCGGCTTTATCGTAGAAGGTGTGAAACTTTTCGACTGCCCGGACATCGTCCGGGTCGTCCCGAAGCGCGCTGTCGTCCTCCCACGTGGCGGCCGTGTACGGAAGCGCTTTCCACTTGACCAAGTATCGCATCGCATCCTTCTTCCGCCCTCGCTTCGTGCTTATAACGCGGTCCACGCGCAGGTAGTCCGGATCAAACGGAAGAACCAGATCCGACTCAGCACCGAGGACCTCCACGTCAGCGTCGTCGTTCCGCTCGGCAGTCGCGCCGCGCGCAGGTGCGGTTGTAACAGCAGCCGCGGTAGTAGCCGCAGCGGCAGCAGCAGGAGCGTCCTTGACAGCGCCGCGGGCGGCGGGGGATCGCTGGCGGAAGGACATGAGGAGGCGGGGGAATTGATCCTGCAGCGTTGCTTCCGCCATCCACACCACGTCGCGGAAACTTCGCCCTACTAGCTTCACCAGGAAAACCGGCGGCACCAATTGCACCGCAGCAGTCACCGCAGGAGACTCTGCAGCAGTCACCGCAGCAGTCGCCGCCGCTGATGCTTCTTCCTCCGCCGCTGCGGCCCCCTCTCCGGCTCCGCTCGTTCCCGCTTCTGTGCTTGCGTTCGGCCCGTTTTCCGCTCTTTCCGCGGACTGGCGTTCCGCGGGTTGGCGCGCAAGCAACACCTTCTCCACGGGGGCGGGGGGCTTAGTCACGAGCGGTCGCGACAAAAGCCACGCACTATCCGCGATAATAGCCGTTGTCTTCGAGTCCGAATCTTGGTTTTCCTTCGCCGTCTCTTTGGTCTTCCGCGTCACTCCCTCCTGCGCGCGCTGCTTCCGCCGCTCGCGCGCCCTGGCGCTGGACGACGCCGGCAAGACCGCGGCGGCTTCCGCCGCTGCCGCCGCCGCAGCCGCCGCTGCCGCAGCAGCAGCAGCCACCGCGGGAGAAGAAGCGTTACCGGTGGTGATGGACTGGAGACGGGACGATCTCCGTCGACCTTGCTCCGGCTCTGGCGTTACTGTGGCTGCCTTTTGCCCCCCTTTCTTTCCTTTACCTCGGGTTTCTTTCTCCTCCTCTTCTTCGTCATCTTCTTCCTCCTCTTCTTCCTCCTCTTCTTCGTCCTCTTCTTCCTCCTCTTCCTCCTCTGAATCCACTTCTCCTTCCTCCTTTTCATCCTCGCCATCCTCCACTTCGTCCGTTTCCTCCTCCTTCTCTTCTTCCTTCTCTTCCTCCTCCTCTTCTTCCTCCTCTTCTTCCTCTTCTTCCTCTTTCTCCTTAGCTTCAACCTTCACGCCACGTTGAACGTTACTCTCCTTCGCAGAGCCGCCTACGCCCGAGTCGCGCCTCGTCAGCTTCTTGCTACCCGGCAACGAGCTCGCCACTCGCTGCACTTGTCCGCGCGATTCCGCCGCCGCCTCCTCCTCTCCGCGCAGCTGCTCCCCGCGCTTACCCGCCAAATCGCCTCGCTTGCCTTGCGCCGGCGCGGTGTCCGCCCCCAGATGCTCCTTAAGCCGTGGAGACTGCCTGCGCGGCGGGTTCTTAGCAGGGGCACTCCGGGGGGCAGCTTTTCCGGCAGGCTTGCTGCACCTCTGCTTGGGTCGTTTCCCCCCACCGATATCCTCATCGTCGTCACTAGAGATTTCCAGCGTTTCTTCTTCGTCTTCATTCGGCTCCGTCATATTCCCGTCCTTCTTGCCGCCTCGTGGCTTCGCGTCCCTCGCGTCCTTGTCCGCGTGTGCGGTCGCCGGCGCCGCCTCCTCTTCTACGTGCTCGCTTTCGTCACTCTCTTGGTCATCACTCTCGCTGCTATCCTCTCCGTCGCCATCACTCTCCGACTCCTCCTCGCCCGTTTCTTCCGCGTCATCGCTGTCCCCCTCCGCGCCCTCCGCGCCCTCCGCGCCCTCCGCGCCCTCCGCGCCCTCCCCGTCCTCCGTCTCCCCGTCACTCCCATCCGAACCCTCGTCGCTGTCGCCGCCACTGTCGTCCTCGCTACCTTCGTAGTAGCTGGCCGGGACGGCAGTGCGCGATCTTCCGGATCGCCTTTGCCTGCCATTGCAACCCTGAGAGCCATTCTCATTGTCGCCGCCTTCACCTGCCTCGCTTTTCAGTCTCGACGACCTTCTGCCAGCGGCTTTCGCCTTGGTTCCCGCGCCTCGACCGCAGATCTCGGGTCTCGACAGAGCTGCCTCGCCCGCTTTAACTTTACGCTCTGGAGTTTTTCCCGAGCCGACCGTCGCTGCTTCGTCTCCAGGTGTCATCGGGGTAGAGTTCTCCGCGTCGCCGGTGCTATCTGATAAATCCGAAGCAGAGTTATCTGGGAAAATAGAGGGAGTGGAAGTTTCTCCGCCGACCTGCGACTTGCTCTTCCCAGCAGTTGCTAGCTCATTGGAACCATCGACACAAATGGCAGTCATGACAGAAGGGGGACGAGAGTTGGAGTCGTGCACTAAGAGCCAATGTAGGACGAGGATACAAGGGTATGGAACCGGAATTCGTACATAGAAGCCAGTCGCGCTATCTTCGAGTTCAGAAGTGGCAAGCTGAGGTGCCACCAGGAGGCTTCTGCTCTAGCGTAGTCGAGACAACTGGAGTGATCAGAATTGAAAGTGAGTGTGCACACAGAAAGAATTGGATTCTATGCTTTCGAAGACAACATGAAAAGCTGAGAGGAGGCAAGTCGCGGGAGTGGCTGGTGGGTTTGGTGGCATGTGCCAGAGAACCAAAATCGTGGGGAACCGAGCCGCATGTTCGGCTTCTGATTCAAACACAGAATTTGAATTTCTGAGGGAATTTTTCTCCAGCATACCAGTTCGAAGGTTTGAACTGCACGATTGTATCGGAAGCCGTGGCTTGGTACTATTGAGAGTTGATATATACACCAGATGCACAATCATGCATATATTATATCAACAACTTATAATATCAACAACTACGACAGAATTTGATTTGGAACATGTTGCGCCTTGGTGCTCTCTCGAACATTCTTCCCTTAGTGAGCTCCTCGGTTGTGTGTGCATCCAAGCTGGATAGGGTTCGTGCCACAAAAAGTCCAGGCACCTATCGGATTCTACTCTTCTTCCACGTGGGATAGCCTCGTCACGGACCTTAGCAGTTATCTCCTAGGTTCGTTCACTAACTTGGCCGCGAGCTTCTCCCCCCAAGCCTCCACATCGTTCACCCAATCAGGAGCAGCTTAGCGTGTGAGGGACCCACCCCTTGTCCTTGGCCTTTCGAACTCCAAAGGGTCATTCAATACGCCCACGATCTTCCCAGCCATTTTGATTGGCAGAGAAGCTGGGTCATGGGGAGGCATGTTGTCATGAGATGGAAGCAGGGCTCCAACGCGGTGCGACAGTCTGAGACGGAACATGCGCCACGAGATTTGATGACAAAAACAGGTATTTAGTTCCCTTCCCATCCCCGTATATTCTTGCACGTGAGATGAGAGACGGAATCAGTTTTGACTTGCGGCGGATGCTGTTTTGACCTTCGATCGTTTCTCGACAAAGACTCCTCCAGCCTCTGACGCAGGGCTTGGTAGATCCCGCTGCTCTCGTCCGTAAATCTGTAAGGGTTTTATGTCCCCACGGTCCCATTCAATTCGCGGCAGAGTAGTGACGTAGAGATCGATCGATCTGGCAAGCGGCGCGGGGTCGAATCTAGAACAGCCTCGGCGGCGTCCGCCAATCTGGTGCGCGCGCGTAAGTTCCTCTCTAGGCGCAGCATACGCATCATACACATGCAACTTTTTCAGTACTTGATAGATGTATCATAGGACGATAGGCGCATAAGTTCCTCTCTTTCTCCCTCGTACTGTTCATAAGCTTCTGAAACGCGTCTCGGTGTAGCTGCAAGGCATCTCGTGTCGGGCAAGTCATCGCATCGCAAGAGCTCCTCGTCTGCTCGTGTTCTTGGAGAGAAATCGCACGCGCATGCTCCCGCATCCACGCTGGAGAAGTTTGAGGACGTAGTAGGAAGTTTGCAGACAGCCACCGTCGCGGGGGTTCCGACCACGGCGTTTCGACTCGAAATTCCCGCATCACCGCTAGTACGACTATTCCGGCTATTAACAGTGCTTTACGTTGCCTCTTCAAAGGAGGCGGGTTGTCGTGCCCATGCGCTCCCCTCTCCCCCGTTCCGCCATCCCGCTCCGCGAAGCTCTCCGCAACCCGCGGCCGCGGCGCCACCACCGCCGCCCCCGTCGCTTGTGCCGCCCGTCTCAGTGTTCCCAATGACAACGGCGACAATCCCGGCGCCGAGTCCGCCGGGTCTTCCGCCCATCGGCACGGCTACGCCAGCTGGGTTCGCGCTGAACATTGCGTATCCCGCATGTTACGCCGCGACTCCCGCTACCATGACTTTCGTCGGCAATCACCCTATGATTTCCGCAGCTGCCGCTGCTGCCGCAGCGGTGTCGGGACAGCATCAGGCAGTCGCGTCGGGAGGAGGGGCCAGTTTCGGCGCTGGCGGAGGGGCAGGGGGGAACCCTAGCTGTGGCGGAGGCGCGGGTGGGGGCGGCGGGGGAGGCGGCCGGGGGAGCGGGATGGGCTCGCGGACGGGCATTTGCGCGGCGAAGCACATGGAGGCGGAGCAAAGGCGACGCGCGAGGATCAACGAAAGGTACTAGAAGAGCGCCGTCCGTCGTGAGAGTGGCGTTATCATTCCGTGTAACGAAGCTCCTATTAGGAGTACCATTAGTATTAGTGGTGACTATTCACACTTCTAGCATGGATCGTTTATGATGTAGTGTAGCAGTAGTGTTCCCCTCTCTACTCCTGCTCCCCCTTTCCTCGGTCCTTTCCTTTTTCATTTGAGCTCAGTAGTAAGTTCCGTTCCAGAAAAGCATCTTTTAAACCTAACACATGCCTTTTTCAAAGTCCATTCATAAGTCACCTTCCCTTCAACTCAGCTTAGAGCATGATTGATTTTGAGGCAACTCCGAATCGGTACTTTCAAAAACTGCGGTCTTGGACCGAGTACAAGTAGTCTTACCACTGGTAAGGCTTACCCCGGGCTTACCCCATCCTTGCATGCATGCAGTAGTCTTACCTACCCTACCCCATCCTGTTTTCTCTTTCCCGCTCTTCTTCTCTGCCGTTGCTTCTCTCCTCGTGCCCCTCTCGCTGCAGTTTGGACGCTCTGAAACGGTTGGTGCCGCATCACGTGCGCAGCAACACGGCAGCGTTTCTGGTGGAGGTGTATGGATACATCGAACGGCTTCAGGAGAAGCTGGAACGACTAGAATCCAAGGCCCTTCCTGTTTCCTCTTTGCCTTGTGCCCTCTGACTGCAGTCTGGATGCGCTGAAGAGGTTGGTGCCTCATCACGCGCGCAGCAACACAGCGGCGTTCCTGGTGGAGGTGTATGGATACATCGAACGGCTTCAGGAGAAGCTGGAACGACTAGAGTCCAAGGCCGCGGCTGCTGCTGGTGGTGCTGGTGCTGCTGTTCCTGCTGATGGTGGCGGTGGTGCTGGTGCCGCTGCGTCTGCTGCTGCTGGTGGTGATGGTACTAATGCCGCGGCTACTGGTGGTGGTGAGGGTGGTGGTGGTGGTCGTGATGGCGTTGGATCGATTCCTGCTGCTGCCACTGATTCTGGTGCTTGTGCCCCTGCTGCTGTTGCATCGGAGTTGGTGGGGGGAAGCACCAGTGCTGCTGCTGGTAGTGCCTCTGCTGAGGCTGCTGCTGCTGCTGCTGCTGCTGCTAATGATGTTGTTAGAGCTACAAACCAGAAGCATGGTGACGCGAATCTTGCAGCAGCTGAACTTCTTCCTCCTCTTGCTGATGCGCCGGCTACTGCTCCTGCTACTGCGCCTGCTGCTGCTGCTGCTACTGCTGCTGCTGGTGCTGGTTATGGTGGGAGCAGTGTTGGCACGGGAGTAAAGGGCGCGCCTAACATGGGTGCAGGGAACGGTTTGGACCAAGGAGAGGCAGAGACGAAAGGAGTGGGTGCGGCAGCGACGAGAGGAGTGGGCGCGAGTGACGCGAGAGGAGTGGGAGCGAGTGACGCGAGAGGAGTGGGCGCGAGCGAAGAACTAGAAAGAGGGAATGGAGGTGGGAGTGGTGGGGAGATTCGTAACGGCAGTCAGTCCTGGGGAAGGAAGGGGAGCAGGAAACGGAAGAGAGCAGAGAGGAGGGTTGAGGGCGGGAGCGAAATGGCAGGAGGGACAGAGGGAAGGAGAGTGGAAGCAGGGGATAGGGGAGAAGAAGGGAGGGGGTTGGAAGGAGCAGGATGGAGGGAGATGGGATGGGCGAGGGGAGAAGAGAGAGGTGGGGATGGGTGGAGGGAGGTGGAGTTGGTGTTTCCAGATGCAGGGGAGAGTGTGCGCGGGAAAAGGGAGAAGGGTGCGGGGGAGAGGAGGGGCGGAGGGGAGGGGGGAGGATAGGAAGGGATATGGGGATGGGAGGGGAGGGGAGGATGGGTGGGGAGCAGTGGATGGGAAGGGAGGGGGGGCATGGCATGGGGCCTGCTCGGATAGATCTAAACGTGATGGGAGATGAGAGTGAGGGGAGCACTCCTCCTAAGGACTTAGAGGATATACAGCATTGGGGGGGAGCAGTGGCGCATGGGGTGGCACTGGGTGGGAGGGTGCGGAGAGGGGGCATGGGAAATGGGGAGTTAGAAGCAGGGTGCATGGAGCAAGGGGGGGTGATGGGGGGAAGAAGATCCGCGGATGGGGAGGAAGCATTGGCTGGCGGGGATTGGAGAGGAGAGGGGCGGGAAGGGGGATGGAGAGTAGAGAGGAGGGGTGATGGTGGGGTGGGAGATGGGGAAAGAGGGGGGGAGGATGGATGTGGGAGGGGGATGAGACGCACAGCTGATGGGGGTGATGGGGGGAATGGGGGGGATGGGGGGGGTGGGGGTGATGGGTGGGATGGGGGGGATGGGGTTGAGGGGGGTTGTGGGATGGATGGGAATGGATTGAGAATGCGAGGCAGACAAGAGGATGAGTGTGTTGATACCAGCAGTGCTCCCACGCGCACACAGGGGCGGACAGATGTGCAGAGAAGAGGGGGTTATGAATGCCGAGGGAGAGGGCGCAGGGAGGGGCGCAGGCGAACTAGCAGGTCAGAGACAGGGGTACAGGGGAAGGAAGAGGAGGAGGAGGAGAAAAAGAAGGGGAATGAGGAGGGTAATGAGGAGGATGAGGAAGAGGAAAATGAGGAGGGTGATGGGGAGGACGATGAGGAGGAGGAGGGAGACGAGGAAGAGAAGGAGGATGAGGGGGATGAGGGGGATGAGAGGTCAAGCCTTGCAAAACCTGTCGAGAGGTCAAGCCTTGCAAAACCTGTCGAGAGGTCAAGCCTTGCAAAACCTGTCGAGAGGTCAAGCCTTGCAAAACCTGTCGAGAGGTCAAGCCTTGCAAAACCTGTCGAGAGGTCAAGCCTTGCAAAACCTGTCGAGAGGTCAAGCCTTGCAAAACCTGTCGAGAGGTCAAGCCTTGCAAAACCTGTCGAGAGGTCAAGCCTTGCAAAACCTGTCGAGAGGTCAAGCCTTGCAAAACCTGTCGAGAGGTCAAGCCTTGCAAAACCTGTCGCAGCAGACACAAGCATTTCCGAGAGCTCTCAAAAGAGACTCAGATTGTGCGTTAGTGCTGCTGGGACTTGTAGAGGGAGTGCGGAGCTGGGCCGGAATGGGGGTGCTGTTGCAGGTGCGGGAGTGAGGGGTAGTGGTGCTGAGGGGGGCGCAGTGGCTGCTGATACTAATGCAGCGACGGCAAGCGGGACAGAGACGCAGGCGCGTGTGGCAGTGACACATGCACAGGCAGCGGCAGTGGCAGAGGGGAACGTGGTGGGACAATGCATGGCATACAGGCAGGAGGAGGGCGATGTGGCATTGAGAAGAGAGCAGCATGTGGCAGCACAAACAGAGGCAGCACGAGTTGTGGCAGCAGCAGCAGAAGCAGCAGCACGCGCCACCACTTGTGGTGCCACTACCCTCGCTGCTCCTGCTGTGACTGCTGCTGCTGCTGCTCCTGCTGCTGCTCCTGCTGCTGCTCCTCCTGCTGCTGCTGCTGCTGCTGCTCGTACCAGCACTGAATCAGCAGTGGTTGTACCTTCTGGTGCTCAGGTTTCCCCAGCGCCCCCTCTGATTACCAACACGCCTGCTGCACCTCCTGCTCTTGCCCCTGCCCCTGCCTCTGCTACTGCTGCTGTGGTTCGAGCAACAGTTACAAAGGGTTCTTCTGCTGCTGCTGGCGATGCCAATGGTGCTGCGACTGCTGCTGCTGCTAGTGCTGCTGCATCTTCTGTTGCTAAGGGAACTGGTAGAAGCCGGTAAGAAAGGACTAGTCTTTCTGAGTGTTTTTCAGAAATCACTGCATCGCGCAAGTTATTCGAGTCATTATCTTAGGCAACCGGAAAGCCCGTTTCCTGCTACACCTTTTTTGTGTTACCACCCCCCGTTTCCCCACATGTCTGCGGTTTTTGCTTCTTCTTCTTGACCCTGTTCCCCTTATTTTCAGCAGGCAAAGAGGATCAGCAAAAGCAAGTATCGCAGAAGCAACAGCAGCATCAACAGCAGCAGCAGCGGCGGCCGCAACAGCCACAGTCGGAACTCTCCCCACGCCAACAGCAACACTAACTTTCCCAGCACCGTTCCCCACCATTACCACCACCACCGCCACCACCCCAGTTACTTTCACCTCGCCTTTCCCCCTTCCGCTCTCATTCATTCCACCGCTCCCACAACCGACAACACCAGCAGTTTCAGCCGCAGCGGTGGCTGATGCTGCTGCTATAGCGCGCCAGTGGGGGGTGGCAGCAGCGGCAGCGCATATACAGGCACAGGCAGCAGCACAGGCACATGCACAGGTGCAAGCGCTCGTGCAAGCAGCAGCAGCAGCAGCTGCTGCTGCGGGTGGTGGGGGTGTTTCTGTGGCTTTTGAGGGTTCCCAGAATGTATCTGCAGCTACGCTACCAGCTACTCTTGCAGTACCAGCGGTAGGTGGTGCGGGTGTTTCTGTGGCTTTTGAAGGTTCTTCTCAAAATGTGGCTGCAGCTGCTCTACCAGCTGCTCTACCGGCAGTAGGGGGTGCAGGTGTTACTGTGCTCCCTGTTCCTTCTGCTCTTCCTGTTCCTGCTGCCCCTGCTGCTCCTGCTGCTGCTGCTGCTGCTGCTCCTCTCGCTCCTGCTGCTGTGGCTGCTGCTGCTGCTGCTGCTGCTCCTCCTCCTCCTCCTCCTCCTGCTGCTGCTGCTACTGCTACTGCTGCTGCTGCTGCTGCTGCTGGTGCTGGTGCTGCTGGTGCTGCTGCTACTGCTCCTCCAGGCCAACCCACTTCCACAACTGCGATCAGCTGTAGCAACTTCCCTCCATCGCATCCTGTCTCTGCTCGCGCTGCCCCTCCTCCTAGCGCCTCTGCTGCTGCCGCCCTCCTTGCCCCCACAAACCCTAGGCATGCCCCGCCAACCCCAACCTCTGGAAGCTCATAGAGAGAACCAAGTGTACATGGTTCTGTAGAAGCTGTGGAGATGTGGTTATGGAATGTCCCCAATGTAAATTACGGTAGGTGTATCAGGATAGGTATATTGTGACACATGTAACAGGGGTTTTGTGATCGGTTCATGCCCCCATCATGGTTAGTCTAAGCTTCAGACTTGGATCAGAAGTTGCTGTAGGCTTGATTCCGTCTCATAACATGGAATGCAATAACGAAGCATGCAAACTAGAAGTGCCCATTGCCCAAAGGTTGCCAGGAGCAGAAAATAATCAGTAACAAGAAAGGAAAACACTAGGTATTACCACATCAGCTAGCAATGGGAAGAAAAACAGGGAAACCCCCACAAGCCTTCAGGTTAGGCGCACACAGCATCAACAAAAAATGTCCCCCCATTCATCAAGCTAAAGAGCACCTACAGGCGAAAAATGATCAGCAGAGATCGGGTGCTGCTCCGGTGAGCATCCCTTTCCAGCACCAAAGCAAGGTGCTTGGATGCTGCTCAGTGCTCACCTCACCACTTCTACACACCAGCTACGGAAAGCATTGCAAGAGCTACAGACAGCCCAACAAGACCCATACAGAGACGCGCTACAGCCTACAGCCCAATTCTACGAGAGGCGCTACAGCAGAACCCATAAGGGAGGCGCTGCTACAGCTAAACCTGTGGGAGGGGCACTACAGAAGTCACACAGGCAGCGTGCCTCTGACCACCTCCACCATCGCTACCATCATCAGCATCATCACCACCATCATCACCATCATCATCATCTTGTCATTGCAGCAACGCCCACAGTGGGCAGAGAAGAGAAGCAAGAACACCACGATTGCCAACTGCATCCACTGCCCCTACATGGAAAGAAACCACAACGCGCAATTCCACAAAGAGTTGATTGCAGAGGGGGAAGTAGAGTACAGAGAGAGAAAGAGAGTAGAGAAGGTAGGAAGAAGCAAACGGAGGGGAGGTACAGTAAAGCTAGGGATGGTTTGGGATGTGCGAGGAGAACAAGGCAGAAAGAGCACAAAACAGAGATGTGAGATGGTTGGCAAGGAGAGGAAGAAAAGGAAAGGAAGGTTATTATTGAGAATTCTCAAAAATAAACCCTGAGAAAAGCAAAGGAAATGATAGAAAAGAGACCCATGACCCTTCTCACTCCCTCCCCACCCCTCCCCCCTCTTATCACCCCTCCCCCTGCACACGCCCCACCTTTCTTTATAGCGACCGTCGGCCGAGCCACCGCAGTCCTTTCATTGCAATCAGAGAGTTTGCATCCGGGATAAACCCACCGCCACCGCCACTCCCACCACCACCACCACTACCCCCACCACCGCCGCCACTCCCCGAACCACCACTCCCGCCACCACCACCACTCATCCCCCCTCCAACACCCCTCCCATGCCTCCACGCCGGTCCCATCATCATCACGCCTCTCTTCCCCCTCCGTGCCTTCTCCACCTGCGACAAATCCCCCATTATCTCCTCCAAAAGCTGATCCAACACCATTTCTTCGAGCGAAAACACTGCCATTAAAGCCTCGGCACTCGTGTCCGTCCATTTATCAAGCCCTCGGGCCATGTCCCTCCTCGCAGCATCATCTAGGATATCATAAACCTCATCCGAAGCCGGAACCGGCCAGTCGTGCACCTCCTCCCAAACCTCCAGCAGCAGAGCCTGCCCCTCAGGCCTGGGCCGAACCAGCGGCACCTGCTGCACCGCCGCCAGCCACGGCGACGCCTCCAGGAACGGCCCGAGCCTCCGTCCCAACGCCTCGTTCACCGCATCGAATAGAAGCCGGCGCTGCCGCCGCTCCTCCTGCCGCCTTGCCTGGTCTGCGGCTATCCAGGCTGGGTCATCTGGACGAACCCCAGGAGGAGGGGCGGGCGAGGGGCAGGAGAGGGTGATTCCGAGCTCTAGTTGCTCGAAGACTGGTGGAGGGATGGGCAGGCGGAGGGAGTGGATGGGCGGGTAGGGCAGATTCTGCTGATACTGCATCTGCTGCTGCTGCTGTTGACCATACTGGTGCTGCTGCTGCTGCTGCTGCAGCTGGTTCTGCTGCTGCTGTTGGTTCAAGCCGACAAAGCCGGAGACGACCAGGATATGACGGAGGTATTCCAAGTCCTGCTCCATGCCTTCTATATCGCCCAGACACTCCATCAGGCCGGGGTCTGTGAGCAAGTCCATTGGGTCAACGAGGTCAACGGAGTCAACGGGGGTAGTGGGGACTGGTGGGAGTTCCCTGGTGCTGCTGCTGGTGGTGGTGCTGGTGGTGGTGCTGGTGGTGGTGCTGCTGCTGCTGTGAGAGAGGGCGGTGGGAGGAGGTGAGGGAGAAGGAGTAGGAACAGGGAGATGAGGAGTGGCACCGCAACTGTTCGCTTGTGACGCAGCAACAACACCACCACCGCCTCTGCTGCTGCCGATTCCTTGCTGCTGCCTCTGCTGGTGGGAAGCAGCAGCAGCAGCAGCCGCGCCAGAAGGAGGCATCTGCTCGGGCTTGCGCGCGGGGGGAGTGGGCACTGTAGGTTTCACCCCTCCAGGGACTCCCCTCCTTGGAGTGTCACCCACGGCTGTAGCAGCTGTAGCGGCGGTGGCAGCGGCAGCAGAAGCAGGGCCAGAAGAGGACCTACCATTGTAGGTAGCAGCAGCAGCAGCAGCAGCAGCAGCAGTCCTGCCAGCACCACCACCAGCATTCTCACCCGCACCTGTGAGCTTCCCCAGCATGAGCCAAGACTTGCCACCCGGCACCACGGCATCCAGCAGCGCTGCTGCTGCTCCTTGCACTGCTCCTTGCACTGCTGCTGCTCCCGGCACTGCCACCCCCTTCCCCTTCACAGCCACTCCTCCTCCTCCTGCTGCTGCTTGCTCCGAGAGCTTGCTCACAGCTACCTGCGCGGGCGTCACCAATCCGCTCTCCTCCACTTCCTGCTCCTCCTCTTCTTCCTCCTCATCCTCTTCCTCCGCCTCTTCTTCTCCCTCCGCTTCTTCTTCCTCCTCCTCTTCCTCTTCTTCTGCTGTTACCTCCTCCCTTGCTCCGCTGACAGTGCGCGAGAGCAGCGGGCAGGCAACTCCGATTGCCAACTCCCCACTAAGCCACGTGCTCTCCTGGCGCCCACTCATACTCCTCTCGCCCTCACCCCTGCTCAGCACACTCGCAGCACCTTCCCCACCCGCTTGCTCCCCCTCACTCCCCTCCTCATCATCCTCCTCCTCCTCCTCCTCTTCCTCCTCCTCCTCTTTCTCTTCTTCCTCCTTAGCCATATCTTCCTGCTGCTGCTTCCAATCCAGCGATTTCAGAGGCCAACCGAATTGCAGCGGTCCTTCATCCTCCTCCTCCTCCTCCACCTCTAGAATTTGCCGGCTCGCCGCATTGCCGCTCGCACCGCCACAACCATACCCCGCGCCACTCCCACCAGCACCAGCGGCGGAGGAAGCAGAGGATAGCACTCGGGTTAAAGACGCTAGTTCTAGCTCCATGCTTCCGCTTGTCATCCCAGCCGCTCCTCCCCCGCCCGCTCCCCCGACTCCCCCGCCACCTCTTCCGCCTTCCCCCATCGCTCCGCCGCTCCCGGCCGCGGCGGCTACCGCAGCGGCGGAAGCAGCGGCGAGCGAGTAGGAGGGGGAGAGGGCGGCGGAGGAAAAGGTCCCGGAAGCGGAGCAGGAGGAGGAGGCGGAGTAGGGGGAAGCGGAGCCGTCGCCCGCGGATGCCTGGAGGGCCGCGGGAAGGAGGTGCGGATGCGGAAGCGGCGCTTGCGCGTGCGCCTGCGCCAGCACCAGCGCCTGCCTCGTCGCGGAGTCGTGCAGCGGAGAGACGGAGGTGGAAGCGGAAGCGGAGGCGGCGGAAGCGGAGGGGGAACAGGAAGCGGAGAGGGAAGTAGCGGGAGTGGCGGTGCTGGGGGAACTCGAAGCGCAAGTGCCGTTGCTGCTGCTCGTCGCGACGCCCGTGATAATACTCGGACCAGAGCTCGATGATGCGGTATAAGGCACCGCGGTAGCGTCAGGAGAGCCCGTCTCCGCGCCCGCGTCCGCGCCCGCGCCGCCGCCCCCGCCCGCGCCAATGGTTGCGGTACTGCTTTCCGGCTTGCGCAACGCGACGGGAGCGCCAGGTGCGGCGGGGACGGCAGGAACAGAAAAACGACTCTTCTCCGCTGCAGCTGCTGCCGCCGCTGCTGTTGCCGTTGCCGATGCTGTTGCTGCGCGTGTTACGGGGAGGGAAATGGAGGCCGTGAGCGGAGAGGAGGCAGGGGAGGGGGACGACGACGAAGCAGCGTCGAAGCTGGTTCCGAGTGCCGCTGCTGATGCGGACGCTTCGATCCATGCCGCCACCACACTCGCGCGGGACGCCGCCGCCGCCGCCGCCGCCGTCTGTTCCGCCTGCTGCCGCTGCGATTGCTGCGCCAGCTGTGTCTGACCCTTGCGCGGAAGCGGGATGCGTGAGGGGGAGGACGACAGCGCGGGGGAAAACATCTCCGCAGGTTTGTCGTCCGCCGCTGCGCCGTTGCGGTTCCCTCCACTCCCACCGCCGCCTTTTGCGGACAGCCGCCCCTTGACGGCCACGGCCGCAGCGCTCCGTGCGGGCGAGCCAATCGCGGCAGTCATGTCGGGCGACGACACGTCAGCGCCATCGATTCTATCCGCGGGCCTGCCGCGATTGCCGGCGGGTTTCGCGCCACCAGCGGGCAGTTCTAACGAGCTCGACGTGGTTAGCAACGCAGCGTAACTTCCGATTCCGCTCCCTGGGCGCTTCCCTCCGCCGCTTCCGCTTCCGCCGATTGCGCCAGCTCCTCCGCGGACATCCGCTTCCGCGCGCAGACTGGCGGAAGATCCCAGCGGCGGGGAGAACTCGTAGAGCTTCCCCGACCCGCCAGGGACGCGGCTTTCTTCCGCGTGCGCAAAGCGAGACTGGGGGGGAAGCGCGGACGCCGCAGAGGACGGGGGGTGCGTGGGGGAGCGGTGCGGATGGAAGCGCTCCTTTCCGCTCGGGACGGGCGAGCGGAGCCCGCTTACTCCGCCAGCGCGGGAGTTTGCGCCTGCGCCTGCGCTTGCTTTGCTGTCTTCCCGGTCAGCTGGTCCTGTCGACCTGCCGCGACGACTGGCGGAAGAGCCGTCCTTTCCCCCTTTCCCCGCGCTCCCCGCATTGATAGCGGTTGAAACCGAACCCGTTGAGAGCGAACGCGCGGGGATGGCAGAAACGCTGCCTGCTGATGCGCCTGCTCCGCCTGCCGCGGAGTTCCCCGCAATGTCCCCGCGGCTGCCGCGACTCTTCCCGCCCGACAGCGCTTGCGACCGCGCGGACGTTAATTCCGCTGGCATTACAGCCGGAAGTTCGTCAGTCGACTTGCCGTCCAGTCCTAGCAAGCTGCTCGGCACGACGCGGCTGGAGTTCCCGCCCGTCGCGGCGGCGCCGACGGCGGCGGCGGCGGCAGCGGCGGCAGCAGAAGCAGCGGAGGCTGCGGCCCCGCCATCGTACGCCTTCTTTCCAGCGCCCATCGCTGCTGCGGCGGCGGAGGCGGCACTGACTCTATCGGCGGCGCGCGCCTTTGCCATAGACGCCTGGGTAGGCGCGAATAGGCGGCTTCCTTGCGGAACGGGGGAGACGCTGCGCTCCCGCCGTGACCTCCCCTTAAGCCCGGCAGGTCCCCCTGCTGCTGCGGCAGCGGCAGCGGCAGCGGCAGCGGCGGCGGCGGCGGCGGCGGCGGCTGAGCCCTTGGCAAGTTCCGCAGAAGCCGACGTGGCATGATCGCGGCCGTAGATCGCGGCGGTTGAGGCGGAGGGTTTGGAAGAGACGGTGTCCGAGTCGCTAATGTCCTCCCATTTCGACGGGGAAGAGTTAGTGCGGCTCGAGGATGTGCTTCCGAGACCTAAAAGTCGGCGAATGTAGACGGACGTGCGCTTCGGAGTTAACGGCACGTCAGGTGCCTGGCGCCGGAGAGGGGAATGAAAGCGACGGCGTAAAGGGGAAGGAATGCGGGAACGAAGAAAAATGAATTAAGTTGCTATTCTACTTTTAGCCTCTATTGCACAAGATCGAAAGGAGCACCACATTGAGAACCAGTTGCCCCCTATTGGCACAAGAGCCAACTGTCAGAATGTTACGGTGGGCAGTGCTACGGTGCTATCATCAGCGACGGGTTACCTTAACCCCTGTGAAACAGCCCCTCACCTCGTTACTTTCTGGTGGCAGTGCTGACGGCGTGGGGTCGACGCTTTCACTCTTGGCTATGGCTCGTAGCACGGCACTGCTTAGCGACGGCGGGCCTGCCATGGACGGGAGGACGGAGAAGGGCGGGCGATCAAGCAAACGGAAATTTTGAGAAATGACTCGCGGGAAATACATGTGCGGAATCGGCAAACAGAACGTAGTTTTTCGGGATGATGGCAGGATGGTGGTGGGAACAGCGGGCGGGGGCAGAGAGGTCTTGATAATCAGTGACTATACGCAAAACAGTTCGTCCGAGCATGCGAAACTGTTTCAAGGGCTATCTCCTAGACGACATGCTCGGTCTAGGGCTGCGCGTTCGCTCAGCAGCATGGTGGCATCACCGCAGCAGACATGCTCACCACCTCACATACGTGAATGTAACCTCCGTACTTAACCTGTATGCGATCTTCCTGCTGTGTCCCCGCCCTGTGCAATTCCTACCGTCTAATTCGTGAACCATGTTCCCTAGGGTGGCTTACTTGGGGAAGAGAAATAAGGAGCCTCCACATAAGAGCTCATTTTGTGCTCCCGCGCGACCGTTTGCACCCTCCGCTGCCCTCCGCTGCTCCCCTCTCCTCCTCCGACCTCCAACGCGCTACAATCAATGCTGTCGGCGATTGCTCCGCACGCCCCTTGCAATCAGGTTACTCGGTTGTCCCGCATCCGCATCAAGCCCTGGTTGTCACTCTACACAGCTTTCTGCTCAGCGTCAGTACCGCACCGCCTCCGCTTGACACGGTAATCTACACGCCAAAGCCCCCACTATTCTCTGACTACAACTAACGCTAAGTTAGACGCGCAAAGCCCCTTTTATGAACTCTTATCCACAGGCTACAAAAGTGGCAAGTTACCAAACATTCCTGGTTCTCTTGAGCATTCTTGATTCCTCTTTATCGCTTCTCTAATCGGCGTGGTACTGGAAGGATCGTTACGGGCAGGAAGAGAGCTTCTTTGAAGCTACCACTACTAGTTTGTTAATGGCGGCTGCGTTGTCATGGCATTTGACAACTGAAGGTCGGTTGAGCAAAGGGAGAGCTGTTACTATGTAAGACACAATGACGATTAGGACGGTCGAGGGAAGTGCGGCGCTGTTAGTAATCCTAAGGGTAAGTGGCTAGCCTGCTCCGTCGTTAGAAACCTGCGTCCGAGATAAGGGTTGAAAGTATCGTTACGTAAGATGACTAGAGGGGCAATCTCGTTATGGACGGAAAATGGTTCGAGGGGCGGATTGCAGCAGAAGCTCTGCGGACAAGATGAGGAAAACGAGGGAGGGGAGGAACGAGGCATGTGATGATCGGGGAGGCCAAGGTGAGCCGACAAAGACGACGCGACTCAGGGGCAGGCGCAGATTGTACGAGCTACTTTTTCTGACCCAACCTAAGCCTTGTTTGGGCAGTGTGGTGTGTGAAGGGGCATTTCCTCGCGTCGAGAGCTGATGGGTATGGTGGGTGTGGTTCACGCTAGCCCACAGTGAGCTGGCAAGTGGTAGGGGGTGCTGATGGGGGCGCAAGAGCAATGGTGCAGGGAATCGCACGGATGCATCCATTTCGCATGGGGGCCAATTTGAAGAAGGGCAATGAAATCGGGGATTTGAAATGCGGCTCGAGAAAGAAACGAGACTGGCAGGGTGAGTGGGTTCAACTCACCTTGAGGGCAAGAAGGTTTTTGACGACCAATCAGAACAAAAGTTTGGTGCTTGGACGGTTTCGAGGAAGTGAATCGCGACTTGTTGTGATTGTTTGAGCATACGCGACTTGTTCTCAATAACGAGGGCACACCTCAGCCAATATGGGTAGATTGCGCTTCGACAAGCTTCGTTTGGTGCGCTTAGGGAGCTCCTCAAACCTAGTCAACAAACCTCTCGAGCCCAGCAGCTGGCATCCGAACCACATGATGTTTCTGGCTCGGGAGTGATTTTTACAGTGATTGGACAGAGCCACTAAACTGAACACCGAGCCACGTACCAAACCTAACAAACATTTTCTGTATTGCCCAGCTTCGTAAGCTAGCCTGCCCGCAATGTCATCACATGCACCACCGCTGGGTGCTGTACCTGCGCCTACTCCTCGGTTTGGGAACACATGCGGTCTGGCCCTTCTCGAACCGCCTTGAAAGCAAAGCACGTCCCGCATTGCCCCTCACTTCATCTACCCATACCCTTCATTTGCTTTGCGCCATAAGAACTCGCGAGCAGTCACATTCTTCTGGTGATGTTGGATGGTGATACTTGCAATCGAAAGTCGCGTTTGGACTTTGCTCCGCTTTTTATAAGACTGGCATTTTTTATCTGTATATACAACTCTGATGTCAACGTTGACCATATAAGAGAAACAGTACAGGTAGTTCCATTACAGCCATAAAACTTCTTACTAGGATGCTACCAACCGAGTGAATAAATATATGCTACATTTTCTTAAGGCAGAGTTTCATAGGATGGATGTGTGAAGGAATGCTTGCACATAGGGTACCGTACTTGTACCCAAGCTGTTGGGCAGCGTACGGTAATAATGGGCATTTGTCTATGGGATCTTTGATTCGTCAGTACTACCACCAGGTTGTCTGCTGGCTGGTACGGGAATTGCTGTGTATACCATTTCCCAGTTTCACTGAGTCAAATGGAAGGAATTGTCAACGCATCAATTGCCAATGACCTGCTAACTTTTGGATTGAATGAAAAAGTGGATTCGCTCAAGTGGATTGTTTGTCAGCTTGGAAATAGGCTTGGAAGTTGCAGAGTGTAGGTGGAGGGAAAGGATGCGGATAACAGAAGCACTAAGAGAACACAGGGATTGGACGTAAGTGCACAGCAGAGTAAAATAAACAGCCAACGGAACGACTTCGGTAATAGAAACGCTGGTTGAGGTGAATGTTACCAGTACCAAGTGAGACATAATACCAACGTGTTGAGCGACTCACAGCACAAGGACTGGATGACAGGACGAGGAGACATATACGGTAGAAAATACAATGTGTGAGAACGGACGGGGTGGGACACACACACACACACACCACCGGAATGATAAACTGAGAGGTTCAGGCCGGGCATACGGCAACGTATGGTGCAAGGAGGAATGGAACCAAAACAGGCAAGGCAACACACGGACGGTTGAGATACTAGTGGAGGGTTACACACGACATTCATCTTGACAAGCCCACGCCATGCCGCAGAGAATGCAAACCCGACCATTGAACAGAACCTGACTGGTTCACTACACACACACGCAAACCCACCCAAAATCACCCCACCCGCAATCACCCCACCCACACTCATCCCCCCCGCACTTAACCCCCCAGTAGTCACCCCCCCTTCCCCCCAACTCACGCCCCCTGCACTCACACGCCCCCCTATCCTATCTGGGCCCTCCCTCTTCAAACACGCATCCGCACGGCCAGCTACCATTGCAAGTGCGTGGCGCCTCATGCAAGCCTTTCAGCTGCACACACCACCGCTTCCCTTCAACTAATCGACGGGCGAGGTACAGGCGAGGTAGCGAGATACGGGCGAGGTACGGGCGAGGTAGCGAGATACGGGCGAGGTACGGGCGGGGTACGGGCGAGGTACGGGCGGGGTACGGGGGAGGTACGGGCGGGGTACGGGTAAGCTACCTACAGGCGAGGTACAGCAGCGCCTGCAACTACAGCCCACGGAGTCTCTGCGGTACAAGGCAGCACTGATTCAGCTAAGCCCACTCTGTGCACGGACAACCTCTCACATGCTCGTTCGCGACTCAAGCTTGCTCGTCTCATGCCTCGTCCCGCCTATCTCGTCGCCTGCCTCATTGCCTGCGTCGCACGACGCCACACGTCGCTGTCGCATTCGCGAGCTCTGGAGCCGCACGTATACCCTGCCATGTCTCCTGCTACCTCGCGCACTACAGCCGTCAACCCGAGCACTACAGCCGTCAACCCGAGCACTGCCGCGGAGAATCGTGCCTAGCTACAGCCACCGTCCCAGTCACCGAAAGTCCGCGACCTCCTCCTCTAGTCCTCATACCCCTCCCCCTTCTCAACCCCCCCGCGCCCCTCCACTCTTCCCAGGCACCTCTCTCCGCCACCCTTCACCCATCTCCCACTCGCCCTCGGCAACCTCCCTCCATTCAACACCTTTTCCGCCCTCTGCTCCTGCCCATCCGTTCCCCCCCCCGCTTCCCCTGCCCACCCACCCCAGGCCCCCACCAAAATATGGATGGCTTATGCGACATGACAACGGGAACGGGACACGCGACGGAGAACAAGAAACGGTGGCGGAGATACTGAGAGGGGGAACGGAAATACAATAAGACAGACGGGTTGGAACGGAGAGAGGGAGCGAGGTAAGGGATGGGGATGGGAACGAAGAGGGGAAGAGAGACACGAGTGCGCGTGAGGGAGGTGAACAAGGATGAGGGACAAGGAGAAGGGCAATGCTGTAGGGGATTACAGGGGAGAAAAGTAGGGAGGTAAGGTAGTAGGAAACGAGACACGAGTGGCGCGTGAAAGTGCTGATTGGTTGAGTTCGGGTGGTAATGTAATGAGGTAAGGCAATCAAATTCTCATTGTCCGAATTTCCATTACGCGTCGGTGGGAATCACAACTCCAGACGCGCGCACCGGACGAGCAAACGAGGGAGGACATGCACGCTGATAAACACACACACACACGCAAACAGACAACACACGCACGCGCACGCGCACACACGCGCACACGCGCACACACGCACACACGCACACACACACACACACGCAACCGAGGGGAAGCAAACGAGCCTGAGCGCACACACAAGGAGTGAAGCTTATAACCAGTAAAGAGAAGCTCATTACCCAATTTTGCACATGACACGTGGTAAGCGATGCACCGCGGCAAGCCAAGCCAAGTCCTTCTGCGCCTACAATTTCCTGCCTCCATCCAACTTCATCCCACTCCATCCTACTCCATCCTACTCCATCCCACTTCATCCACAGCTACTGCTGCTACTGCCAGTAAGGCCACTACTGCCACTACTGCGACTACTGCCACCACTGGCACTACTGCCGCTACTGGGACAAGCGCAAGGCTACCTCCCACACAGCAACTCCAACGACCCTCTTCCATCCCAGAGCATCGCAGCAGCTTCTATTGCTGTCCGTACACCAGCCGCAGAAGCAGCAGCAGCAGCAGCAGCGTACCGCCTTCCACACAGTGGCTTCTACGCCCCAATTGACTTCACCAGAATTCGAGATTCATCCAAGGCCAAGCAGACTCAGCACAGCTCAGCGCAGCCCAGCACGCCACGTGTCCGGTCGCATCTAACCCAATCCAGGGAACGAAATCTGACCAAACCAGGATAAATCGAGCGACTCCCGAGAGGACTAGTCCGTGAGAGCGGTGCGGTGCGGTTCTAATTGGCGGGAATCTCAATCTCGCCGTCGTCGATCTCTTGCTGCACGTCCTTAGGGCTCTTGCCGTCCACAGTGCAACCCACCGACACGCACGTTCCGAGGATTTCCTTCACAGTGCCCGTCAGCTCCTTCGCGATCGATCGTGGCCGCATCACGCGGGCGACCTCGATGACGTCATCCATGGAGATGTTACCGTTGTGCTTGATGTTCTTCGTCTTCTTGCGGTCGCGCTCCGGCTCCTTGAGAGCTTTAATGATCAGAGCCGCGGCGCTAGGAACGACTGAGACCTTAGCCTGACGATTCTGCACTGTCAGCTTAACGGTCACGCGAAGACCCTTCCATTCCTTAGCTGTCTCCTTGGCGATATCTTCTCCAATCTTCTTAGGAGAGAGACCGAGCGGACCGATCTTAGGAGCGAGGGACGACGCGGCGCCGACTTCGCCGCCCGTCACGCGGACGAAGACGTCGACAATCGCCGTGGGATCCATTTTGGGAGGCATGGTGGCGAATTTGCAAGAAACGACGGAAGGAGTATTAGGAGGCGGGGTAATAAGTTGAAGGAACTATGTGCTCGGGACGCCACGAGCTTCGCGACTGTATTTCCTGACGCGAAAAAAGGAGTGCGTTGAACCTCCTAGCTTCCTGAAAGTGCAGCCTGATTGGGGAGAATTTGCTGCTTGGGGAGAAGTGGGGGGCGGAGGGGGGAGTGAGCGGGGCGGAGGGGGAAGAGAACGGGGCGGAGGGGGAGTGGGTAGGGGGAAGAGGCGGGAAATGAGAGGGGGAAGGGGGAGTGGGAAAGGGGAGGGATAAAGGAAGTAGCGGACGAGAGGGGTTGGAAAAGGTGCAGGGTGGTTGCGTGGGGTGTACTGTCACTACCACGTCACGTAATGCCGACAACGGCGGGGACTGAAGTGATTTTCGTTAGGAGATTTTGAGTTGGGAAGACGGGGGGGATACCCGCGCAGGGTTTAGCGAAGGCTTTATTTGGGCCTTGCGTTTTCTCCAACTTTACGGCAATACTGCTCTTTGATTAAATATGCTGCTAAATAAGTCTACGTCAATGAACCCATATGATATCACACTTCCTGGCTGACATCCAGTCTTCGCGTTACGACTGCCTAAATCGAATAGTTCGGTCCAGCCTGGACATCAGTGATGTGGTCGAATCTGCGTTCGCCCTCCTGGCAATTCCCTCCACTGACGTCATGTCAAACCCACCGAGGGGCCAACATCATAGACATGCAAATTAGTGTGGTAACCCTATCCAATGGTATGCAAAACCGTCTTACCTCTGTTTGCAAGTTATTGACATGCTGCCCTGAAAGCGCGTTCGTCTTTAATTCAAAATTGATCTTTACCGCGCTTGCCTTCGCGCTAAGACGTGATTTCTTCGGGCCAAGAAAAAAATAAAACCCGATCGGAAAGGGATGCGTCAGGGAGGCATCAACCCTAAAAACAATGTCCTTTCCCGTGTTTAGGGTTGATCCCTCCCAGAAATGCGTCCAGGTCCCTAGGGGTTTTATTGTTTTTCTGCCCTGCCCCTACATTTCCCGGTAGCAATATATTGGTCCAAATTAATGTTATCGAAATGGACCCCGTAGCCTTTCATTCCAGTGGATTTTTCGTCACATTTAGCGGAAAATAGTAGCCGGCAGGAATATTTGTTAGGCGCCGAACAAGACGCGGTAAGAACCACGACGATACGAAATCGAAAACGCAACTGATTCAATCACATATTTTCTTCCTTTTCTGTGCTGCGATAGCTGTTACACAGTGTTTTGAGTGGCGCTACCAGACAATTTTGCGCAGCAGAACTGGGGTATCGACGGTTTTGCATACCATCGAATAGGGTTACCAGACTAATTTGCATGTCTATGATGTTGGCCCCCCCACCGAGCCTTTCCTGAAACGAAATTGACCAATCTAAGGCGACCACGACCTCGCCACTCTCGCAAACCAGCACACCAACCTCCTCTCTGTGTCAACCACAGCCACCCACCAATCACCAGCGCATTGCTGATACAGTCAATCGAACGGCTCATGGCGAAGGCAAAAGGTCAAGGAGGCTCGCCAGATCTCTGTCCGAACCGAGCCCAGCCGAGCCTAGCTTCGTCGTCATCGTTTCAGTACACTGTTTCTCCTAGCTTCGTTTCCGCTCGCATCTCTCTGCTTCTGCCCTCGAGTTATTTCTGTATCGTCAAGCCTCCCATGTCTGGCTCTCACAATACCGATTCCATGGTATAAGCATATCAGTTCGGTACTGCTTTAATTTCCGTGACTGGCTGACTCAAATCGTTGCATGTAATACGTGTCCATACACTTCTCGCTTTTCTGCTTCGCTGAGACCATCGGTTTTTAGTGTGTGGTAGTCATCGCACAGCTGAGATACCGCTCCTTCCTGGTGCCGTGGAACTTTTCATCCCTTATATTACGGATTCCGCTCGTAAGGAAGCCGACCCGCTTTCCTGTCGCGAACTAGTTTTCCAATTGTTACTGACCGGCGAACGTTCTATTTGTATTAGAGACTGCTGCGCTTTTTAGCCATGGCGTCTAATGCTCTAAGCTTCTCTACAGCCTCGCTTCACACGGCCTTATTGAATTCACCAACTTCTAAGGCCCGTTCTTGTGTTGAATCTCATAGACACCTTTCTGCAAAGCTCCGACCCACCGTTGACCCAAGTCCTGCATTCGTCCTCCGAGAAAACACGTCACTACAATCGTCAACTTTCTTACCTGCTTCCCAACCCAACAAAAAACCTCTAAGGAATGTCAAGGTTCCCGCGTTTTCGGCCGCTGGATCTGATCTCGACGGCGAGCATTTGAGCAATGGAGAGGATGCAGAAAAGCCGGACCGACAGACCGGCAGGGGACGGGAAGAAAGCGGTGAGGCCGTCGTCCAAGAAGGGCGAAACAGCCATATCTCTACGTTCCGACGGGCAAACAGGTCCGATTAGTGCGTTCATCCCGCCTATATTCCACTTCCTGGCGCCACTTTCCTCGCTTTCCCTTCCATTTCTCTTCCTCCCTCTCTCTCTCTCAGTATTCCCCCCTCCCTTTCTATTCCTTTCCTTCTCTCCGTTTTCCTCGTCTCTCTCCGCCTCGCTCTCCCCGCCTCTACTCTCTCCTCCGAATCCTCTCTATATAAGCCACCCTTCAGATCCCAACGTTTCTCACCCCTCTCCCACCATCTCCCACATCAGATCCGTTCACCTATGGCCTACGTTGGATCCGCATCAGCACAGCAGCAGGCCTCTGGCTCGCTCTCTTCTTCGCCTCGTGTATCAATCGCGACGACTCAGGCGGCGGAGGAGCCTCTTCCGCCAATTTCCCGCTGCCAGGGAGGACTCGTGGTGGCAGTGGCGGCGGGAGCAGGAAGTTTTCCAGCCGCAGCAGCAGCAGCAGCAGCAGCAGCAGCAGCAGCAGTAGCAGCAGTGCGTTTACTGGAAGTCCTCCTGACAGCTGAGACCAATTGTTTAGGGTTTGCAGATTCCATGTGCTGTGCTATGGCCATGGCTAAGTTTGCGATCTGTGGGTTGTGTGGGGAGGTGGAATAGCAAGTATTTGAGCATTGAAAATGAAATCTCCCTTGTACAGGGTCGGTGGATTGATGGTGTATAGGGTATGGTGTATTTGCACTTTAGAAAAGGAGATGTGACAGGCTGGTTTGAAAGTTTTCTCAGTGTAGTCCTGGTTGTTCCTTTATACTAAATACAATGGGTAGGTAATCTACTTCCAAGAACCATTGTCATCCAGAGAAAATACATATGCGGTTATTATTATCAGTTCAGTACACGTGATTTTGTAGATCAGATGCAGCAAGTGCAGCAGGGGTCAGCAAGAAGCTGTTACACCCGTAATGCTGAAACAGTCAGTTCTACTACCGGTATCAGCCCTCCCTCCTCCTACCCTAGTGGTTATGTCAAGCTTGGGGGCAGCCTCCCACACAGCATCATCAATCTGGTCAAAATTTGGCTTCTACGCTAACAGCCGCAGCAACAGCAGGCAGGAACGCACGGGGGGCTATGCACATGCTGGGGACAGCTGCACCGCACCGCACAGCACATTCGTCAGAATCACGATGTCGCATTCGTCAGATAGTCGCATTATTCCACAACAAGCTTGTTCACGGGTCTGAGAGCACGTCGAGGCCGACAATGAGGAAGGCAAGCCCTTGGAAGAGCAGGAAGTAGAAGTGCAGCCCGTGCGCTGACAGCAGGCTGCGCGCTGCTGCCGTCACCAGCAGCGCCGCTAGCGCCAGCTCCTTGGGGTAGATCCTGAGGGAGACGGCGAGAGCAGCAGAAAGAGGAGAGGGGAGGAACCATGCAAAATCATGGAAATGAGAGGATAGATGATCATTTGAAAGCCATGCAAGAGGAGACCTAATCGTCTGTTTGGTAAGGGCCATTGAACAGAGGCAGAAGAGAGCAGAGTGGAGTTGAGCAGGGCATAGCACAGCAGGGCATAGCACAGCAGGGCATAGCCCAATGCGTCATGGCCCGTGCATGATTCTTACCTGCGGGTCACCTTGGCCTTCGGTGCCGTCGCCGCTGCTGAAGTTGGTTCACTCTGAAACTTCGGATCCTTTCCAGCAGCACCAATGGCGATAGGTGTGACAGCAAGAGCTATGTGCGGTGCTGTGGGGTTGGGTGTTGTTCTCCAGGAGTTCAGTTGGTGGGAGGGCGGAGGGGTGGGGCGGAGCAGCGGGGTGGTTGTGCTACTGTAATTGTAGTTGTAACTGTGGCTGTGGCTGTGGTCGTGATTAGAGTCATCGTTAGGAGAAGTCTTGGCTTTCCGTGGCGTCTGCTCAGTGTTTCGCGCCAGAACGTTGCTGGAAAGAGCACCCAGCACTGATCGCTTCTGCATGAGAGAGCAAGAGAGACAGAAATAGTTTAAGGCAAGCAGACGAGAATTCCAGAAGGGAAGAGGCGAGGAGCAACTGAAAGGGATAGAAATGAAAGGATGAAGGCGTACCGGAGTGGTCGCTGGTTTGCCATTCACTGGGGTTGCATCAGCAGCTCCCGCACCAACACCAGCACCAGCACCAGCAGCGGTGGCAGCAGCGGCGGCGGCGGCGGCAGCAGCGGCAGCGCCGAGATTACCACAATCACCATCGTCAGTACCATCAGCACCTGGTGTTGCCACCGACGCAAAATCCTCGTTCCCTTCCGCCTTTCCTTCCGCCTTCCACCTCGCGTTCGCGCCTAGAGCACTACCGCCTAAAGCACTACCGCCACCGCCGCCGCTAGCGTCCAGCGAGCGCGCGCCGCCGGTCTTCTTGGTAACCACCCACTCGTGCGCGCTCTTGAGCTGGAACAGTCCCGCAACCATGGCGTGGAACTTAGTCACAGACATGGTATTCTCGAAGAGCAGGTACGGGATGGTGAAGGGGAGCGACCGCGGCGAGGGGAGCACGTTGAGGAGGGACATTACTCCGGGCACGTAGCAGACTACCCAGAGGGGGAGTGCGGCTTCGGGTACGAAGATAGTGAGGGGAAGGAGGACGCAGAAGAGCAGGAAGGAGTAGAAGGGGAGGATCATTTTGCGGAGGAGGAAGAAGAGGAAGATGAGGTGGAATTTCTTCCATAGGGAGATCTGCGGGTGGGGAGGGGGGGAGGGGGAGCGGGGAAGGGCGGGAAAGGGCGGGAAGGCCGGGGTGCGGGAAGGCGGGAGGGCGGGAGGGCGGGAGGGCAGGGAGGGAGCGGGTGAGGAGGAAGAACGTGACGTGGAAAACGGCGCAGTGGATCCAGACAGACACAACGGGCCTTAGCGGCGATCATGGCAACGGGCCCTAGCAGCACACACGCACTCGCAATCACGACACGGAGGACGGACCTTAGCGGCGAGGTACAGGCGGAAGAGGTGCATGGGGCCCGAGTGCCATGAATACGACGAGACACACGCACGCATGCACTCACCGCCACACGCGCAACCTCAGCCGCACCCGCCCACCCACCTTAGCAGCGACGATATCCCCGAGGCAGAGCCGGAACAGGTGCATGGGGCCCGAGTGCCATCGGTGCTGCTGCTTCCGGTACGCCTCGTACGACTGCGGCAGCTCGCACTGCACCTCCACGTCGTTCAAAAACACGAAGCGCCACCCCTTGAGATGCGCGCGCACCGCCAGATCCATGTCCTCCACCGTCGTCCGATCCAGCCACCCGCCGCTATCTTCCAGCGCCGCGATCCGCCACACGCCCGCGGTGCCGTTAAACCCGAAGAAGCCGAGAAACGCGCCGTTGACTTGCTGCTCGATCTCGAAGTGGAAAGCCAGGTTAACGTGCTGGAGCCGCGTTAGGAGGTTCTCCTCGCGGTTGACGAAGCTCCAGCGCGCCTGGACCAGTGCCACGTCAGGCTGGTCCTTGAAATGCGGGACGGTCCGGCGCAGGAAGTCCGGGCGCGGCTGGAAATCCGCGTCGAAGATGGCGACGAACTCGTACTTTCGCACGTAGGCGCACGCCATCGCGCTCGCGAGGTTACCCGCTTTGTAACCCTTGCGATCCGTCCTGTGCCGGTACACGATCGGCGCGCCTCGCGCTGCCCACGCTTCCACCTCCGCGCGAATCATATCCGCCGTCTCCTCGTCACTGCTGTCGTCTAAAACCTGCACCAGGAACCGGCTAGCCGGCCAGTCGAGCTGACACGCGGCAGCGATCGACTGGTCGTAAACCTCACGCTCGTTACACATCGGAATCTGGACTAGAACCATGGGGAAAGCGTCGGATGCGGGGCGCTCGGGATCCGCTGCCGCGTCGGCTTCGTAACGGCCCTTAGGTTGCGGCCGGTAGCGGGTGAGGAAAAGGTACAAGCCGCCCAAGGCGAGCACGAGACGGTCGACGGATTGCAGGAGGAAGAGGTAGATGCAGATGTCTGTCGCCCACTGCAACGGGCGACCGATCCACGTCGCCCTGCGACGGCGACGACGGGAAGAGGGCAGGAGCACGAGATTTGAGAGGAGCGAGGGAGAGAAAAGCGAGAAGTTAGAAAGATGAGCACGAAAGAGCATTCACAACGAGATGACAAAACAAAACAACAAAAACACACAGACACACACACACACACACACACACACACACACACACACACACACACACACACACACACGCACGCACACACACACACACACGCGCGCACGCACGCACGCACGCACGCACGCACGCACGCACACACACACACACACACACACACACACACACACACACACACACACACACACACATTAATTCCAGAATCAGGGCCGGGCCTGCCCAGCAGCGCATCACATCACTCATTACCGGAAACTCAGCCAGCGCCCGTACACCTCCGAGCCCCACACCTCCAATCGCGTCACTGTCCTTTCCCGCCCGTGGTACAGCCAGTGATACCACTCCCACTGCAACTCGCCGCTATGCGCGCACACTTCCACTATCAGCAGCAACACGGAAACCAGCAGCAGCACCCGCAGCCCCAGCAGGATCCCCCTCCCGCCTCCGCCGCTTCCGCTGAATCGCGACTTCCCGCCGGCGAGAGGGCTTAAGCTCTCGTCGTAATCGGAATAGTACCCGTCGTCGTCTTCATCGTCGTAGTCGTATTCATCTCCGTCCGTTCCCTGATCGCCACACTCAGTCCCTTTGCGCGCCAATAACCGCTCGTGCACGGCTGACGTCAGCGACAGGAATCCCGACGTCATCCACCGGAAGATTCCCGCTGCGCGTTGAGCCCGAAGCCACAACAGCCACGTCACGAGCTTCGCGCTTCGGACTCGCGCGGGCTTACTTAGCGTGCTGGGCTCACGGTCTCGGAAACCGGATTCTCCGGAGGCGGAAAAAGCGGGCGGAGTCGTTGCGCCCATCGGGGTATGCGGAGAGTCGACGGGGGAGTCGGGTCGCAAGACGCAACCAGCCTCAGCTTGCGCGTTCGCGCCGGATCTAAGGCTGGAAGCGTCGTCGGCGGCGCCAGCCGCGGAGAGCAGCGAGTGGCTGCTGGTGCGGGGAATTGCCAGCGTCGGAAACGCTGGGAAAGGAGAGAACGGTGACGCGGGTGGGATATTGTGAGGCTTCCGATGGGGGCACGCGGAGGAGGGTTCGACGTCTTGTGATGGTAGTGAGAGGAGTGATGGGCGAATGCGTGAAGTGGGGAGGTTGGGGGGACACGAATCCACAGGAAACGTGCTAGTAGAAGCGTTATTCCCGCGTAAACTCTGTGCAGCGGGAGTAGATCCTCCTGATTGGTTCTGTGGAACTCCTCCGACGCTGATTCCGTTGCCCATACGGTTCCACAATGACTTAGGCGCGTCGAACTGGAATACGTTATGAGTCTCGCAATGGCGGCTGCTAGGATCCGTATCATGCGCCATTTTCAAGTGGCTGGGCAGTCGCGTACGCGATTTTACCGTGTTGAGCTCCGGAGGTCAAGGTTAAGGAGAGAGCGAGTCACAGAGAAGTTGAGGAAGCTGTGGAGCGACGAGATTATGAGTGTCACGGGAATTCGGAGCGGAATGCATGGACTTGGAGTTATGGAGGGGCATGTAACACGTGAAGATACAATTTGCAACAATCCTGGGATTTTGGTATGAGTTTCGCGTCGCGCAGATGGATTCCTTGATGTGGTACGCGTCGCGCGGAATGCTGAACGGACTGCGCCGTGGAAATCAAGTCATTGGCGAAGTGGGCTGTTGCGAAAAGAAGCGCCTTCGTGACCCCGTCAGAAACCACAGCTGGCGTCGGCCTCTGTCATCAGCGTCGCCGGTTTGACGCCTGCCACAGTTCTGGGTGGTGATGGCCGACTCGGGACTCCCCGCGATGGGAAAATTGGATTTTACGAAGGGGTCGTCCCCGACTGGAAATACCTGGTTTGGCGAAAGGGTCAGACCTTTTCGACCGACCTCTCTTGCCAAAAATAACAGAAACGACGAGCTTGTTGTGCAGACGACCCCTTCGCCGACTGTTCGTCGAGGCGCTGGTTACCGCAGCGTAGGTTGCTCTGAAGTTTCAATGACGGCGCTATGTCCTTGCGACTCGGTGTACGGGCTAGGTCACGCATTCAACACAGCCTGTGGCAGGCAAAACAGACTTCGCTAGTTTCCGTTCACCTAAATGGCACAACGGGAGGGGCGCCAAGTACCCACTCGCTTCAACAACCTCGTTATGCTTCTGTAGATCATACAGTCTCATTCTCCATTCACTACATTTATATCCCCCTTGAAATGGCAAAACACAAGTACGAAGTGGAATATATATTCGCAAATATGTTGTATAGAAAAACATATACGGGATCCATATGGGTTATATTGTGATAAATGGTCAAAAAAATATCTTGAATTTTTATTTCACTTGATTCAGTGCATACTGTAGAAAGCGGCGTATTCACTGAAATACTCCAATCTGTACGGCGTATTCACTTGCTCTTCTGCAGTTCCCGCGCCACCCAATCAGTTCACCTTGCCAGCAGGGTCTTCCAATGAGATGCATTATTGGCTGCAGAAGTTCACCACCCCAACTGTAATGGGGGAGTTCAGTTCACACCACTCATTGCTGAGACATGGGGATGCTTGGGGGGGAGTTTTGGACGGTGGCTTAAGAAGCAGGGTGACGCGCAGATCGAGATAGCAAAGACGAAAGGGGCGGCGCGAGCTACGGGAAAGGGTTTCTCGGCTTATTTGCTCGGATCGCTCAAAGCGGCTGTGGGTGTGGCTTTGCAACGGGCTCAGGCGCGTGTGATCTTGTTACGCGCGGCGTCGATGATGAGAGGCCCAGAGGCTGTTTGGGTGGAGCGGGAGGATGTTGAGGAGGAGATGGGATGGGATGCTCCGTGGGCGGATGCACCATACTTGGTAGACATGCGGGTTTAGGGAGTGGGTTTAGGGGGGGAGGTTTGGTTCGATGGGAGTGCAGTTGGGGTGCTTTGATGGGAGGGCTTGATGGTGTTTTAAATGTGTGTGCTATTGGGGTTTTCTTGGGGTTGTGTGTGCTGCTTTTTCTTCCTTCTTCCCTGTTTTTCTTCCTCCTATCATTTTTCCCCTATTCCCCTCCTTCTTTCTTCCTCTCTCCTTTTTTCTACTCACGTTATTCCTCCTTTTCTCCTCTCTTCCCGTTTCCACTCCTTTTCCTTGCGTAATTATGCTACATTGTAATATTTTGAAGTAATACAAGTGTTATGAGTTGTCAAACAGAGTTGCGCGGAATAACGAATAACGAGGCTGTGACTCAATGAACTGACGATACAATGAAAGACATGCGATTATATAGCGAGGCAACCTAACTAGGCGGGAACCTCGGGAACACGAGGTTGAGTGCAGGTTGGGCAAAGGAAAGCCGAAGGCGACGCGAGGTTGCTTCGGCAGCAAGCAAAGCGGCCGAACGTGCACTTCCGAAAGTTGGGGTTGTACGCGGTTGAGTAAACCCCAGTAAGGAAAAAGGGTTTTTCCTTACACTACCCCCCCCCTTAAGAAAGGTGGTCAACATCCACAGCTCGCTTGCGGGCGAGGTAATCACCAAGAAGCGGGGAAGCTTCAAGCGAGGCGGATGGCACCCATGTGTCGTCCTCACTGGTGCGGTCAGTCCAACGGATAAGAAAGTCCACGTGGCGTCCCGAAGCGTCGAGCCGAACACGATGCGCCAAAATCTTGGACGGGTCGAGTGTCGGTTCCGGGACAGGTCGAGCTGTCGGGACGGCGTTCTGGCGCGCGATGTCTGTTGTGGCAGGCACGAACTTGCGTAATAAGCTGACGTGGAAGGCGTCGTGAATACGCCAGTCGTCGGGTAGTAGCAGCTTCGCGGTGACAGGTGTCACCATCTTGAGGATCCTGAAAGGCCCACAGAATCGTGGCCGTAACTTCGATGGGCCGGGCAGGTGCAGGTTCTTCGTGTCCAGTAGTACTAGTTGCCCAGCTGCCAAGACGAGTTCCCGTCGTAAAAGGTCGGTGTATTTGCGGGAAGTGGTATTCGCCTTGCGAATTGCGTCCGCAGCCTTCTCGCGAATTTCTTGGAGTTCTGTCACAAATGTTTGTGACCTCGGGACCGGGTTGTCAAGTGTAGTCGTTGTAGGTACCACCGGGTCCATCCCGTAATTCAAGAAGAACGGGGAGTGATTAGTCGTGCTGGACGGAGCGTTGTTGAACGCGAATTCCAGCATGGCGAGCGAATGTTCCCAGCGAGCGGGGTCGGGGCAGTTTGTCCTGATCAGCTGCTCCATCGTCTGATTGGTCCGCTCGGTCTGGCCGTCGGTTTGCGGGTGGTATGCCGACGAGAACTGTAGCTTCGTTCCGTACTGCGCCCACGTCTCCCTCCAAAATTTCGATGTGAACTTTGGGTCCCGGTCGCTGATGATCGCCGATGGGATGCCGTGTAGTCGCACAACGGTGGAGATGAAGAGGCGTGCAGTTTCTTCGGCGGTGATTGTCGTGCGACAAGGTGCGAAATGCGCCATTTTTGTGAGGCGATCGACGACGACGAGTACAGCGTCGTTGCCGGACGGCCCAGCTGGCAGCCCCGTGACAAAGTCCATCGTCACCTGTTGCCATGGTCGTTCGGGTGGCTCGAGAGGTTGCAGCAACCCAGCTGGCCGCTGACGTGTCGATTTCATGGCTTGGCACACCCTGCATGAGGACACATATCGCTGCACGTCGTTAGCAGAATCAGGCCAATAATACTGACGGTGCAACAACTTCTGGGTTTTATCAACCCCGAAATGTCCGGAGAGGTTGGAATCATGGACCTCCTGAATAAGGAGTTCGCGCAGCAGCCGGTAAGCGGGAACCCAAATCCGGTCAGTTCCGGCCTTTAGGTAATAATTCCCTTTCTGCGTCGTCGCCTGCTGGTGATTTCCAGTCGTGAAGAACGGGTCCGTAGTGTAGCCGTGGGTGAATAGTCCCGAAAGAAGCGGGTTCGAATGGGTGATCAGCACAGCAGCGGATTGGACTGTCGGTCGGGTCAGGGCGTCGGCAATATTGTTCGCGCCCTTCTTGTAGGTGATCCTGTAGTGGAAGTGTGACTCCATGTAATCGAGCCACCGGATTTGTCGTGGGTTGAGGTTGGGTTGCGCTCGAAGGTACTGTAGGGATTTATGATCGGTGCGAACAGTGACGTCGGCGCCAGTCAGGTAGCATCTCCACAGTTTAAACGCGTGAATGATGGCGAGCATCTCCTTGTCGTGAATCGGGTAGTTGCGCTCGGCTGCCTGCAACTTGCGTGACTCGTAGGCGATCGGTTGTAAGCCGTTGCCAAAATCCTGGAGCAGCACTGCGCCGATGGCGAAATCTGAAGCGTCGGTGACGACTTCGAACGGCTTGGATGGGTCGGCGATGCGAAGAACCGGAGGGGACACCAGTAGCTGCTTCAACTCCTGAAAAGCCGCCTCAGCCTCTTCCCCCCACACGAAATTCCTATCCTTGTGCAGCAGGTCGGTCAGCGGGCCGGTTATCCCCGCCATATTCGGGATAAACCGCCGGACATAATTCACAAACCCCAGAAAACTCTGAAGTTCTGTGACATTAGTCGGGGCCTTCCATTCCTGGATGGTCTTGATTTTCTTCGGGTCGATTTTGATGCCGTCGCGTGAGATGACGTGCCCCAAAAACTCCAACTCTTGCTTAAAGAACTCGCACTTAGAGCCTTTGGTGATGAGGCGATTCTCCTGCAACCGCTTAAACATTGTGTCGAGGTCGCGGAGGCGCTGCTCGCGTGTCCTGCTAAAAATCAGAATATCGTCCAAGTAGACGATAACACACTTGTCCAGCAGGTCGCGAAATACCCTGTTCATGGTGCGTTGAAATGTTGATGGCGCGTTCGTGAGGCCGAAAGGCATCACGGTGAACTCGTAACTGCCGTAGCGGGTTCGGAAGGCGGTCTTGTGACAATCGTCAGCGAATACTCTGATTTGGTGGTAACCGCCGCGTAGGTCAATCTTTGAAAAGTAGCGAGCGCCGCGAAGTTGGTCGAGGAGGTCGTCGGTGCGTGGGATGGGATAGCGAGACTTGATGGTAACCCGGTTGAGCGCGCGATAGTCGATGCACATGCGAATGCCGCCGTCCTTCTTCGGTGTGAACAGGATCGGTGCGGCGAAGGGCGAAGTACTGGGTCGGATGAAGCCCTTCTCCAACAGTGACTCAAGTTGACTTCGAAGCTCCGCGAGTTCGGGCTGAGTCAACCGCCACTGTGTACGAACAGTCGGATGCGCGCCAGGTTCCAGCTGGATTTTGTGGTCTTCGGGTCTCTCGGGTGGCAGGCCAGGTGGCAAATCGTCGGGGAAGATGTCGGGGTACTGTCGAATCAGCTCCGCTAAATCCGGTGGTACAGCTGCGCACAGCTTCTCGATGTCGTTTCCGTCGGTGTCGGCTGCCAACTCGCGTAAACATACGGCGAACACTTGCGCACCCCTGTTGACGTGGCGTGTAATCGTGATGGCTTTGACGCATGTAGACTCGATGCAGTCCGGAGTCCACGCGGGCAGAGTAATCAGCTTCCCGTCCTTGCTGATGCTGCACGATCCCGTCGTCCAATCGATTATCGGGTTGTGCCGTCGCAGCCAATCGCGCCCCAGGAGCACGTCGCATCCGTCCAACGTCGTCGCGAGAAACTTCATGCTGAAGCCGAAATCGTCGCCGCACTCAATCCGCACCGTCCGTGTTTCTTCCAAAATCGCCAGAGGCGTCCCATCCACGAGGCGGGCGTCAATTTCGGGCAGACACCTGTCCAGCTGCAACTTGCATTTTTTTGCTGTCGCCAGATTGAAGAGGCTATGGCTAGCCCCGCCATCGACGAACATTTTAATTTTTTTTTTCTTAACAACCGTGCCAACAACCAGCACAGGGTGATCCACATGTTCACCCCCGTTATTCGTCCGAGTGCGATCGATTGCATGAATCGGAACCACGACTCGGTGGGGATGGTGGGGTTCGGGCGACAGAGCGCAGTCAGTAAGGGGCCCGTCTGTTACTGACTCTTCCCATTTCCCGGCTCCTTCCCGTCGTTCCTCTTTCCCTGCGTCCTGTCGGGGCAGTCTTTATACATGTGGCCCGGCTTCCCGCACTTAAAACACAACCCTGTAAAAGGGCGGTCTGGCGCATGGACTCCGTTAATCGTGGCCCGCTGGGTCTGTCCACGAAATCGGTTTCCCTCCCGAGAACTCGATCTCGCCCACTGCATCAGCGCGTCTGTGCTCTCGGCCAATCGGACGGCTTCGTTGAATGTTGCTGGACGGCTGCGGCGCACCTCGTACTGTATCTCATACTTCAAGCCGCTGATGTATTTATCCAACCGTTCAGCTTCCGCCATGTCGTCCACTTGATCCGCGAGCGCCATAAACGACGCTGTGTAGTCTTGAACAGAAGCCAACTGTGACCAGGTACGCAGCTTCATGCGAGCGTGTTCCGAGGCGGATACATGCTCGAAACGCTCTCGTAAGGCTGCGCCCCACTGCTTCCACGTGCGAATTGTGGCCACACCGAATATTGATGATGCCCTCCCAATAGCAGAGTCCGAAGTCCCGTCTGCCGCATGTGTCACACCTGTCGGGGTCCCCGTGTCCAAGGTTCGTCGCCACCACTCAAGCGCCGGGCCTCGTAGGAGCGATACCGCGTAATTAATACGCGTGGCGTCGTCGTTGACATTCGCTGCAGTGAAGAACACCTCCACGCCGAACAACCACCCCTTAACAGTAGTGTTCTTGTCGGTAGGGTTGAACGGGGGCGGGCTCGTAGGCTTTATCTTGATTGTTGTCACTGCAACTGTTGTCGCTGCCGCCGCTCGCTGCCTATCTTCTTCTTCGAAGCCGCGTGTGAGCTCGTCCAACGGATTGCCGCTCACCGCTTGACCAGTGCTCTCGCCTTCTTCAGCGGGCGACTCCTGGCGCGCTTCACCTCGCGCCTGGCGTAGCTCGTTGTTTTCTTCACGTAGTCTCTCCACCTCTGTCGTTAACGCCTTCATGCCTGCCGACATCTCCGCCACTTGCTGCATCAACGCGTCAAATGCCGCCTGATCCTAGTAGGCAAGTGGGTATCCGTGACTATCCGGCAACAGTGCAAGCGCAAAAGCTATCGGGGTCGGGCAAGTTTAATTTAATAAACTTTGCAACCAACCGCTTTGCAACCAACCGCTTTGCAGCCCACCGTACCAGTCACACCCGTGCCTCTAAACTACCCTGGAAAAGCGGGGTGAACTAGGAAAGTAGCTCTGATACCAGATGTTATGAGTTGTCAAACAGAGTTGCGCGGAATAACGAATAACGAGGCTGTGACTCAATGAATTGACGATACAATGAAAGACATGCGATTATATAGCGAGGCAACCTAACTAGGCGGGAACCTCGGGAACACGAGGTTGAGTGCAGGTTGGGCAAAGGAAAGCCGAAGGCGACGCGAGGTTGCTTCGGCAGCAAGCAAAGCGGCCGAACGTGCACTTCCGAAAGTTGGGGTTGTACGCGGTTGAGTAAACCCCAGTAAGGAAAAAGGGTTTTTCCTTACAAGATTCCTGACCCCAACTGTAATCCCACCACCACCGAACCAACCGCGATCCTTGAATTCGTACCTTGCATTACGGCGGACAGGGTTCAGCTCAGTTCACTGTACGCAAACAGTTTCAGTTTCTCCCTCGCAGCCTGGTCTTCCGGTCACACCGCTGTCCTCGTCAGATGTCGGTCTTTATTGGTGTTTCCGTCAACCTCGCTGGGGCCAGTCATGTCGAGCCTGCCACCTCCGAGGCTGGGTTTCGGGTTCCCGCACCGCTGTGACCTCCCGGGCTTGTCGAACCAGGTTTCCAAAGCAAGACGCGTTCTGGGTTTGGAAAACAAGCCTGTCACTCACCCTGGTAACCTCTCCCGGCTCGGCAGCAAATCCCGTACCTCTCCCTGCCATATCCAATATCAAAACCAATCTCGATGACCATCCAAGGCACTCAACTCCCGCCCCTTCACCCTCCTCCACCCCGCACCCCCTCCCCTTGCGCGCCTACCTTCCATCTCCCCTCACCTCACCTTAGCTCCTTCCCCCCACACCCGTACCTGATTTCTTTCCGCCTGGTGTATTTTTCCGTTCCGACCCGTTGCTTGCTGCTGTACATTCCAATCCCAATCAAGTAGCTCAGAGGTTATGCGGCTTCGGCTGTGGTGGATGCGACGACCCGAATTTGGGTTTTGAGTCGATCACGCACCCTTACTGAAACTTTACGCCAAAAGCGCAGTACTGCAGCTTCAGGCGCAGGGTTTCTGCCAGTTTTTCGCTCATCGCGCAGAATTAGCTCCTTTCAACGCAGCTCGATGTTCATTGGGCCACATGTTCGAAATTTAGAGGCCAATTGGTTTTACTGTTAGTGAGAACAGTAAAAATCCAGACCTGTTTTTTACCTGCGCGGAAAAAAATAACCCATGGAAAAAAGGCATCAATCATATACACCCAATTTATGGTGTTTAGGGTTGATGACTCCCTCGATGCTTGCTTGCCTCGAAAAATATTAATCATCACGAACAATAAAACCGATGGTTTATGGCATCAACCCTAAGCACTTCCGCATTGTGTTTAGGGTTGATGCCTTCCTAAACAACATGCCATCCGATAGGGGTTTATTTTTTTGTCTGCTCAAAATACAGGTGTAGACCGCTCGTTGGCCGTCAATTTAAGCGGAGTTGTCGGTCCGTCGATATTTTGGCCAATGATGAATGAACTGCGTTGAAAGCAGCTAATTCTGCGCTATGAGCGAAAAACTGGAAGAAACCATGCGCCAGAAGCTACAGTGCTGCGCTTTTGGCGCATAGTTTCAGTAAGTGTGCGTGATCAACCGAAAACCCTTTGACTTTCGATCGCTTGCAGTTGCACTTGATACCTGGGAAGTGCTTCCAGATTCTCAGGTTCGGAGCAGCACCTAGGTTTGATTACGCATACCGTGCATCTGCTCCCAGCCGTCTTCTCGTCGGCCTAACTAAGATGAATTTGACGACCTGTAGAAGTTAAATATTGCCATTTTAAACTTTGAAGTTGGTCGTCAATCTGTGCCTAAGAGGCAAGAACCATGAGTCGTCTTCATGGATCTCTCTTGGCGGTTATTAATCGTGTACAAAATCATCGTTTCAGAACAACCGTCTGTTTAACGCCTCTCGCATTTTTACTATTTTTAGTCGTCCTCCAACCTAGCGCAGCTACAGCCAATAAACCAGCCAGCCATGTTTCCCCAGGAATTGGTCGGTCGATCCTGGAAGTCAGTGGGACTGAATCTGACAGCAACACCAAACGAAACCTTCCGTTTATCGCGGAACTGAACTATGGCTACTTTAAGCCGTCTCTCACTCGAATCTCTGCATCCTCTACACGGCGAAACCTGGTCGAAGCGCGGATGTGGCTTTACGGTCACGTGCTGACACAAGGGTAAGTCCTCCGTCGTCCTGGTTGCTCTTGTTCATCGACCAGTTTCACGAGCGTACAGCCCACGAATTCCTCTCTCTTCCACGAAGAAAGGACATCCGATGCATGGCTAACTCACAACCTACCGTTTGATGTCCTTCCTTGCCTAATTCTTACTGTTAACGCGTGTCCGTTTTCCCCTCCTTCCTTTTTTTTGGTTCGCCTTCGTTCTCCTCCTCTCCTGGCTCCTCTTCACGTTTTATGCTCTCATCTGCACGGCCTGGTTTCAGCTATTACTACGCTAACCTGTGGTTCGGCACGCCCGGGCGTCGCTTCGCGGTGATCGTGGATACGGGCAGCACCGTCACCTACGTGCCGTGTGCTTCGTGCAGCGAGTGCGGTGGTCATCATCAGGTACTGATACTTCTAATGTTGCAGTTGCTTAATTCAGGGTTAATTTACCTGGTTGGGGTTATCAGACTAAATTTCAAATACTGGTTAAAGTGAGTGAATCAGAGACGTTGCGTTCAGATCTGATATGATGTCCGGAAACGTCAACAGGAACTTCGTTTTGTTGGGCATTCAATGATGGAACCAGTTAACAGGAGTGCTGAAAATAGTTGTTGAAACTTGTTCTAACCAACCAACAAGTGAAACGGATGCGAAAGCTGGCGAACAATTTGGTGTTGAACCCACCCAACCATCTTCCGCCAGCTTCAGCCAGCTTTCGCTGTCGCTTTTCCGCGTTGGCACTTAGCCCATTCCTCCTCCGCCAGTTTTGTATCCTCTCCGCTCATTCCTCCTCCTCTTGCCGTTTGCTGTTACCGTTCTATCATTAATTTCCATTCACCTCCAGTCAGATCCTTCCCTGTTGCGCCAGATGATAGTGATGATAATGATTATCACAGGCTCTGCTGTGGAACAACTGACATGGAATCTTCCTTCGTCCCGTTTCCCCTTCGTCCCCTCCTCCCCTCAACTCCCGCCTCCGCCGTCCCCCCCTTTGCAACCACTCCCCTCCCTCCTCCACCGCGACCCGCAGGACCTGCCGTTCGATCCACAGCAATCGTCAACGTACCAGTTCGTACCGTGCAGTTCGGACCAGTGCCCGTACCACGACTGCCAGGACAATTCCGACGAGTGTTCCTACGACCGGCACTACGCGGAGAACAGCAGCAGCAGCGGGCTCATAGTCTCAGACGTGGTCACCTTCGGAAACGCGTCCACGCTGCCGCCCGCGCGGATCCTCTTTGGGTGCGAGCTGGCGGAAACGGGCGACATTTACACGCAGAAGGCGGACGGGATCATGGGCATGGGTCGCGGGGAGCTGGGGATTGTGAGCCAGCTGTCGGTGGGAGCGGGGAAGGTGATGGACGAGCAGTTCTCGCTGTGCTATGGCGGGTCGGAGGGCGGCGGCGGGGCGATGATCATGGGCGCGATTCAGCCGCCTGCGGGGATGAAGTTTACGAAGATGGATATGCGCAGGTAGGTGTGGGTGGCATTTGGTTGCGTCTGGTTTTTTGTTTCTCTCGGATTTTCCCCTTTTTCCCGCTCTCACTCTCACCTCTCTCGCCCTCACCCTCTCCCTCTCCCGCCATCCCCTAAAAACACGAGACGAGAGGGCCAGATTTATCAGGGGTTAGTAGAGAATAAGTGAGGCTGAAAGTCCTTAAGTAATCCACACTCCCCTCCCATATCCTCCCCCTCCTCCCCTCCCTCTTCCCCTCCCCTCCCTCTTCCCCTTCCCTCCCTCTCACCTCTGTGCTGCCGTGACAGCACGAATCACGGAGCTGAATCTTCCCACACATTCACTTCACTCCCCATTCCCGTCCCATATCCCCCTTCCCCCGTTTCCCCCTTCTAGACCTACCCCTCCTCCCCCCTGCACCCCCTGTGGTGGCATGCACTTCAACGTGATTCTTAAAAGAGAACATCACGGTGGCCGCTTCTTGAGTTGACTCAAAAGTTACCCTTCCCCCATTCTCTACCCTACCCCTCTCCCCATTCGCTCCCCCCTTTCCTTCCCCCGTTCGCTCCCCCCTTCCCTCCTGCACCGCAGTGGCGGCACGTACTACAACGTGATTCTGAACGCCATCACAGTGGCCGGCAAGCCCCTTGAGTCTTCTCTTCCCCCCACCCTCATCCCCCCCCCCCCTCTCCCCCTGCACCGCAGTGGCGGCACGTACTACAACGTGATTCTGAACGCCATCACGGTGGCTGGAAAGCCCCTTGAGTCGACTCCAAGCTGCCCTCCCACCCTCCCACCCTCCCTCCCCTCTCCGCTCCCCCCTCCCCCCCCTGCACCACAGTGGCGGCACGTACTACAACGTGATCCTGAACGCCATCACAGTGGCTGGAAAGCCCCTGGATCTGGACATGTCAGTGTTCCGGTCGGGGTATGGTGTGGTCATGGACAGCGGCACCACCTTCTCCTACCTCCCCCGCAAGGCCTTCGAGGCATTCAAAGCTGCTGTGAGTTGGGGCACCCGGTTGTATTGGGTGGATGTGGGTTGAGATGGGCTGCAACGTGAGTCTGGGCAGTATCACGGTCGGGGTACGGTGTGGTCATGGACAGCGGCACCACCTTCTCCTACCTCCCCCGCAAGGCCTTCGAGGCGTTTAAGGCTGCTGTGAGTCAAAGCACCGGGTTGTATTGGGTTGAGGTGGGTTGAGATGGGCTGCAACGTGAGTCTGGGCAGTATCACGGTCGGGGTATGGTGTGGTCATGGACAGCGGCACCACCTTCTCCTACCTCCCCTGCAAGGCCTTCGAGGCATTTAAAGCTGCTGTGAGTGCATCGGCTGGTTGAGAGATGGAGTGAGATCGGTTGAGACGGGTTGAGATGGCGTGAGATTGGTTGAGATGGGCTGGGCTGGGCAGGAGTGTGTCATAGTAGGTAGCTGGTACGCATGTGTTTCTCTGGGGCATGCAGCGGTTTTCGTTCCTTTTCTCCCGCTTCCATGTGTTCCTTCTCTCCCGCTTTCACGTACCATAATTTTTGTGCTATTCCATTTGGCATTGGTGTGTGTGTGTGCGTGCGTGCGTGCGTGCGTGTGTGTATTGCAGGTGGATGCATCAGTGAAGGGCGTTGAGAGCGTTCCCGGTCCAGATTCAGTGTATCAGGACGTGTGCTACGGCGGCGCCTCAACGTAAGTCGTGCCTTACGAGTTCCCTGCCAGTCCCTCCGCCCCCATCCCTTTCCCATTCCAAGCCCTACCTACCCCCCTGTGGCCCCACCTTTGTTGCTGCTAGTTTCCATGTGATCCGTGTGTATTGTTAGGGGGAGCAGGGTGCACAGGGTGAGGCAGACAAACAGGCGCGCACGCGGACATGCACACACCCACGCACGTGCCTGCGCGTGCACACACGCACACTCACACGCACTCACATGCAGTCCCCTGCCCGCCCGTCCCCCCGTCTGCCTGCCTGCCTACCTGCCTGTCTGCCCGCCGCCTGCTCACGTGTGTCTGTGCCCGCAATCCCCATGCCCACGCCCCCAGCAGCAAGATAGAGGAGCTGTTCAACTACTTCCCCACTGTCTCCGTCTGAGTTGACTCAAAAACCACCTCCCTACGAGTGTGTCCCCACAATCCCTGTGTGCGCCCGCCACCCCTGTGCGCACGTCCCCAACACCGCCACCCCTGTGCCCACGTCCCCAACAGCAAGATAGAGGAGCTGTCTAAATACTTCCCCACCGTCTCCGTCTGAGTTGTTGCAAAAGCTACCTCTGTGTGCATGTGTGCGCCCACCACCCCTGTGTGCTCCCCTCCCCTGTGCTCGCTCCCCCAACAGCAAGATAGAGGAGCTGTCCAACTACTTCCCCACCGTCGCCTTCACCTTTGATGGCGACGTGGTCTATGACCTCACGCCAGAGAACTACCTCTTTCGAGTCGACTCTAGTCCCACCTCTCTACGTGCATGTGTGTGTGTGCCCGTGATCCCTGCGTGCGTGTGCGTGTGCATGTGCGTGTGCATATGCCTGTGCGTGTGCATGTGCGTGTGCATGTGCGTGTGCATGTGCGTGTGCCCACAATCCCTCTGTGTTCCAATCCCTGTGCTCGCTCTACCAACAGCAAGATAGAGGAGCTGTCCAACTACTTTCCCACCGTCTCCTTCACCTTTGATGGCGACGTGGTCTACGAACTCACACCAGAGAACTACCTCTTCCGAGTGCGTACACGCTACATGCGCTGCGCACCTCGTAGCATGACATTTACCTGTCCCCTGGAACATATTCAGCCTGGTTGTGAGGAGACAGGCTTTGAGGGGTTTTGATCGTCGTGAGGGGGCTTGTTTGTCAAGGGACATATGCATTTGATGTCTTGGCTGTGTTTCCATGGGATTAGGTTTTGTCACCGTTTTGCATACTTGAAAATATCTTGTTTGTTCGCTGCTCTGCTTGCCTGTGCGCGTGTGTGTGCTCCCCCCCACCTGCTCTGCAGCATGTGAAGGTGGCAGGATCTTACTGCCTAGGCCTGTTCAAGAACAACGACAGGGGAACGCTTATTGGAGGTAGGTCGTTTTTTAGAATTTTAGAAGCGCCCATGAAAGTCGGTTTGGTTCCCATTCCCCAGACCCCCGCACACTTTTCCTTCAGTCTCGCTCTCCCCGCTCAGCAAGCTTCAGTAGAAAGTCTAAAGTTCTTTCTTCCACGTTCTTTTTCACTGCTACCCCCTGTTTCATAGGTAGCAATCCCTCTCAACACTATTTCTATGGCGCCTCGAAAAAAAAAAAAAAATCCTTCTACTTTCTTCTCCCCTTCCCCCCTCCCTTTGCTCTTCCGTTTCACCTACCTCCCAGGTATTATCATGCGCAACACACTGGTGACATACGACCGAGTGAACAGCCGCATAGGCATGCTCAAGACCAACTGCCGAAACCTGTATCAGGAGCTCCAGCAAATATACACAGAGCAAGGGGCCAATCCTTCCCCTCTTCCAGAGTATCTGCTATCTGAACCTCCCCCCCTGCCCGACTCTGCCCATCGAGGGGCTGAGAACGGTGGAGATGGTGGGAGCGGAGGGGAGGAAGGCGAGGGGAGTGGAGGGGAGGAGGAGGGAGGAGGGGCGGATGGGGAGGATGAGGATACAGGTGCTAGTGGAGGTGATGGTGGTGGGGGCAGCTCAGCTGAAGGTGCTCCTGCTGCGCCTGCTGTTGCTTGTGAGTCTGATCGAGATGGGCATGGGCATGGGCATGGGCACGGGGGTGGGGGTGGGGTGGGGATGAATGTGGGGATGGGAATGGGGATGGGGTTACGATTGGGAATGGGGCGGCGGGTGGGGATGGGGGTGTGGGTGGGGTTGGTGGTGGGTATGGGGACGAGAATGGGGATGGAAATGGGAATGGTTCTGAACTGCCCGATTGTGTTTGCCATGGGATGACTTGGGATGCTGAACGGATCTCTCTTGAGTCTCCTGGGTGTGTTTGTGCAACTCTCCTCCCGGTTCTTCTAACCTCTGCTGCCCTTTGTACTAGCCCCCCCTATACCACCCACTTCCCCACTCCCTATCGGTCCTTTCTAACACCCCAATCTCCCTCATCTTCATTGCAGCATCGTGTGACGGCTGAGCGGGGAGCATTGTGGTATATCTTCTGGTGGGGCTGCCGCTGCTGCTCTCGCCCTTATCCCCCCTTTCTCCCACCTGTCCCTCCCTACCTGCAGCCTCGTGTGATGGCTGTGCGGGAAGCATCGTAGCAGATCTGCTGGTGGGGCTGCCGCTGCTGCGTTTTGCCCCGCTCACCAACTCCTTTGTGCACGACCTCTCACGCGAGCTGGGACTGCTGGAGGCCCAGGTACGTTTCTCTTCTGGTATACTCTTTGTGCTCGACTTCTCAAGTCATTCCATGCCGCTCGCCAACTCCTTTGTGCACGACCTCTCACGCGAGCTGGGTACGTACCTTTTGTAGAACGTGGAAGAATGCTCTGCACAACTCTCATGCCATTTGCGTTGTTTACAACTCCTCCTTTGTCGGGACCTCTCGTGGGAGCTGGGGCTCCTCGTTTCTTTCCCTGATTGGAGTTTTGAGACGTCTCAAAACTGTCATGGCAGCTGGGGCTCCTCGTTTCTTTCCCCATCTCGCCTTACCTTGTCGTGGGAGCTGGAGCTCCTCGTTTCTTTCCCTAATTCAAGTTTGAGACGTCTCAAAATTGTCCTGGGAGCTGAGACTCCACGTTTCTTTCCCCATCTCGCCCTCCCCCTTACTCCCACGCCTCCCAGGTGACTGTGGTGAGCTTTCACGAGGGGCAAAGTGCGTCCCAGCAGCAGCAAGGGGGGGCGGATGGGAGTGCCAAAGGGGGTGGAGAGGCAGCATCGGGTGTGGGCAGCACACGTGTCAATGTTACCATCTTGCCCTCCCCACCTGACGTGGTCCTGGCTAAATACACGGTGCAGGTGCGCTTTGAAGCGGTGCAGAGCGGTATGCTGGTGCATTTGGGATGGGTGGGCGTATCCCACATGTGCTGCTTGGTGAGGAGGGGGGAGGGAAGTTTACGTGAGTGTGAGTGAGTGCAAAGGAGTGTGATTCGGTGCAAAGGAGTGCCTCACGTGTATGCCATGTAACTCCTTGCCGTTTGCCCCCTTGTCGAAAGAACTTGCAGCTTTTCTCCCTCTTCTCTCGCCTTTCCACCCCACCCCACCCACCCCTTCCAGTCATCCCCCCATCCCCCTCCCGCTCTTTACCTCGCAAAACCGTGAAGTTATACAGAGACCCCACATTCCCTACTTTCTCCCTCCCTGTGCGCCTGCTCAAAAGTGTTCATTTCCTTGTACCTATGACCCCACATTCCCTACTTTCTCCCTCCCTGTGCGCCTGCTCTCTCTCTGCAGCGAGTGGTGAATGTTCTGCAGAGCCACATGGCCATCCGGGATGTGTTTGGATCGGTCACAGTGCTGCACGTGCAAGTCGTGCTCAGTGCCCCTGATGCGTCCAGGTGAGTTTCGAGACATCTCAACTCAAAGCGGTCACTGTGTTGCGCGTGCTCACTGCTGCTGATGCCTTCGGGTGAGGCTGCATGGGAGAAATAAGTGCATGGGTGGATGGGTGGATGCAAGGATGTATGGATGGGTCTATGGTTGGAGGGACGGAAGGTTTTCTTTTATGGAGTGTTACTCTGTCTCACATTCTCTTGCCACAATCCCTTATTTTTTTGTGTATTCTTTCCTTTTCCACACCTTTTTCTTCGTCTTCTTTCTTTCTGACCTTCTTCCCTGCTTGTCTTCCCTCCCAACATTGCAGCTCCCCTTTCATCTGGGTAGGGGTTGGGGCGCTTTCTCTGGTACTGCTTCTCCTGCTGCTGCTGCTTGGGTGCTACTGCTGCAGAAAGAAATCGGATGGGATCAGTGCACGGCCAGATGAAGTAGACGAGGAGGAGGGACTTGCTAGTAACATGGACGGGAAGGGAACTGATGCCAGGAGCAGGGAAATGGAAGGGGATGGAGAGAGTGGTAAAGGTGTGAAGATGGGTGTGTTTGGAAGTGGGAAGGTGCAGAGTGGTTCAGGGGAAGAGGCTTCGATGTTGAATGGAGCGGAGCATGGGGAGGAAGAGGGTGGAGAGGAGGAAGGAGAGAAGGTGACGATTCTGCAGCAACGGGAGCCTAGTGCTCCTCGTTTGTAAAAGTTCTGTTATGACTAGAAGGCTTTGCTGGGAAGGTAGTGGTGTCGTGTTGTTTATGAGAACTGCTGAGTTGATAGGAGTGCATTTTTATGTGTGTGCCCGGGGTTCCTGACTGGAGAGCTGATGCAGTGACTTGCGTTGCACGTAGAGGGTTACTTCCAACCAACAACCTTGAGGAGGACCCACTTCTGAGTGCGGTAATTGCTTGCAATTGTAGTATACAGTAGCAAATGCATTCACAGAATATGGCCTTGTTCTGTGGCGCTAACTCCGAGTTAGCTAACTCTGAGTTATAACTTTGCGTACTTGGAACCCTTATTTGCTAACTCTTGAGTTAGCTGGCACGGTGTGATTGTAACTGTCAAGAATAATGGAGTAACCTAGGCTTAGGTGAAACCCTAGCCTAGGTGATAGCCGAGAGTAGCGGGAGGGGGAATTGGGCAAAGAGGGTAGTTCACTATTGAGGAAGGTACAAATAGGAAACACAGCATGCAAAGGTGTACCACCAACAGTTCATAGTAGTAACTACAGTAACTAGCGTAAGCAGGATATAACATAACTTGACACACCCCCTTAGCCTGCTTGCGGTAGGAACTGGTGCAGTCGGCACCCCCTGAAAGAGTAAACAAAGCGCTGTGGAAGAAGGCAGAGAAGTGAGGAAGGACGTGGAGGCGAGAGGAGAGAAGAGGAGAGGAGGTGGGGGGCCAGTGCCGGCGGACCCGCTTACGAACCTCCTTTTACAAAGGGGAGGTGAGAGAGGAAAGGGAGAGGAGGTGGGCTAGGTGGGCATGAGCGCGCAAGCTCATAGCGATCCCCCCCCGTTAATAACCTCCAAGTCCTCACCCCCCTTGTCACTCAACCCCTTGAACCTCACACCCTCCGCACCTTTCTACTTTCGCCACCCCCTCACCCTTCTCCACTTCTCCCCCCCCCCCTTTTCTCCACAGCGACATCTCTGCAGGAAGAGAGAGGGGAGGGACGGGCTGCAGGCAGCTCACACCCGCCATACGCGGGGCGGCGGTAGCTGCTGCTTGCGCTGACTGTGGAGCAGGCGGCTGGCCACGGCGCTGGCGTCCGCGCTGGCGACGAAACGGGGGGCCGCGGGCGACGGGAACGGGGGGCCGCGGGCGACGGGAACGGGGGGCCGCGGGCGACGGGAACGGGGGGCCGCGGGGCGACGAAACGGGGGGTCGCGGGGCGACGGAACGGGGGGCCGTGGGCGACGGGAACGGGGGGCCGCGGGCGACGGGAACGGGGGGCCGCGGGCGACGGGAACGGGGGGCCGCGGGCGACGGGAACGGGGGGCCGCGGGCGACGGGAACGGGGGGCCGCGGGGCGACGGAACGGGGGGCCGTGGGCGACGGGAACGGGGGGCCGCGGGCGACGGGAACGAAGGGCCGCGGGGCGACGAAACGGGGGGCCGCGGGCGACGGGAACGGGGGGCCGCGGGGCGACGGAACGGAGGCCGCGGGACGACGGACGCGACGGCCGAAGAGCGCGACGGGACGAAGAAAAAAGTAGCGCATTTCGCGCTGCAGGAAAGGCGGGCCCATGTTACTTAAAAAAAAAAGAGAAGGTTCTAGGAAAGAACCAGCTCTGACACCATGTCAAGAATAATGGAGTAACCTAGGCTTAGGTGAAACCCTAGCCTAGGTGATAGCCGAGAGTAGCGGGAGGGGGAATTGGGCAAAGAGGGTAGTTCACTATTGAGGAAGGTACAAATAGGAAACACAGCATGCAAAGGTGTACCACCAACAGTTCATAGTAGTAACTACAGTAACTAGCGTAAGCAGGATATAACATAACTTGACACACCCCCTTAGCCTGCTTGCGGTAGGAACTGGTGCAGTCGGCACCCCCTGAAAGAGTAAACAAAGCGCTGTGGAAGAAGGCAGAGAAGTGAGGAAGGACGTAGAGGCGAGAGGAGAGAAGAGGAGAGGAGGTGGGGGGCCAGTGCCGGCGGACCCGCTTACGAACCTCCTTTTACAAAGGGGAGGTGAGAGAGGAAAGGGAGAGGAGGTGGGCTAGGTGGGCATGAGCGCGCAAGCTCATAGCGATCCCCCCCCGTTAATAACCTCCAAGTCCTCACCCCCCTTGTCACTCAACCCCTTGAACCTCACACCCTCCGCACCTTTCTACTTTCGCCACCCCCTCACCCTTCTCCACTTCTCCCCCCCCCCCTTTTCTCCACAGCGACATCTCTGCAGGAAGAGAGAGGGGAGGGACGGGCTGCAGGCAGCTCACACCCGCCATACGCGGGGCGGCGGTAGCTGCTGCTGGCGCTGACTGTGGAGCAGGCGGCTGGCCACGGCGCTGGCGTCCGCGCTGGCGACGAAACGGGGGGCCGCGGGCGACGGGAACGGGGGGCCGCGGGCGACGGGAACGGGGGGCCGCGGGCGACGGGAACGGGGGGCCGCGGGGCGACGAAACGGGGGGTCGCGGGGCGACGGAACGGGGGGCCGTGGGCGACGGGAACGGGGGGCCGCGGGCGACGGGAACGGGGGGCCGCGGGCGACGGGAACGGGGGGCCGCGGGCGACGGGAACGGGGGGCCGCGGGCGACGGGAACGGGGGGCCGCGGGGCGACGGAACGGGGGGCCGTGGGCGACGGGAACGGGGGGCCGCGGGCGACGGGAACGGGGGGCCGCGGGCGACGGGAACGGGGGGCCGCGGGCGACGGGAACGGGGGGCCGCGGGGCGACGAAGCGGGGGGCCGCGGGGCGACGGAACGGAGGCCGCGGGACGACGGACGCGACGGCCGAAGAGCGCGACGGGACGAAGAAAAAAGTAGCGCATTTCGCGCTGCAGGAAAGGCGGGCCCATGTTACTTAAAAAAAAAAGAAGGTTCTAGGAAAGAACCAGCTCTGACACCATGTCAAGAATAATGGAGTAACCTAGGCTTAGGTGAAACCCTAGCCTAGGTGATAGCCGAGAGTAGCGGGAGGGGGAATTGGGCAAAGAGGGTAGTTCACTATTGAGGAAGGTACAAATAGGAAACACAGCATGCAAAGGTGTACCACCAACAGTTCATAGTAGTAACTACAGTAACTAGCGTAAGCAGGATATAACATAACTTGACACACCCCCTTAGCCTGCTTGCGGTAGGAACTGGTGCAGTCGGCACCCCCTGAAAGAGTAAACAAAGCGCTGTGGAAGAAGGCAGAGAAGTGAGGAAGGACGTGGAGGCGAGAGGAGAGAAGAGGAGAGGAGGTGGGGGGCCAGTGCCGGCGGACCCGCTTACGAACCTCCATTTACGAAGGAGAGGTGAGAGAGGAAAGGGAGAGGAGGTGGGCTAGGTGGGCATGAGCGCGCAAGCTCATAGCGATCCCCCCCCGTTAATAACCTCCAAGTCCTCACCCCCCTTGTCACTCAACCCCTTGAACCTCACACCCTCCGCACCTTTCTACTTTCGCCACCCCCTCACCCTTCTCCACTTCTCCCCCCCCCCTTTTCTCCACAGCGACATCTCTGCAGGAAGAGAGAGGGGAGGGACGGGCTGCAGGCAGCTCACACCCGCCATACGCGGGGCGGCGGTAGCTGCTGCTGGCGCTGACTGTGGAGCAGGCGGCTGGCCACGGCGCTGGCGTCCGCGCTGGCGACGAAACGGGGGGCCGCGGGCGACGGGAACGGGGGGCCGCGGGCGACGGGAACGGGGGGCCGCGGGCGACGGGAACGGGGGGCCGCGGGGCGACGAAACGGGGGGTCGCGGGGCGACGGAACGGGGGGCCGTGGGCGACGGGAACGGGGGGCCGCGGGCGACGGGAACGGGGGGCCGCGGGCGACGGGAACGGGGGGCCGCGGGCGACGGGAACGGGGGGCCGCGGGCGACGGGAACGGGGGGCCGCGGGCGACGGGAACGGGGGGCCGCGGGCGACGGGAACGGGGGGCCGCGGGGCGACGGAACGGGGGGCCGTGGGCGACGGGAACGGGGGGCCGCGGGCGACGGGAACGGGGGGCCGCGGGCGACGGGAACGGGGGGCCGCGGGGCGACGAAGCGGGGGGCCGCGGGGCGACGGAACGGAGGCCGCGGGACGACGGACGCGACGGCCGAAGAGCGCGACGGGACGAAGAAAAAAGTAGCGCATTTAGAGCTGCAGGAAAGGCGGGCCCATGTTACTTAAAAAAAAAAAAGAGAAGGTTCCAGGAAAGAACCAGCTCTGACACCATGTCAAGAATAATGGAGTAACCTAGGCTTAGGTGAAACCCTAGCCTAGGTGATAGCCGAGAGTAGCGGGAGGGGGAATTGGGCAAAGAGGGTAGTTCACTATTGAGGAAGGTACAAATAGGAAACACAGCATGCAAAGGTGTACCACCAACAGTTCATAGTAGTAACTACAGTAACGTACACACGTGTGAGGGTTGAGTTGATGAAGCCACCACGAACCCAGTGAACTCTGAGTTAAGGGGCCACAGAACAAGGCCTATATGTTCGTATCGGAGAGCTTTGTGTACCACATTATTCTGGAAGCGCTCTTTGAACCAATCAGGCTTCCCCGCTCTTCACACGCCTTGCGGCAAACTCGAGGGACAGGATCCCTCCTCCAGTCCAGTGCCTGCCTTCCCGCACCCGCGCTTCGTTTCCCGCACCCAGCAATTTCTCCCCCTTATCCTCCGCTTCCCCCAACCCAACCAAACATAAAGCGCAGGACACCCAACAAATTGATTCATTTTCTTCCCTTGATCTGTGTCTTCTGACAGGTTGTCTCCTAAGTTTCGGGCTCGCGTCGCGCTTGTTTGAAGGCTTTCAGTAACCGTCCTGATAAGTGTGTCAGTAGGTTAGTTCTGCTAACAGGAGTTTCCGCATTGTAGGGAGTGGTTCAGTCAATTGAGGCCGTGTGCCTGCTACTAACTTGGCCGCGGAATAATTGCAAGTTTTTATTTTTCTGTAGTACGCTTCTAGGTTTTGTTTTTTTTCTAAGTCGTCGCGATGAGCGGCGCTGCAAAAAGCGAGAAGCCGAAGCCGACGTTTCGACTGCTGCAAGTGCATCCGCGTACGTATCGTTATACCCCCATGGACCGTTCGTTCGACGCTCGATAGACCAGTTCGTACCTAGTTTAGCTTACATACTTTTCTTAGCCTGTATTCCCTTATCGTGGACTACAATTTGTCTCGTCCTACCCTGCCAAATGTCCGTACGCTGTCAGCACGTGTCGCTGTCTACAATCCCGCGTTCGCCTTCTAGATCGTCGTTAAGCTGCCTCCACGTGTCACTCCAGTGGGCCTCTCCCACTTGTCCAGTCACCTCTTCTTCCTCGACAGGCCAGCCATACCCGGCCGCATATTGTCCCTTCCACATTGCGTTCCGCATTTATGGGAAGTCTGCGCCCTTCCCCGCGCCCATCTCCCCCCATCCTTTCCGCCAGGCCGCAAGGAGATATCCGGGTCCGCGGACATTCTCCGCCAGGCGGGGCTGGAGGGCCCCTACCAGGTGCTATGCGAGCGCGCGCTTGCGCCGTCCGCGGTGGAATCGGGATGCCTTGCGCGGATCCCCGGGGAGGTGGACATCCGCCAAGGCCCGCGGATGGAGCTGGCGGAAGTTCTCGACTCGATTGGCCGCCCCGCGGACGACGGCGCGGGGGAGGGTGGCGGGGGGGGAGCGGGGGAAGGGTTGGCGCTGCTGCAACCGCTAGCGGTGGATATGCTGCTGCGCGCATTCTCGTTCAGCGACAAAGCAGCCGTCGCTCTGCCCGATGTGAGTTGCGGTTGAGTGTGGTGTAGTGCGGTGCAAGCAAGCTGAGTGCTGCGCGTTATAGACGGCGTTTGCCTAGGACAATCTAGGCGGAGAGAGGGGTATTGAGTGCGCGAGTTGGGCAAATGGGGAAGGAGCGGAGAGGCAGTGGGCGGAGGTGGGCGGGGGAAGGCCGTTTGCTGCTGGATGGGTTGAGGGCAATGCTGGGATGGTGGGGGAACATGAAGGGCATGGGAGCAGAGTTATTGCCTTGCCTTGCCTTGCCTTGACCGCATCACTCATAACCCTCCTCTCGTTGGCATGTTCTTCCCTTGCTACTCCCTCTGCTTCCCTTGCTACTCCCTCTGCTTCCCTTGCTACTCCCTCTGCTTCCCTTGCTGCTCCCTCTGCTTCCCTTGCTGCTCCCTCTGCTTCCCTTGCTGCTCCCTCTGCTTCCCTTGCTCTCTTGTATGCGGCTGATGCTCATACAGACGGAACGAGGGAAGGCGACAGTGAGTAGCAATTGGCGGGGGGGCAATGGCAGTAGAGGCGCTAGCGGAAAGGAGAGGGAGAGGGAGCGAGAACGGGACTCAAGCAAGCATCGGAGTAAAGATAAGTCGAGAGACGGTGAGCGGCGGCATAAAGAGAAGGATAGGGAGAAGAAGGAGAAGGATAGGAAGGATAAGGAGAAGAAGGAGAGGGAGAGGAGAGAGAGGAAGGAGAGGGAGGAGGCGGAGAGGAGGGAGAAGGAGAAGGCGGAAGGGGTGAGGGTGAAAGGGGATGAGAAGGAGAGGAAAGAGAGGGAAGAGAGGGAAAGGAGGGAGAGAGAAGAGCGGGAGAGGAAGGAGAGGGAGGAGCGGGAGGGGAAGGAGAAGGAGGAGAGGGAGCGGAAGGCACGGGAGGAAAAGGAGAAGGAGCGTGCAAAGGAAAGGGAGAGAGAAAAAGAGAAGGAGAGAGAACGGGAGCGTGAGAGAGTGAAGGAGAAAGAGAGGAAAGAGAAGGAGGTTGAGAAGATACGAGAAGCAGGCAAACAACGAATGGAGAAACCAGTGGAAGCAGCTGCTGCTGGTGGTGGTGCTGCTGGTGGGCCTGTCGTTTCTTCTGCTGCTGGTGGCGCTGGTGGCACGGGTGCTGGTGGTGGTGCTGCTGCCGGTGGTGCTGCTGGTGCTGGTGGCGGTGGAATGCCGGCAGCTGGAGCAGCAGCAGGAGGAGGAGGAGCAGCAGCAGGAGGAGGAGGAGGAGGAGGAGGAGGAGGAGGAGGAGGAGGAGGAGGAGGAGGAGGAGGAGGGGACGAGGAGGAGGAGGAGGAGGAGGAGGAGGAGGAGGAGGAGGAGGAGGAGGAGGAGGAGGAGGAGGAGAGGGCGTGGATCCGAAGAAGCTGAAGAAGAAGGTCAGTCTTCCATGCACCGCTGTGCCATCCGTGCCATCCATGCCACCTATGCCATCGCAACCATGCCACAGTCCGTGCCACCTGTTTGATATGAAGATCCTGCCTTCAATAATCACCCCTCGTCCGTTCACTCTCAGCCCTCCAACCATCCCATCCCATCAATGTCACACGAGTCTGTCCGTGCATGTGATTTTGTGGTCGACTCAAAATACTCCATGCTGCATGTACAAGCATTTAGTCCCCCGCCCTACGAGCATTTACGAGCAATCCCCGTGTCAGCCGCTCTCCGTGCTGCATTGCATGCTCGCACTTTTCACTTGGTTGGCTGCCCTGCACTTCCCCCCTCATTCTCCTCCCTCCGCCCTCGTTCCCCATTCCCCCCCATTCGCCCTTTCTTCTGCCGTCCCTCCGTTTGTCCCCCTTGGCCCGCCCACGTCCTTCCCTCCTCATCCATCTCCCTCACCTCTTCCCTCGTACATCTGCTCGCGACTGCTCGCTCAGAAGCGCAAGAGGGATGGAGAGCCTGAGAAGCCGAGCTCGGACAAGAAGCACAAGAAGAAGGTGAGATGGAGTGAAAGGGGGTGAGGAGGGGTGGACCAGGGTTGGAATGGGTGAAGTAGATTGAGGAGGGGCGAGTAGAAGAGATGAGGAGGACGGTTAACAGCTTCATGTTAAAGAAAAAGCTGTGGTATTTGACACTTGCCCACACACTCTTGTCTCCACATTATTTTTCCAGCTTACCGTTTTCTACTCATAGGCCCCCTGTTTTCTCTCCATATGCTCCCCATTCACACTCCAAGTGTACATTACTTGTGTGTGCGATTGTGACTTTTGAGGCGCCTCAAAAGTACATTACTTGTGTGTGCGATTGTGACTTTTGAGGCGCCTCAAAAGTACATTACTTGTGTGTGCGATTGTGACTTTTGAGGCGCCTCAAAAGTACATTACTTGTGTGTGCGATTGTGACTTTTGAGGCGCCTCAAAAGTACATTACTTGTGTGTGCGATTGTGACTTTTGAGGCGCCTCAAAAGTACATTACTTGTGTGTGCGATTGTGACTTTTGAGGCGCCTCAAAAGTACATTACTTGTGTGTGCGATTGTGTGTGACTGTGCGTGACTTGTGAATGTGTGTGACTTGTATGAATGTGTGTGACTGTGTGTGAATGTGTGTGACTGTTTGTGAATGTGCGTGACTGTGTGTGACTGTGTGTGAATGTGTGTGACTGTGTGTAAATTTGTGTGGCTGTGTGTGACTTGTGTGACTGTGTGTTGCTGTGTGCATTGTTACAAGAGCAGAAGGACAAGCACAGCAGTGGGGGAGGCAAGGAAGCAGCACCAGTGGTGCCGGTGCAGGAGAATGGCACCTAGGTGTATAGATGGTGAGTGGATGAAGGGTCAGTGGGTGATTATTTTAGTCGATGCAGAAGTCAGCAGAGGAGGCAAGGAAGCAGCACCCGCGGTGCTGGTGCAAGTGAATGGCACGTAGGCATATATGTATGGTGAGTGGATAAAATTTTGAGGCGCTGGTTGTTTAAAAAAAAAAAAACGATTTTAAGGCGCTTCTAATACAGCACCGGGGGAGGTGGTTCACGATAATGACGTATATTCATGTAAATGGTGAGTGGATGAATGGTCAGTTTGGGGGAGGGTTGGGTGGGTGAGAGATATGTGGACAATGTTTGAGTGGGTTGTGGGCATAGGAATGTAGGTGGGTGGAGATACAGTCACCACCTAGCAGCACAATTATCACCATCACAAGCATCAGCATCACAATTTTCACATATCTAATCATCATAGTTACTATAATAATTACAATCACCACAATCATCTTAATTATCAGAGTCACCTTTGATCACTATAGTCATTACCGTCAGAGGCATCATAATTGTTATCATAATCAGCAGCAGTGCCATCACCATGTTACTGTAAAAGGCGAGGGTGCAGAGAGTATACCTCCTGGTTGGTCAAAGATTCATCACTGGCTGAACTGAACCAGTTTGCCAGCTTTTGGGACGTCTCAAAAGGCGAGGGTGCACAGAGCACACCTCCTGGCTGGTCAGAGGTTATCACTGGCTGAACCAGTTTGCCAGCCCGAATGTGTAGGCGAGGCGAACGAATTTGTTCCAATTTCACACGGGCATTTGAAATTCACCAACCTGACTGGTTTTTGCCATATTCGGCTGAGTTGAATGTGTGCATCGCTTTAATCACAACCTTCATACTCGTCAGTATTCTCGCTAATGCCATGATTATTGCGACCATCATCACCATCACCATCACCATCACTTTATTCCCACCAGCCTATGGCAGGAACCCAGCCACTTCCGACTGTCTTCCTCTCCTCTGGTTTCTGCACTTGTTCCTTGTCTCGCATGCCAACCCACGTCCTGCCTCACATTACATGACGAGGAATTACCTCCAGGTTACCAGCCAATAGCTCATTTTAGTTTTCTAGGAGTATGCTGACATCTAGGGTATCTCCCTCAGAAACCAGCATTAAATAGTTCCATTTTTACCAGCAGTGTACCTTCCCTTCAGCATTGTAAGCATGTGTGGTTGTTGCTACCGTACAAAATTGGGCAAGGCAATCTGGGCCCCTCACTACTGAAAGGAAAACGCTAGGAGAAATGCTGGTGCAACTTATTCTTAGGAACCCTGCCAGCGTGCGTCTTTTGTTTTTGTTTCTATGTTGTGAACTTTGTGGAGTTACAACTAGAGTAGTGCATTTGGGGTGTATTGTCGATTGTTCTCGCTGTAAGCTGTCCTGATAACGGAATCTAGAAACCATGACGCCCAGCTCACGTGACCTGACCTGAGGAAATGAAAAACAGGTTTGAATTTGCCCGAAACAAAGTACAGTAGTCTGTACCCGAATCTTGGCCGGGCTGACACATGGACTACCTTACAGTACCAGATTTTCCGTCTAGGGAAACTACACAATATGCCCAACCCCTGCACGCGAAATTGCCTACATTCTAGAAACCTTGCACGCGAGGGTTTTTTTCCGGACAGTTGCACCCACGTTACAAGCGCGTCAACCTATACGAACCACAGAAACTGAAGAGACCGAAGTCAAACAGTCAACGGTGAGTTACAAAATTTTGTTAGGGCGCATGTCTTTTGGTGTAGCCGCTCGGATTTTTTGTTGAACTTTTGCTGGTTACCTTATTCGTTAATTTTGCCAAAACATTCGCCAGGACGTCGTGTGTCCACGTACACTTCCGGCATCGGAAAATGTTGAGCCCCCAAGTTGAACCCTCATCAACAAACAGGTTGGCACGAATGTGCGAGCGTGTGTCCACCTCATCACTGACAGCGACGATGCGAAGTCTGCGACGCTCGCAGCTAGCATCGTGCGCACGAGGGTGCTCGTCAGCGCGAGTCCCGGTGGCGCGATGTCAAGAGCCCAAACCGGGTAACCTACAAATGTAGGTCACGGCTCGGCTCGGCTGCAAAAGTTAAACTTCGATAGTTGAACTTTTGTTTGTCGCGTGATTTTCGGGAGGGGTGGAACCGCGGCTCGGTTTGCAGTTGGTGAAAACTCGAGCCTAGCTCGAGCTAGGTTCATATGACTACAGTTCAACAAAAATTCGGGATTTCCATGTTAAAACCAAAAGACACGCGCCCTTATAAGCCCTTTTTGCCCGACGCGAATTGACGAAACCTCCACGAAATGCATGAATCACTTAAGAGCCCTCTTCACAAGGCAACCTTGGGTTAGTCAAACGGACATCGTGTGTACAGTACAGTACCCTTGTGTTCTGCCGACAAGTTGCACATTGCTGCAGGTCAAGCTGCAGCCGCCAGCAGTCGTCAACAGAATCGTTCTAAAGAAGTTCGAATCGCATGTCGCAATGGAGCAAGAGAGGTACATGTGGCTCGTTCACCGGGCGTGGTGGGCTGGTACGGTGGTGCCAGCCACGGCCAGGGCAACTGCCTTCCGTACCAGACCTGGGAAATTTTTGAATCCTCGGTGCCCAATCAGTGACGACGGCTGCAACCGGGAATGGAAATGGCGCCATGTCCGCCTATTTCCAAATCGACATGGCGTGCCGCTGGCGAGGTTAGAGGGTGGCAGCGCATTTCAGGAAACAGCAAACCAGGAATTACGCGACGCCGTGGTCGTCAAAGATTGTAACCTCGTGGTGGAAGCCTGGCGAGCGAGTCGAATGCAGTTACCATAACCGTCGGCAGCCCACTCGCTGCATTTTGCGAGTCGCTGCGACTCACCACCGACTGTTCGTCTTCCTATATGCGACACCTGAGACGACTACTTGCAGTTTTGCGACTCATTTTGGTCACGTCATTCCAACCACGTGCTTGCCTGCCGCCCAATTTTGTCCTTTGCATTCAAGAAACGACATGCAAGTCATCTTGCTTTGCAACTGCCTCAGCTACATCGGCAGAGTTCTTACCCTCGCCAAAATACTTATCGAGGGGTCAAGCATTCCCTTGTGACTAGGCAAACATGTTTTGATCTTTTGCCACCTATCGAACACAATGTGGAAGGGGGTGTGGGGTGGGGGTATATCCACACTACGAATTCGTCCCAACTACCAAGTTGGAGCACACCCAAATAAAAAATTTATCGCGAACACGGATCGCGTCACAACCATCCACCCGTCCGTTGTCACCCTATTCGTTTTTCTCCGCAACATCCGCTGCTTGTTCCCTTCTCGAACCTCATCCTCTCCTCTCACCTCCTCTCGCCCCTTTTTCTCTTCCCGTCCTACACCCCCTCTCATAAAGCATCGTGTCGCGTATCAGGTCGGATTCCTGTCTTCGTGTCATCCGGCCTTGTGTCTTCCGAACATTTGGGACAATTCAAATTTGACGCGTCGGATGACCCGAAGTTGAATCTGAAAACATTTTCGCGGGAAATAAATATCAGATGACACGAAGTGCGGATGACACGAAGTCAGGAATCCGGCCTCATCCAAATGTCCTCGCATCCCTCGTGATCTCATCCCACATCCGCACACACATCCCCCCTCTCCAATGTACACACACACCCACCCACCCACCCAAAAACGCGTTACACAAAAGCCCATCCCATCCAACAACGCCCAGCCGCATCACCTCGAATTTCTCTCGCACGCGCACTTTCTCCCTCCTCCTCCCACACACAAATGTGATGCAATCAGCCCCCTCCCACCCCTACCTCACCCACTTCGCTCCCGTCTCCGCTCAACTTCACTCGTCACCATACAGCCAAACATACGCATTTTTCCTCCATCGTTCCATATTCCTTCGCATCCCAGCTCAACACCCGTCCAAATTCGACCTCAGACTTGACAACCTCCTCTCATACGCCAAGAGCTCGATTGACCAGCCGCGCGTGACATTGACGGGACCGCAACCACCTCTATCCACAAAACTCTCCTTATCTCTTTTTTTTCCCTCGTCGAGCTGATAGAAATCCTGTCTGCATTCAGAAAGCCAAAACTGCATCCACACTTTCGTCCCCACTCTTGGCATCTTCTCTCGCCAATCCCGAATCGCGCACGCACGCCGGAACGCGACGGTCTCCCGAGAACGCGGATGGAGCACGTTCCGCCGCGCGCGTGTGAGCCAGCACGACCCACGCTACGACCTTAAAACGCTCCAACGGCTCTCTCGACCCTTGAGCTAACCTCGCAGTTTATCATCCGACTCATACTGTGAAATCAGCTCTATCAGCTCGACTATGAGCACCGGCCCGGTGTCGCGCCCCATTCCCATTGTTTAGGCGCCGCATAAGGCGTCGACAAATCCTCATTTCTGAACTAGACTCTGTACATTCTCGTGCGCCGGCTACTTCTTCTGTTATCTCTGGCATCATCATCGATACCTATTGCCGCTGGAGTGCAGACGCAGCCGCACTCGTCATACTATATTCTGCGCGGTTCTTGTCCCTGCTTTAGCTCCTGCAACCGTTATCAGCGGTACCACTGGTAGCAGCATTGGTATGGTCATCGTCTATCATAGTGATATTTCCCTTTCCTGAACCCACCAACTACCTCTATCGCACATCATCCATCGCAGGCGCCTGTCGCGGTCGCCCTGCGACCGCCTCTGTGCGGCCATCAGCTCTGCGAGTCGCCGCAAACTCGCGGAGGGATCCGCTCGTCGAAACGGACGGTCGCGATGTTTTCTTCCGCTGACGGACCGCTCTTTCCTTCCCCGCCGCCTCTCGATGGATTCTATCCGCCGCAAATGCCGCCGCATGTGTCGCCGCGAGGGGGGAATCCCGCCGCTTCCGGCGGAGGCCACCTCCCGTTCCACCCGCCGTTCGACACGCCGTACGACGCGGCGTACGACGCGGCGTACGATGCTACCTACGATGCGGCGTATGACGTGGCGTACGATGCGGCGCCGTACGACGACATGATGGCGATGGTTCCGATGATGGTTAACGCGCCGCCTTCTCCTCCTGCTGCTTCATTCTTCGAAGCAACGCCTGTAACGGCGGGCTATCAGCGAAAGGCGCATCGGCAGCATCAGCAGCAGCAGCAGCAGCAGCATCACCAACCGTACTTCCATCATTCCCACCACCCGCTTCCTCACCCGCCGCACTTTGCGCCGCATCTTCCGCCGCCTTACATCCACCACGGCTCTATGATGATGCCGCGCCCGTCGCCGTCCCACGCGGCGGCGTTTGCGGCGGCGGAGCGCGGCGGCGTCGGCGGCTCCCGTGGCATGATGCACATGCGGCAGCACGCGCCGACCCCCCCGCATATCCCGGGCGCTTTGTGCGACTATGAGGACCCTAGCTACTATTCCACGCTTTATTTCCGGCCAGAGGTGCAGGTGGTGGTGCTGACGTCAAGAATCAAGGTGCGTGCTGTGCTGTTGCAAGCACTTGGACATGACTCCCCACGTAAAATGGCTTTCAGCATGTGAATTTGTAATTGACTCATCGCAGTAATCCCATATGGGTATTATTAAGGCTTGGTATCTCGGTATTCTGTGTCCTGTAAGCTCAGTGTGGAAACTATCTAACCAATTCCTCTCTCCTTCCCCCACTCCTTTTCCCCGCTCCTCTCCCGCTCCCCTTCTCCCGTCCCCCCTTTTCCAGGACAAAGTATCCCCGTTAGAGAAAACTCGTTGGCTGGACCAGCACTTGTCCTACCGCATCTGTCCCTACCCCATACGCCATATCGAGTTCACTCATGCCGGGGACGCAGGTGCGTGCAACGCGTGAGGGGCGGAAATCGTGGGGCGGGTAGGGTGCAAGGGAGAGAAAGCTAGAGAGCTGGGGCGAGCGGGAGTGAGAAGGAGGGTGAGAAGGAGGGTGAGAGGAAGATGATGGAGGGGAAGGGATTAGGATGCAGCCCCTCTATGCCCCATGTCACTACACTTCCTCGTTCTGTTCTTGCTAACCATGTCCCTGGCTGTGTTTTGAGACGTCTCAAAACATCTCGTTCTGTTCTTGCTAACCATGACCCTGGCTGTGTTTTTCTCTCTCTCGTCCCTCCCACCTTTCCGCTACCTCACTCGCCGCATTCCCCTTCCCTTCTCCCCTCCAGTCATCGAGTTTGTGTCACACGTGGCGATGATGAAAGCACTGCAACGCGCGCCCTTGCACTGGGACTCCCCTTCTGCTTCCGCCACAGCTGCTGCTACTTCCACTGCTGCTGCCGGTCGTGTCGGTTCTGTTGCTTCTGGCGTTGCCGGTGCTCCTGCCGGCAGCAAGAGCGGATGGCAAGCCTATCTTGAAACATTACCAGAACGAACTCCTTCGGCAGCAGCGACAGCAGCGACAACGACAGCAGCAAGAGCAGCAGCAGGGAGGCGGGGAAGGCAGGTGGTGGCAGTGCGGGCATGCACAGAGGACGATATACGGGCGCTCTTCTGGGTGGGACTCTCCTTTCCCTCCTGCTTCTCGCTCGCCGACACACTACCAATGATCAAGCAGGTAATCTCAGCAGGCACAATACGCGCAACAGCCACCAGTGCCGCAAATGCTTTCGCCGGTGCTGGTGCCAAGACCGGGATTGTCGCTCGTGCTGTTACTAACACTTGCTCTGCCATGCTCAATCATAGGCCTCTGTCTAGACTCTAGACGGCATTCCTTCGGAGCAAGCTCATAAGTTGTCAAGTTCTCTCCCTCTCTTTCGCAGATTCTTACTAACTCACCTTCTCTTCCCCAACTTCTGCCTATCGTGGGCCCTCCTCCCCACTCCCCCCCTCCTCTTCCCTCCTCCCCTTTCACCCGTTGCAGGCCCTACAGCCGTACGGTGAGGTGCGAGGGGTGTACTCGCCTCATCCTAGCTCTCAGGAGTTTGAACAAATGCATGGGGGAGGACAACAAGCACAGCAGGAGCAGCAGGAGCAGCAGGATCAGAAGGAGGAAGAGAAGCAGGTCAGAGGCAAGAATGAGGAGGAGGAGAGGGAAGAAGAGGATGAGGAGGACGACGAGAAGAAGGAAACTGACAAGGAGATCTGCGACAGCAGCAGCACAAGCAGCAGCATGAGCAGCAACAGCAGCGACGGCGGCCAAAGTGCCATCATCACCACCAGAAGCAGCAGCAGCAGCAGCAGCAGTGATGGTGACAGCAGCGGCGACGAGGGAGAGAGCAACGACGCACAAGGGATCGGTAACACTGAGAGAAACAAGAACCAGAATCCCAGTTCCTTTCCTAATAGAAACCCCTCCTCCTCCTCCTCCTCCCCACGCTCCCCAACCTCCTTACCCTCCTCGTCCTCCACACCCTCCGCACAATCCCCACCCACCTCCCCACCCGCCTCCCCACCACCTGCCGCCTCTCCCTCCTCTTTCCCCTCTGCTGCTCTTCCCTTCTCTGTCTCCTCCTCCGTCCGCCTCCCCCCTGGCTGCATGCTCAAGCTCTACTTCGCGCCGTCCGGTCGCCGCCACTTGCCTCCGACTCTGCACATCGGCAAGCACGACAGGTAAGACCAGACTAATAGTTCACTTCGCTCCTGTGCTTTTTGCATTCCCTTATGCCCAACCCTCCTTCCTTACTCACCTCCCCTGTCCACCTTCTCTCCCTACTAACCTCCCCTCCGCTCCACAATGCTTCCCTCCCCTCTTCCCTCCCCACAATGCGTCCTCCACCCTTCCCCCCACCCCCCAGGCGCAACAAGGCTCGTCACCCTCTCATTGCACGTCTCTTCACCCCGCACGGCCCTCTCTCCGTCACGTGTGCTGACTTCGGTCCCAACCACTCCATGCACGGCTGTCCCGCATGCGACATGCACCAGCAGCAGCAACAGCAGCAGCAGCACATGTGCGGCGCTTTCGGCGACTACTGGGAGTCGGTAGCGTAGTGAACATTTTGGATCCAGGATCGGTCAAGGCATGTGCTCGTGTAGCATTGGCCTTACAGAGGTAGTTGATCGGATGGCAGCACAACACAGGTAACCTGCCGGCCTTGTTAGATAGACACGACGAGAGGCATGGTACGGTAAGAGAAGGACTGAATAAGGCAGTGGCACGTGCTGTTCCATGCCATGCCGTGCCATGCCATGCCACGTCATCCACTTAAAAAGGTATGTGGAGCACGCATGTACACTGTACGCCATGCTGAAGCTATTCCCGTGCTTGGCAGGAGTGCACGGTGTGTCGGTGGGCAATCATTGTAGCTTCATGTGATTGTAGCTAGTGAGGAATATGGGGTAGGTGACATTAGGTATGGGTAATACCACCGGCCAAGTTTCTCCTAGGTGGGTATTTAGGTAGGCATGTGTCTCTATGAGTAGCGTTAGGCATACCCTATGTTCATATTTAGTGTGAATATGTAAGGCGTTATGCTACATGTAGATAGTACATTCAATAAATAAAGATGTTATGAGGAAAACCCAACCAAAGAAACGTGGAACCAAATCTTGCTAGCACAACTCAAAGATATACAAAATGCAACCACAATCTACACACACAGAAACTACACACACACACGCACGCACGCACGCACGCACGCACGCACGCACGCACGCACGCACGCACGCGCGCGCGCGCGCGCGCGCGCGCGCGCGCGCGCGCACGCACGCACGCACACACACACACACACACACACACACACACACACACACACACACACACACACACACACACACACACACACGCACACACACAGAAACTGCAAACGCAACGCAGGAAGTAACATGGAACAGGGAGTGCAGCACTTGCGTGCAACCTACGGTACTCACAAAATGTAGATACCCAATACCTCCCCACCCCCCACACACCATGCCTCACCAGCCAACATGTGCACCTGGTACATTTGACAAACCAACCACAGCAAGATGTTAGAGTCACACCCTCCCCTCCCATCCGCGCATCCCAGCATAAAAAAGAGAACCAGCGTTTCCTGAGACTCCTCTAGAATCAGATTCTCAACAAACTCTTCCCTGCCATTTCTCCTCACTGATACATCAGCTGATCCTTTTTTTTAACCCCTTTTTTTATTCTAGCGCTCAGGTAAAAGAAAAGGGCTCCCGCTTAAGTGTCGCCTGCCTCGCAGATAAAGAAGAGTGCTGCCACCGGGGCTCCCAGCCCATTGTCCCTCGCAAACTGTGCTGCATGGAAGTTAGCTCGCTCTTCCGGTGGTGAGATCTGATGGGAGGGAGGAGAGAAGGAAGGGGGCAAGAGTGGAGGAGGGGGGAGGAAGGGGAATGGATGGAGGGTAGGATGAAGGGGAATGAACGGAGGGGAGGAGGAAGGGGAATGAATGGAGGGGAGGAGGAAGGGGAATGAATGGAGGGGAGGAGGAAGGGGAATGAATGGAGGGGAGGAGGAAGGGGAATGAATGGAGGGGAGGAGGAAGGGGAATGAATGGAGGGGAGGAGGAAGGGAATGAATGGAGGAGAGGAGGAAGGGGAATGAATGGAGGGGAGGAGAGGGCTTTTGAGAATTCTCAAGAGGGCTGCCTGAAGAGCAGGAAGATGTAGCGGTGCGTGCCCTAAGGAAGGGTGTTCTAGCCCCTTCACCCTCATCCGTTCCCACACGCCCCGCACGCCCCGCACGCCCCCACACGCCCCGTACCCACCCTCGCGCACACCCCCCTCACGCCCATGATAGAGCTGACCACGAGCTGTGGAGTGGGCTGACTGAAGGGCAGGAAGATGTAGCGGTGCGTGCCCTCCGGAGGAACGAGGGAGGGTGGGCCCGCCCCATCACACCATCATTCCCCAACACCCCGCACGCCCCTCACGCCCCACACCCACGCCCCACATCCACACCCCACCCCCACCCCCCACCCCCACCCCCACACCCCACACCCACCCCCCACCCCCCACCCCCACCCCCTGCACCCACAGCCCACAACCGCCACGGACCTCGAGGTGCGGAGTGGGCTGCTTGAAGAGCAGGAAGATGTAGCGGTGCGTGCCCTCCGGAGGGGTGTGCCAGCCCCTTCACCCTCATCAATTCCCACACACCCGCACCCCCACACTCCCCGCACGCCCCACACGCCCCACACGCCCCACACGCCCCGCACGCCCCACACGCCCCGCACGCCCCACACCCACCCCCACACACCCCCTCACGCGCATGAGAGCACGGACCTCGAGGAGCGGAGTGGGCTGCTTGAAGAGCAGGAAGATGTAGCGATGCGTGCTCTCCGGAGGGGTGGGGCCGTTGTACGGTGTCACCACACGACCTGCGGGGAGGGGAGGATGGGAGGGGGGGGGGGGGGTTTGGCCAGGAAGGGGAGGAGAGGAGACGAGGGCAAGATGTAGCGGTGAGTGCCCCCCGGAGGGGTGGGGCCGTTGTACGGTGTCACCACGCGACCTGCGGGGATTGGGGCAGAGGGGAAAGAGGGGGGGTGGCCAGGGGGGGGAGGAGAGGAGACGGATGTAGCGGTGCGTGCCCTCCGGAAGGGTGTTGCCGTTGTAACAACGACGCGGGAGGGAAGAGGCAAGAGGGAAGAGGGGCGAGGGAAGAGAGGGGAGAAGCGAGGAACAACGGGCGAATGGCGAAAGGTGGGGGGCAGGGCGCGGGGAGATGGGGAAGGGGGAGTGCAGAGGAGGTGTGCGCAGGGGAGAGTGGAGTGGGGGACAGGGTGTGAGAGGGCGGGAGGGGAGGAAGGACAGAGGAGGAGAGAGTGAGAGGATGGGGCAAGGGGGGCAAAAGAGGGGTGAGGTGGAAGGAAGTTCAACAAAACGAAACGGAGGGAAGAGAAGGAGGAGCGACGAGGAGCAATGTGGAAGGTGGGGAGGGCGGGAGGCGGGAGGGCGGGAGAGGCGGGAGGGTGGGAAGTGGGAGCAAAGGTTGGGAATGTGACAGTGCAAGGGTGGAAGGGTCTGGGGGTGCAAAAAACGAGGAAAAATTGCCACACGAGGAGAGTTTATTATGCTTGTAAAAGCGTGGAATAGATTAAGGTAAACGGGCATGTGTGGTGCGTGCGTGCACGAGCACGCACTAATGCTTGCACGCACCTGTACCCCCACTGCCATCGACGGGAATATCCACAAGAATCCTGATGGTGGTGCCACGGGATGGCAGAGGAACAAAATATTTATTAATATTCTTTTAAATTATTGTTGTCAGCCTCTTATGGTCCCATGTAACTAAACATGGCACAGAATACAAGGCATAGGATAGCCAGGCACGACATGGAATCGGAGGGAATAGCATAGCATGACACATGGCACGGCAAGGCATGGTGATATAACATGTCAAATCACCATCCCAGCCCAAACGGCCAACCGTCAAGTTGCGCGACGCGGCTGGCCGTCAAGTTGTGCGGTCACCCGTCAAGAAGCACGCCCCACTCACCAGTGCAGCCACTCGCGCGCGGTCGGATTGGATGGGCTGGGCGCGTCAGGGTCCACGAGCACCTGCATGGCGCACGCGGCGGGCGGAAACGCCGGGGTGGGCGGAGATGCGCGGACGGCAGAGATGAGAAGCGGGCAGAAATGCGCGGCCGGCGGAGCGCGCACGAGAAGCACGCGCCCCGCTTTTGAGAGAGAGAAAAAAAAGAATCGAATTTCGTGGGCGTGCACGCAGCAGGTCGCAGGGATAGCGAAACTATCACGAAACTAGAGAAGGCAGCTGTAATGAATCGCAATAGGCACCAGAATCTAACAAACATGCAATGATGCGGAACCCTCTTACTTTTTTTCTTTTTTGGTTATTTCAAGCCCCTAAGGAAACAACAACGGATGGAGATTTGACTCACAAGGGTGTAATGGCTGCTCGGATCAAGCTCCCTGTTAGGAAGCGCCGAAATCACCACAGCCGGCGGCACGGCGCCTTCCGACTGAGATACCCGCACGCCGTCAAGAAGCTGCCGGCCGCTGAACGACACAGTCAAATCCACCTCCTGTTTAAACGGCTCCACGACATCGCGCAGCGCGTTCGCCAGCTCGCCGGAAAGAGCGCCGCCATTTCCGCTGGACGCGGCCGAGGTGGAGGCGAAGATGAGAAGCGCTCCGAGCAGCACGACGCCGACGATTGCGGCACCCATGAGGATGGTGCGACGGTTGCGCGGATCGCGGAGATAGCCGAGCGGACGGCGATTGGACTCGTCCAAAGAGAGCGCGGCCCAGTCGGACATGGGGAGACGATTGCGCGGGCGAGCGCGAACGGAGTGACTAACAGAATCCGTCTCTGATTTGGTGGCTCCACGTCCTGACGCCAGCGTTGTAAATTCTAGATACTGTATTTCCAAGGGGCTGAGAAAGAAAATCCGAAACACCAAGAATGGGCAGTTGGGGTTGGACGAAAGTACTCGTAATCCCTGTTCGGTATGCAAACGCCTCGGTACAAGAAGACACGACTCGTTTTTCTCCTAAAAAAGATGGGAGTGACACAATTGATATTGCCGCAAATTCATTCCTCCTACGTGAAGGACCTGTCCTGTGTGGTGTCACAGTGCCAAAATGTCACATGATTATACAGGCTGTCTGTGTGTTTCGTAAAAATCGGACTACTAAAAGAGAGGGTAGTAAGGCAATATGTCAAGCCTGTGACTGGGTGTAATGACAACGAAAACCACTTGAGTTTCTTCAAGACCCAACAGGGTAACCGTCAATGGCAGCAACGCCAACTTGGTTTGCTTACGACAGCACACAGAACAAGCCCCTCGCATTTTCAATTCATACAAAGCAATCATTCCACTATCAGAATAAAAAACATGACAAACGACAAGGTCCATGTAGAACTATACAGCAGCTGACAACCCAAACTCCATGCTGAATTATTGAGCTGCAACAGAAGCCAATGAGAGGATGGCTGAGGCAACAGGTAGAGCGAGTGATGGTACTTTATTGAGCTGAGACTTTTGCGTCCCCATGCAGGAAGCTGGCAGAAGCTGGACCACCCGCAGCAACAGCAGATGAACCTCTGGCAAACGCGGTGTTGGCTTCAGAAACAGCTGACGTGATGGGATGGAATGCAGATGGGTGATGAAATGCAGGAGTCCCACTGGGGTGGAAGGATGGAGCACTGTGGTGAAACGCAGGTGAAGGAGCAGTTAGGCCATTGGCACCACCGAACTGGAAAAACCCATGAGGGTTAGTGAATCCAAAATCAAACCCGTGCATTTGAAGCTGCTGCTGCTGCTGCTGCTGCACTATCACCATGCTGAGTTTGCACATTATTGGCATTTGGCACAGTAGTGCTGTTCCCAGCATGATTAGCTTCTCCAGCTTCACCAAGAACAGTTGTGCCCTCGGCAGTTTGCAAGCCAGTTCCATTGGTGTTGTGTCCAGCCGCAACTAACTGAAGAACATTGTTGGATCCCTCAGCTCCCTTGCCAGTGTCCAATCCTTGCTCCTCTTCGCTGCTAGCTGAAACCCTGTGGACATCACTCTCACTGCCAGGATTTCCGCTCGTTCTTCCGTTCTGCTCTGGCTTGACCTCCTTTTCTTCACCATTCCCTGGCTGCTCTCCTGAGCCTTGACCTGATTGTGCTTGTGCCTGTGCCTTCGCAGCTTCCTCGAGCTGCTTAGTGTTGAGAAAGCGTCCACCACAACCTCTCGCCCGTCTAAGTGCATGCTTGTGTCGAGACTCATGCAAGTAAGGCTGCACAGACAAGCGAGTGAATAAATGGAGTGCATACGCCGAGTTAAGAAAGGGGAAATAAAGACGCAGCGATAGCATAAAACCATAGCTTACCTTCCGAGCCTTCACCAAACGATTCTCGGCTTCTGCTTTAGCACGGGCTTGGCGACGACGCAATATACCATGATACTGCTTTGCGTTGACATAAACAGGCTCCTCCTCCACAATCTCTGATGGTAATGGCATTCGTGTCTGTTGCTGTATACCCACAAGTGGAGCCATCTGATGATAAACAGAAAAGATTAGATTATTAGGCAGGCCATATACAAACACAAGCGAGAAAAGCTTCATACTATCTCGACATGGAAATTCTTACCAGTGCCTGAGAGCCAAACGTGACGATGTTGCCATAATAAGGGTCCGTAGCGTAAGGGTAAGCTACATGTTGAGCTGCCTGCAGATATGATGAGACAGCAGGCGAAACAACAACAATGGGAAGGATTGAAATGTCTTCCTGTAAGCTGTCAAAAAGATAAATCATATCATCAAATCGCCATTGTTAATACCGCCTAGTCGTTTATTGTAAATCTTGCAGCCATCCATTGCTAGGCCCGCTCCCTTGGACTAAACAGACAATGACGAAAGCAAAACATATCTTACAATAGGGCCCGAACCGAGATCGATTGTTGCATGTGGAATCGTCATATATTCAGTCGGGCTCGTAGCAGGCATCATCGGGCCAGTAGCTGCAGCAGCGGCAGCTGCAGCCGCAGCCGCTACAGCCAGATTTTGGTGTTCATCGAGCGCTGATACAGCCATGACCCCACCTGGCCCAAAAAAGGCGTGTCAAGAAGAGAAGCGACACGGAGAGTGGAAAGAGGGAACAAAGGAAACATGGACTTTTTGAACTTGTCTCACTGCTGCTAAAAGGCCAAAACAAGTCTTTCTCGAAATACGCAAGCGAAAAGATTGGAAAATAAGCTGATAACAGCCAGCATTACCTTTTGTTTTAACAAATGGGAGAGGGGAGGTTGCAAAAATGACGAGGTGTGGCGAAAGAGGATTACCAGGATTTGACGTCATGTCTGTAGACACAAGCTCCAACCGTTCCGTGATCCGAAAGACAAAGCAGACCTTGAAATGATAGATGACCTGCATGATAAAAGTTAGAACGAAGGACATCGCACAAAGAAGGAAGTTACTACGAGTCAAGCGACTAACTTAGCAATTAAAAAAAAAAAAAGCAGTGCTGAAATTGGAACGAACAAGCAAAACAATAGTTCTGCCATTCTGTGCTGGAAGAACGATAACGTATTGCACAGCCGAGGAATCCATAGGTTCTGCTTATTACCTAGAGGGGCTAGGACAGAGAAGTTGGAACCCTCGATGCTGTCTAACTGTCATTGATTGGCTGGGGAAAAGTGCGGTGGTGACGCCACTCAGCCTTGTCCACTAAGAGGAGAGGGAAGAAAAGGAAAGCACCAAGGTCCTAGGCGAATAGGGAACCAAACAGGGACAGATGGTAGGGGTTTCGTCCGTTTCCTCGAGAAAACTGGCCTCCGCTAGCATTGGTTGGTTGGCAGAAAGTTTGAACAAAAGATCTTACATTCGCGAAACTACTCGACCTCAAGAACAGTGTATGAGTGGCTAACGAAATGTACATTGGGGCCTGATATATTGCGCGAACGTCGCAAGCGTCAGAATGATGCCACGGTCATGGTCGGGCAGCGACTTCTAGCAATAAAATCTAGGGTTTCGATAAGCAATGGGAGCTCCCCAAACAGATGGGCATACCTTTTTGGTAGACAATTCTCCTTCCATTGGCTGACTAGGCATTTTCAAACACACAAAGTGCAGTACTTTTGAATGTGGAAACCCGTGCTTTGGGGAGAAGAGGGGCAAGTGATGTAGTGTAGATTGTGGGGCCAAGCCACGCATAAAACCCTCGTTAGCTGCACCCAAACCGCGTCCATGAGTATGTTGCAGGTTAGGGAGCACAACCCCCGAGAAGTATCCTCTTTAGCACAACGCTGCTGAAACGATTACCTTTGAACTCAAAACATGAATATACGGCATTTTCACATATGTTATAAAGCTAGTTGGATACATGTATCATTTTGAGATTTACAAAATCTTTGGAGCGTTTTTTTTTGCGTATATCAATTAAATTAGTTCTTTCTATACTTGAGGTTGATTACAGTGAAATTTCATACTGATTAGATATTAACACAGACTGGCTCTCATATGTCTAGCTTGATTTCAGCAAAACGTCAGGTTCTGGAGAGGATCACTCTTTACGCCGGATGAAGGGGGCCAGATTGGGTTGCGTGTTTTACGCTCAGCCACCCTAAAGTTTCAAACTTTTGGAGCGCCAGGATCAGTTCTGTACTCTACACGTGGGGTCGACGTGTGAGATTTGAGTTATTGGAGATTCTAAGAAGCTGAGGTGGACTGTTTATTGGCGTTGCGAAGTGGGAATGGATTCAGGGGGAGCTGGTGTGGCCATCAGGTTGTCTGGCCATGCTGACATGTTCATATTGGGTTGGTCGTATTTGTCGGCCTTTTGGCATTTCGGTCTGACGTGACGAAGCAGGACTGGCAGGATTGGTGTTGGGTCCGCTCTCCGAGTCGTTCTGTGGCGGCTCCTTCAAATGTGCCAGCCAGGGAAGGAACTGGTTGTTCAAAGAAGCCAGGGCCATAAGCGACGCGAGTGTTCGGTATGGTGTCCCAGTGAGAAGTGATAGGGGTATCACGTGGCACACATTCACTGGGTTCAAGTTCAACAGCCAGCTCATTTGCTGAGCAGATAGCCGTCGATAGCAATGACCCCCAGCATCCACGCGTGTCACACCGCCTCGCTGGCGACGAGGGTGAAACAACATGTCTTACGTGTCATGGCAATTTCTCTGGGCGATCCATCCATGCGGTCCGATTTTCCGCTTGCCATGCGTGCGTGTCGTCCCGAAATATTTTCTATCCAGTCCTCCTCCTTCAGTCTGGCTCCTGCTCGCTGAAACTTATTTACCCTCATACGTAACTGCCCAGTTGCCCCACCACCCCCATGCCATCCGCGCGGATCAGTGATGGGTTGACATACGAGAAAACAGACGGGCATTCCCCTTTCGGCAGACGCCGATATCGTGAATCGTGATCTCTAGATACCGTATGATCATCCCAAGGTGGGAATGGTACCGCGAAGCGAAACGCACTGGCGCGGTGATCACCCTCCCTTGCTGTCCTCACGAGGAGCTAAGTTTCACCAGAAACCACCTCCTCCCTGACCAGAACTGATGATGTTTAACTTTATCCCAGTCACCTTGTCCCCCGTTCCCAGTTAGCCAGCAAGCTTCCTTTACCTGAATTAATTATCTGTTGGTGAGGAACCGTAATTACATAGCTAGATCCGCGTCTTTTCTTCTTTGGTTCTTTACCTCCGCAAGCAGCGAGGTCAGGTGTCTTGTCATCGAACGTTGGCTTCGCCAATGGAGAATTCCATGGCGAGTGCTGAGATGGAAGTCGGGAGTAGTAGCGACGTCGGCCATTGTACTCTTGCTTTTCAAATCTCAGCTGCGAAGCCCCACGCAGAGGGTTTTCAACGCGGTACGCATTTTGGTAACGTGGAGTTTGTTGTTCCTTTCTTCCGTAGTCTTCATCGGTTTGAAATTCTCATGGATTAGGCTCCCCGCACGCGCCTTATTAAAAAAACGTCGACTGCTAGCACTCAATGCACGTTTCCCGCTCTTTCTGAGATATTTCTCTGAACCTACATCTCTCTCTCTCTCTCTCTCTTTCTCTCTCTCTCTCTCTCTCTCTCTCTCTCTCTCGCTCTCTCTCTCTCTCTCTCTCTCTCGCTCTCTCTCTCTCTCTCTCCCTCCCTCCCCCTCTCCTCCCTCCTCCCTCCCTCCCTAAATAACCTCCAATAGAGAGAGAGAGAGCTCTAGAGCTCTCTCTCTCTCTCTCTCATCCCTCCTCCCCCCTCCATCCCTCCTCCCTACCGCCCGCCACCCTCCCTCCACTCCTCCCTCCCTCCCTCCCTCCCTCCCTCCCTCCCTCCCTCTCTCCCTCCCTCCCTCCCTCCCTCCCTCTCTCTCTCTCTCTCTCTCTCTCTCTCTCTCTCTCTCTCTCTCTCTCTCTCTCTCTCTCTCTCTCTCTCTCTCTCTCGCTCTCTCCCTCTCGCTCGCTACACGCTCTTTTTCAGCAGCTGCTGATGACACGGTAGGCTCTGCGGAACAAAGTCACGCTGCCTCTCACGCTGACACCTCTACTGCGGGTGTTACTGCATCTCCTTTGGCCGTCTGCACAGCCGCAGCAGACCAGGCAATGGCGGAACCGTCTCGCGAAGAGGGGGAGAACAAGTCGTGCTGCATGCAAGGCAGTGACAACAGCAGCGCGAAAGGCAGCGATAACGGCAGCGTGAAAGGCGGGGAGCGAGAGGAGCGTAGCGTGCGGAACGGAGCAAGCACCGCGGCAGGGGGAGGGATCTGGGATCTGAATCCCTCTGATTGGAGCTGGAATAATCGCGGCAAGGAGAAACGGTCAGGGATAACGTCAACTGAACGTGTGTCGTCGTCGAAACGAGACGCTTCGCGCGTTGCGCGCTCGCCGCCGTCTCCCGCGGAAGCTGCCTCGCAGATACAGCAGAAGCAGCCATCCGTATCACGCGCTGATACGCGCCGTGAGCGAAATCCGTTATTAACGATCGATTTGCACAACACGTCTGGCACAGCAGCGGCAGCGACGGTTGCAGCAGCGACGGCTGCGGCGGCGGCGGCGGCGGTAGCGGCGCCGTCGGCGGTGAAACGCAGTCCGCAGAGCGAGCCGAGCGATCTGACGCATCAGGGGCAGTCGTCGCCGTCGCGTGACACGAGCGGATCTCCCGCGAGCAACCCCAACGAGGCGCACGCGGGGAGGCATGCGTCGGGCAAGGAGCGACAACGGGAACCACGGAGTGAGCCCGCGCAATGTGAGACTCCGCGGAGCGGCGCGGGACCCGGAGGCCCGCGGAAAGGGAAGGCGCACTCTCCGCCGGCAGTTTCGGAGGCGTCGCCGCCGCAATTGCAGCAGCAGCAGCTGCGCGGAAGGGCGCAGCGGAAGCGGAAGTCGCCTGAGGGGGAGGTGGCGCGGGACAGGAAGCTCCCCGCGGGGGAAGAGCCGCCGCGGCAAGCGCAGCGCGCGTGGCAGCAGGCGCAGATCCTACCCGCATCGTCAGGAAATCCAGCCAGCACGTGTGGCGACTCGCGCATACCACACGCGGGCGTCCACGAAATCAACGCGGCTCAAGAGGTGGGGGCGGCTGGGGTTCAGGTTGGTCCTGTTGGTGATAAGTGGTTCACTCCCGGCGTGCCGCTGGTTTCGCCGCCGCCACCTCCTCCTCCTCCTCCGTATGGCTTCGATGCTGCTGCGCGATTGAGCAGCGCGGGACGGACAGCACAAGACGCGCTGTTTCAACAGCAGCACCAGCAGCAACGGCAGCATTTTGAGCAGTTTCAGCAGCAGCAGCAGATACTGCAGAGTATGGTAGCGGCGAGCATGCCTGCAGGCACATCCTCCGCAGCCGTTGCAGCCGCTAGGGCCGCCGCCGCAGCCGTCGCAGGAGCACGCGTCGCAAACGACTACTATTGCATACCGGCAGACATGCCGCGCGGAGGCGGCGGCGGAGGCGGGGGCGGGATTGGCGGAGGGTCCGGAGGGGGCGCAGGAGGAGCAGGGGGTATAGGCGCAGCAGTATCGTATCACGGGGCCTTACTTCCGCCATACGCGCAGCAATACCCGCCACTGCTGTCGCACGCGCACGCGCACGCGCACACCCCCCAGCACTGCTTCCCGCCCACTCATTTCCCCGCCATCCCTTGGCTCCCCCCGCCACTGCACGCTCCGCTTTACGCGCCTCTCTCGTCCCCTCTCGGCCCTGCGCTCCCCTCACTCCCGCCTGTGTCGCATGCGGGGGATATGGGGATGGGCGCGGGAGCTATGTTTGAGCAGCCGCCGTATCCCCATCCGCTCGGCGGCAGTGGTAGCAGCAGCGGCGGAAGCGTGGGTATGTATTCCGCAGCTGGCCCCCCGCCCCCGCCCCCGCCCCCGCCCCTGCACCCGCGCCCGCAGCCGCCGCCCAGCGCGCTCCCCGGGTTCATGCCCCTTCCCGCTGTGCATCCCTTCCCGTCTGCTGCGGCAGCAGCAGCGTTTCGTTGCGCCGTCCAGTCTTCCGCCGCCCCCGCTTCCGCCATGCCAGGTTCCGCCATGCCAGGTTCCGCCATGCCAGGTTCCGCCATTCCCGCTGGTGCTATTCCCAGTCAGCAAGCAGCATGGCAGCAGCAGCAGCAGGGGCAATCAGGCATGAGTGGCTTACTCCCAACAAGCATAACAGCTGTGCCACCATTCCCTCAACCTCCCTTCCAGCCACACCCACAGCAGCAGCAACAGCAGCAGCAGCAGCAGGCGAACCGGCGATTGCACCATGTGCCCATTGCCCCTGCTGCTCCCAAGCCCTGCGCGGGCAAGGAGGGCGCGGGTAAAGCGGCAGCAGTAAGAGGCGCTACTGAAGCCGCTGATACGCCAGGGAACGAGCGGGCCGCTGCTACCCGGTGTGCAGAGGGCGCAGGAAATGCAGAGGGTGCAGGGGGCGAGGAGGGTGCAGCAGAGGGTGCAGCAGAGGGTGGGGAGCTGGAGAGGCAGTCAGGCCGTGCAGAGCTGGCAGGGCAGGTAGAGTTGTTAGAGGGCGCGGCGGAGGAGGGCTCAGGGGTCACTGAGGCAGCAGCACCAGCTAGTACTCTCGTAGCACCAGGCGCCAAGGCAAGAGGCAAGGCAGTAGGCAAGCTGGGAGGCAAGGGTAAGGGCGCAGGGGGAGGCAGTAGCAGTGGTGACCTGCGTGATCGGCTTGGTGCAAGCCTGCTGTTGTAAGCTGGAATAGCACCTGTAATGAGCGGAGTGGCCTCGTGCCGTGCCGTGCACCCGCTGCCACTGCGGTTGCTCTTCCTGCTGCTCCTGCTGCTATGCCACCAGCAGTTTCTGCTGCCGAAGGTTCTGCTGCTGAAGGTTCTGCAGGGTCCCACTTCACTGCTGCTAGCTCGCTGCCCTCGTCTCTCCCATCCTGGATGCGTCATTCGCGGACCCCCGCCTCTCCAGCACCCGCTGCTACTGGTGGGGTGGCCTGCACACCAGGAGTATGTTACCGGGGGAAGCAGCAGCGTCAGCAGCATCAGGATCGGCAGCAGGAGGTTGAGGAGGAGGACGAGGGGGAGGTGGAGGAGGAAGAGCAGGAGCAGCAAGAGCAGGGCGAATGTGGGAGGGATAGCGCTGCAGGTGAAGACCGGGAACGTGCCGCTGCGTTATGCAGCAGCTCACGTGGACCTGTAGAAAATGACACGGTAAACATGGAACACATGAATGTTAACAGCGGTAACACTGATCGCGGTAACCTAGATGGCATCATGCGGAGTAGGGGACACCTGGTAAATACAGACAGGCAGCGCACTCATCTCATAGACCAGGACCGGGGCAGGGACACCTTGCCGCTGTCTGCACCTGCCTCCCTTGCTTCTCACGCAGCAAAGGCTGTCAACGGCCAGCCACTCTCGCTGCTTGGGCCGGAATATATAGACCTGCCTTGCAGCTCGTATTTTGATCCGGGTGCTCTTTTCCACAGCAGCTGTGGCGGCAGCAGCGGCTGCGGCAGCACCAGCAGTAGCAGGACGGCACGGGATCAAGTGTCGGCTGCACTGGCGGCTGTTCTCGCGTACTCGGTTGGAAGCATGATGTGGAGTGGCGTGCAGTGGGAGGGGTGCCTTGGGTCATGGGCATCTACTACTGCTGCTTCATCTGCGTCTGCTGCTTCTGCTGTTGCTGCTGCTGCGGTTGCTAACATCTTCACTGCTGCAAGTTTTCCTGCTGCCGCTGCAGCCCCTTCTGCTGCTCTTCCTTCTACGGAGACCAAACCAGCGTCTTAGGATCCCTAGGTTTCCTGCAATCTCTGCCGAATGACCTGTAGCCTATAAGCACTGTAGCTGCAGGCTGGCACGTTAACGGTACTGGTGTAAATCCGACTTACAGCGGGAGCTCCTGTAGATTCAGCCGTATTTATTGTTATTTATTGTTTTCCTGTAGTTGAGCTCTCCTGGTGTGCATAGTGGAGACTGTATAGGTGTGTGTTAGTGTGTGCTTGTTGTTCAGCTTACCAGTACCGCACACTCCTTTGTGCGTTTATAGGGGATGGGTTGGGGATTGGCTCTTGAAGTGCATTTTGTCAAGTACCTACCATATCATTCGTGTCGCGGTGGTGCTAGTACGGACGGAAACAGACAGTACACGTTTCTGGACATACCGTAATTACAGAGCTTGACGTGCCAGGAGCAAAAGCTTGGCAAGTTAGTAGTGGTTAGGGTACATTCCGCTGTGGACATGCGTCCCAATCGATGTGTCCCAATCGATTCTACCGCACTGAATCTTATTACACCGAATTACACCCTAGTTTCAAAATTTTCGCTTCTCTGGTTTAGTGCGGTTCGGAGCGGTACACCCGATTGGGACACATCGATTGGGACGCATGTCCACAGCGGAATGTACCCTTAGTAATTCATGTACGGTACTAGCTTTAAACAAGATAAGACAAGCAGTTAGCTGAGCGGTCCTAATGTTGCTGCTGATGGGACAGCTGCTGCTGCTGGTGGAGGTGGTGGTGGCACGGGCACTAGTAGAGAGGAAGCAGCTGAGCTGGATACCGATACCACAATATTTGGTTTGCCAGTGCCAACCAAACCAGCAGTTGTCCAGGCTCCACCAAGTTAACCTCCTCGCATCCCAGCCCTTTAGTGTGTGTGCGGTGTTAGGGTGGGGTGGGTGGGTGGGCCCTGTGAGGGGGTGGTGACGGGAGGTTTGAGTTGACCCACACAGTGTGTGTTCCATACGCCACTTGGGTCTTTGCCAGCAATCAGTGTGGCAGGCAGACATACCCTAGCAGCGTTCTGGCTCCCCTCCTCAGCAGACCCCGATTTGGGGTCTACGGTATGGTGTATGGCATGTGGATGGACGGACGCGCAAAGGCAAGCTCCGAGGAGGCAGCAGCACAGAAGAGAATTTGATAGATACTTCCTTGCTTGCTTGCTTGCTTAGCACCAACAAAGCACCTGCCCTGAGAGCCTGAGGATTGTTTGGGGTGTCTGGTTCCCCTCCTCTCTCCACCACACTCCGCCCCGACTTTTTTGGCTCCTTTCACCTCTGCCCCGTTCACCCCTTCTGTTCTTCTTGGCTCATAATCATGAAAAGTACCAGTCAGTGAACGTCCCTTCCAAAGTGGTTTCCCTACCACCGCTGCTGCCAAAGCCGCCGTCACCGCCGCTGCTCATCACGTCACCAACACCACCCCACTCTCCAACCCCCCTTCCTCCACTCCCCCCTACAATATCTTTCACATCCCGCACACTCACACCGAGCGCGCTCTTCGCTCCCGCCCCATCCCCGTCCTCTCCCCCCCCCGCATACCCATGCGCAGATTGCTCCAATACCGACTCCCCACCACACAGTGCGTCGACGCGCTGAATGTGAACGCACGGAACGGGACCCGCGCGGCGGCCCGCGCGCGCACGATGCCGTAGATCGTGCTGTTGACGCGGTGGGAGAAGTCTCGGAGGAGACGCAGCTGGAAGGGCGAGCAGGAGGCGAAGCGCGGCGAGCGCATGCAGCGGAGCAGCGGGTTGGAGCGCGTCTTGCTGCGCGGCGCGAGCGCGACGGCGACGGCCTTGTAGTCGAGGAGCGAGTTGACGAGGAACATGGGCGTGCGCACGAAGTTGAGATTGTACTCCGGGAAGAAACACTTCCACGCCTCCTTGCTGCTGCCCAGGGCTGTTATTGGGATGGGGGTGGGGGAGGATGGGAGAGGAGGGAGGAGGAGGCGGAAAGGAGGGAAGGAGGGGGAAGGAGGAGGGGGAAGGAGAGAGAAGGAGGGAGAAGGAAGGGGAATGAGGGTGAAGGAAGAATTTTGCTGCAAGGAGAGCGAGAGCGAGTGCGACGGCGACGGCCTTGTAGTCGAGCAGCGAGTTGACGAGGAACATGGGCGTGCGCACGAAGTTGAGATTGTACTCCGGGAAGAAACACTTCCACGCCTCCTTGCTGCTGCCCAGGGCTGCGAGAGAGGGAGAGGTGGGATGAGGCAGGCGGGCGGGTGAGAGAGTTGAGGCGGGGAAAAAGGGAGAGGGGGTGGTTCTAACGTGAGATTGCCTAAAGAGATTTGGTTGGGTTGGGTTGGGTTGGGTTGATTCTAACAGGACAGCCCAGGGAGATTTGGGGATCTCAGAGAGTCGTTCTGGTCTTTAATGGGTAAGCCCGGGCTACTCCCTGTGACTACTCTGGGTTGCTCTGACTTGCCCTGAGTTTCTCTGGGTTGCCCTGAGTTGCTCTCTCAGAGCTTGCTCGCAGCTTACATTGCTTGCAGGAGTAGCTGATGCCGGCGCGGTTGATGTTCTGCGCGCCCGCCATGCGCTGCACCTTGCGCCGCAGCGAGCGCTGGCCGTAGTAGTCCACCACGTCTGCATGGCGAGGAGATAGAGGTGAGGGGGCGGGGGTATGGGTAGGGGGAGGAGGATTGAGGCGCCTCATAACCCGTCCTACTCCACGCCGCAGCGAGCGCTGGCCGTAGTAGTCCGCCACTGCAAGGGAGAGAGAGGTGAGGGGGTGCGGTGAGGAGGTGTGGTGTGGGGGAAAGGTGGGCATGGGAGGGAGGAACGCTGTGTGCTACACCTTGCGGGAAGACTCCCGTGCCCTTTCACACCTGCTCACACGTGCTCGCACCTGCTTGCACCTGCTCGCACCTGCTCGCACCATTCGACCTGCTCTCTCTCGCACCTGGGAAGACCCCCGCGTCCATGAAGCACTTGGTGCGCATGCGGTAGCACAGAGAGGAGACCTTTCACACGTGGCATCACACTATCACCCTTCCCACAACCACACCACCTCCCACACACTCCCTCCTCTCACCTGGGAAGACCCCCGCGTCCATGAAGCACTTGGTGCGCATGCGGTAGCGGGCGAGCCACGCAGCAATGGGGTCGCACACCATCGACACCGCCACCGCCCCCGCGCTGCACCCGCCCACCAGCGCGTCTGTTCCCTGACTCATGCCGCGCTTCACTAGCAGGTCTGCACGGGTGGGGTAGTGGGTGGGAGGGGGGTGGGGGTTTATGCAGGAGTGGGGTTTCGAAATGAGGCACTGCACCCGCCCACCAGCACGTCTCTCCCGTGATTCAAGCCCCGCCGCACTAGCAAGTCTGCACAGGTGGGGAGTGGGTGGGAGTGCGAGGAAGTAAGGGTGGGCGAGTCAAGGGTGGGGAGAAGGGAGAAGTCTCAAAACAGTCCCATGTAAAAGAACAAGAGAGCGAATCCGGTTGTTCCTTCAGCCCACTGCCTCTCCGCCCCTCCCTCTGTCTCTCTCTCACCTTGCAAAGTGGCCTGCGGGTTCCAGTGCCCCATATAGAACAGCAGGAGAGTGAACCAGGTGGTTCCTTCAGTGCCCTCCCTTTTCAACCCTCTCTTCCTCCTCCCACCGCCCCTCACCTTGCAAGGAAGCCTGCAGGTTCCAGTGTCCCATGTAGATAGAACAGAGTGCTCGGATCGCCCGAACCTCCTTCAGTGGTGCTACCCCTCCTCCTTCAAACCTCTCCACCCGTATCTCTCTCTCCCTCACCTTGCAGAGAAGCCTGCAGGTTCCAGTGTCCCATGTGGAACAGAGTGCTCGGATCGCCCGAACCTCCTTCAGTGCTACTACCTACCCCCTCCCTTCAGGCCTCTCACTCACCTTGCAAAGACGCTTGCAGGTTCCAGTGCCCCATATAGAACAGCGTGCTCGGATCACCCCCCGAACCTCCTCCTTCCGCTGCCGCCGCCGCCGCCGCCGCTGCAGCAGCAGCAGCAGCGGAATCACTGTGTTTGCTCCCCCGGTGGTTGCTGCTGGCAGCGTGGGGCTTGGCGGGGCGGCCAAAGGCAGAGCCGGCAAAGGAGGCGCCGTCGCAGTACTTGATTAGCACGAAGTTCCAGTTGTAGAAGGCCGGATTCACTCTGCTCTCCGCGCTCGCTACCCCTCCAAAGTTGAGCGGCTGGGGAAAGGAAAGGGGAGGGTGGTTGGAGGTGGGTGGGGTGAGGTGATGGGGCAGAGCCGGCAAAGGAGGCGCCGTCGCAGTACTTGAGATAGGGTGGGTGGGTGGTGATAGGGGGTGTGGTGCGATGGGGTAGAGTGTTTGTTATCTTGCAGGACAACGATAAACGCAAGGGTTGCTGGTTCGTAAGGCTGGGACTACTGATGCGAATCGCAAGGATCGTGCGAGGAGCATGGGTGTGATGAGCACAAATGCACGAAGCAGGGTTGGGGGTGGTGGGGTGCGGTGAGGTTGTAAGGGGTATGGTGTGGTGCAGTGCGGCATGGCTCACATTAGTGGACGCCCATTGCCGGGAGCTCCCCAGAGGTCCCTTGGCTCGTGCGGTGCACTGCTTGGGGTTGAAACACCACCCTCCGCCCTGCTCTCAGCACACACGGGGATGGATGGAGGCGCGAGGAGGGGAGTGGGGGGGAGGGAGTTAGCTTAGCGCGTAGGGGAGACACGGACAGCTGGCAAACGATCATGCGAGTCAGAGAGAGGCGCGTCAAAGCGGAGAGGTTAAGTGGGAAGTCTCAAAAGTCAGGTGAAGGGGCGGAGAGGCTTATTGAGACGTCCCAAGAATCAGGTGAAGGTGCAGAGAGACACACCTCTAGGAAGAGAATCCACTTCTTGGCCCCTGATCCGTATCCTCTGCGCAGGTAGTAGCCCGCAGCACTGCCGTGACACGTGGGTTGATATGGTGAATGAGGGGCAGAGAGAAGGAGGGAGGAGAGGAGGGGATGCAAAGAACGGAAAGGAGAGGGAGGAAAGGAGTGGAAAGGTGGGGAGAGGAGGGGTGGTTGAGTGGTAAAAAAAAGTAGGATATTTGATCGGTACCAGTCCCAACCCACAAGTCAGGTTGTGTGCCAACTCGAGGAACGTGGAGCGACGGAGAGTACATCACCAAAGCTCCCCTTTCCAAATCTCAAACCCCTCCCTCCCCCCACCTAGAAACCCGCTCGACCTCACCTGCCGTCCAGGCACCTCGCCCGTGACTCGTTCCGAGGCAGCAGATACAGCTGAGCCACACTCTCTCCGCCCGAAGCCCCCTCCCAACCTCCACCCCCTCCACCTCCACTCCCTCCCGACTCACCACCGCCCTCCTCTCCTCTCCCTCCGCTGCTGCCGCTGCTCTTTCCCCTGTCCCCCGTTGCAGGGGGCTTCGGGGCTTTGTTGTGGAAACCGGGGGGGGCAGGGGCGGTAGGGGCGGTAGGGGCGGGAACTGAGATACGAGACGGAGTGTGCTTGACCTGAGAGTGGGAGTCGGAGTTGCTATTGCTCCCACCGCTGCTGCTGCTGCTGCGCTGCCTTCCCTTGAAGCCCGACTGGCGGTCAGTGGCAGGGGAAGGAGAGGAGGAGGAGGAAGGGGAGGAGGGAGAGGTAGAGGGCCACATGTGAGAAGAGAGAGAGGGGGAGGAGGAGGAGGAGGAGGAGGGCGGAGGCGAAGGGGAGGGCGAGCCTCGGCCACTCTTCATGTGGCTGCTGCTGCTGCTGCTGGGGGGGTGGGGGGAAGAGCTAGGAGAGGAGGAGGGGCCGTGCCTGCCGCCGCTGCCGCCGCTGCTGGGTTGAGGCGTGAAGGTGGCTCGAAGGCCCAAAGACTCCGTGGAGATTGGGACGAGGGTATGGCTGCTGTGGTTAGAAGCATCTCCAGGGGAGTGGTTGTAGTAGTCCGAGTCGTCAAAGGAGCCATCGTTGCCGGTTTGCAGGTAATCGATGGCGTTGACGCTGCCGTCGTCGCGCTCCCCTTGGCTGTCCTTGTAATCTCCGGCGTCGCTCGTGTAATCCGCACTGTCGCTGCTGCCGCCTCCACCACTGCCGCCACCGCCGCCATCGCCACTACCATCAGCACCCTTGGCGACAGGCTGCTTTTGAGAATTCCCTAGAGCACTGTACTTGTTGCTGCTGCCACTGCTTTCTGTGACGCCACCAGCAGCACTGTCAGAAGCATTGTCTGCCCCTGCGCCGGCAGCAATGGTAACAGCGTTGGAACCATCCAAAGGCTGGGAATCTTCACCTCCGTCTAGATCGAACCCGTTATAAGCGTCGTCGTCACTTGCGTTGTCATCAGCACCATCATCATCACTGTAGATTTCATCACTATCATCATCGCTCCCATCATCACCACCATCATTGTTCCCATCATCTCCACCATCATCTCCACCATCATCTCCACCACCCACACTACCCACAGTCACATCCACCCCCCCATCACTAGGGCTTCTCCAGTCAGATCCCTCACTTGCATCACCATCCTCATCCTCATCAGCATCAGCATCAGCATCAGCATCACCATCCCCATCACCGTCACCATCACCGCTACCACCACCATCAACATCAAACCCCTGAGAGTCACTTTCGTTATAGTCAACCGCCGCTTCCCGCACACCCACCTCACCCCCCTCCCTCCCCTCGCCCCCCTCCCCCGCCCCATCTCCGCCGTCCCCGCCCCCTTCCGCGCCCCCATCCGAGTATCCCGCTAGCCCGTCCCCCCCATAACTCCCCCCGGCGTCTAGTAACGACTGCCACCAGAGGCCAGCGGGGGGGGAGGACACAGGCGTTGCGTCCCCACCACCATCCGCACTACCACCATCCGCACTGCCACCACCGTCAGTGTCCCCCTCATTGCCCCCTTCTCTGCCTGCCTCACTGCCTCCGTTACTGGTCGCATCACTATCCCCGTGGCTGCTGCCCCCGTCACTATAATCACCATCGATATCATACCCTCCCACATCATCCAAGCCAGAGTCAGCACCACCAGTCGCCCCATAATCACCATCACCACCACCATCATCAACAGCAGCAGCAACAGCGACGCCGTTCCCGCCCCTCCAAACGCTGCTACCAGTGCTGCCAGAGCTGCTGCTGTCCCGGGCACCAGCAGTACCAAGCTTGACACTGTACGTCGCAGCATGAATGCCCCTTCCATCCATGTCCCTCCCACTCATGTCATTCCCACTGGCCATCGGTACGCTCTGCCTCCTCCTGAACGTCGACCCTCCCCCACCTCCATTCCCCGCACTAGTGTCACCCCCGCTCTCCCACCCCTCTCCACCGCTGCTGCTGCTGTGCGTGCTGGAAAGGCCTTGAGTAAAGCTGGTAGATGGTTGGGAGGAGCCGTTGCTGCCGCTGCCGCTGCCGCTGCCGCTGCTGCTGCTGCTGCTGCCGCTGTTCTTCAGGTTGACTTTGAAGCCTGTGCCCTTGGTAGTGGAACTTGTAGTGCTGCTGCTGCTGCCGCTGCTGCTGCTGCTGCTGCTGTTGCTGTTGCGAATTACTGGTCGTATTGCTGGTGGTGCTGCTGCTGCTATTGCTGGTGGTACCGCCACTGCTGCTGCTGCCGTTAGTGGTGCTATTACTGCTGCTGTTGCTGCTGCTGGTGTTGTTTCGTCGTGTCATCGCTCGGGCACCAGAATAATTACTGCCTCCACTACCGCTGCTGTTGCTGCTGCTGGTGGTATTACTGCTGCTGCTTCCGCTGCTGCCGTTACTGGTGCTATTACTGCTGCTGTTGCTGCTGCTGTTACTGCTGCTGTTGCTGCTGCTGGTGCTATTTGTTTCGATGCGTCATTCCTCGAGCACCAGAAGAGTTGCTGCCGCCACTACCACTGCCGCTGCCCCCGCTGCTGCTGTCACTGATATTACTGGTGGTATTACTGCTGCTGCTTCCGCTGCTGCTGTTACTGGTGGTACTACTACCGCTGCTGCTAGTGTTGTTTCGATGTGTCATTCCTCGCGCACCGGAAGAGTTACTGCCACTGCCACTACCGCCACTGCCGCTGCCGCCGCCACCGCTGCTGCTGTTGTTACTGGTACTGCTGCTGCTGCCACTGCTGCCAGTGCTACTGCCATTCACTCGCGGACTAATAGGTCGCTTGGAAGGATGAGCTGTTGAGTTGCTATCGTTTCCCCCACTACCGGTACTGCTACCGTCGCTGTTACCACTGTTGCCGCTACTGCTGCTGTTGCTGCCACTGTTATTGCCGCCAGCTTTCCATTTGAAAAGATTGCCAGCAGCAGGAGAAGAAGGGGGGGTACTTTTTGAGCCCCCAATCCCACTCCCACTCCCACCGTTCCCACTACCGCCTGTCCCACTCCCACTACCACCGCTCTTCATGCCGGTGCCGCCGCCGCCGCTGCTGCCGCCGCCGCCGCTGCTCGCACTGCCGCTGTTCCCGCCGCTGCTGCTGTTCGAGCCGCTGCTTCCGCTCCCGCTGCTAGGCGGGGGGCGGCGCGTCATGGAAGTCAGCGCCGGGGAAGACGGCGTGGAAGGCGGCGGGGATCGCGGCTTGGCGGGCTGACCGCCGTCATTACCGCTGATGGTAGTGTTCTTAGGGCCGCTACCAGGGTTGCTGGAGTTATTATCAGTGGTACTACTGCCGTTGCGGCCTTTAAAGCCCGACTCAGATGAGCGCAGCGATGTTGATGTGCTACGGCTTGATTCCCTTCCGCTGCCTCCGCCGCCGCCGCCGCCGCCGCCGCCGCCGCCGCCGCCGCCGCTGCCGCCGCCACTGCCACTTCCGCTGCCTCTGTCCCCGCTGCTGCCGCTGCCGCCGCCGCTTCCGCTGCGCCCGCTGCTGCCGCTGCCACTGCTACTGCCGCTGCTGCCACTGCTCCTGCTGCCGTCGCCGCTGCTGCTGCCGCTGCCGCCGCCGCCGCTGCTGCTCTTACTCGCGGAGCTGTTGCTGCCACTGGTATTAGAGCTAGCATCGCCGCTACTTCCGCTGGTATCAGAACCGGCGCGCACCTTAAACCCCCCCCATGACAGCACGGTAGCAGAGGATGGTGAGGCGGACGAAGGAGGGGAAGGGGGCGGAGACTTCGGCGAAGGGGAAGAGGGGGACGATTTTGGCGGAGGGGACGGGGGCGGAGACTTCAGCGGAGGGGAAGCTGGCTTTGGCGGAGGAGAGGGCGATTTGGATGGGGGCGGATTAGCGGGGGGAGAGCGCGAAGGTAGCGGTAGCAATGGGAGCGGTTTGGCGGAAAGTGAGGGGGGGGCGGGCGTTGGCGGAGAAAGGCTTGGGGGAGATTCGGCCTGCTTCCCCCCCACTCCCCCTCCACCGTCGTCCCCGGTGCCGCCATCGCTACTAGCCTCGCCGCCATTTGCGGCGGCTCCGCCACCACTGCTGCTATCACCGTCGACGTCCAGATCCCCGTAATCACCTGTTCCGCCCTCCCCGCCGTCATCCCCGGCAGGGCTTGGATCCTTGTCTGCGCTTCCCTCTCCGCCATCCCCGCCGTCATCCCCGCCGTTATCCTTGCCGTCTTGTCCGCCGTCATCCCCGCCGCTATTCGCGCCACTATCGCCGCCGCTACCCGCGGTCCCGTCTTCCTTCTGCTCGTTCTCTCCGTCGCCGTACTCGTCGCCGCCGCTTTCTACCGCGAGGTCTGGTCGCAGCTTGAACGGCGATCCCTTACGAACAGACTCGCCGTCGTGCGACAAGCCATGCGACGTTGTGCGACTGTCACCCGTCGCAGACGGGGTAGAGGCGATTTTGACCGCCCTGGTGCCGATGCTAACATCAGGCAGCTCGTTGGTTCTATCGTCTGTCGCATAGTCGTCGAGATAAGCGTTGAAACCGTTGCGGTTTTGGTATGAGTTGACCCCGTTGACTGCAGATGAAGGCGTTGACTCAGATTCGAGCAGCCCAAACTCGCTGAAACACGTGGCCGGCCGCAGGTTCCACGTCAGCAAGCATACAACCACGAAGGTAACTAGGCTATGTCGAAGCGTCGCGATTGGGCTGTGGGAAGATGAGTAACTAATTCGCGCTTCGTGGAGCCTAGGTCTGGTAGTTAAGCTGGTAAATTGTACTAAACGGTGCTCTGAGCTCTCTCTCCTTTGCCGAGCGAGAACTCTCATTGTGGTAATAAACTATGTCAAATAGACGCGCATGATTGACGGCCCGGAGATACCATGTACACTATCCGTGTGATTAAGTTCTGTTAGTCTCTGATACTAAACGTCATTTTAACACAAGTCGGGCTGTGTGCCAGTCTGGCATACAAAGAGCGGAAAGGTCGGGAAACGCGAAAGAGCCACAGTTGGGAGGCACGCTGCCGAGAGTGCGCCTTCTTGACTTATGTAAAGAAGAGAACATTCCAGACTTCTCGCCTATTGACTATCTTAGGAATCTCGCCTCTGATAATTCACTGCTCTTGCAGGCTTGGCTAGGACTGCAACCACGTGTGGACGGCGATTTCGATTTCAACGACGTGTGGACGAAACGCTTCGATGTACGGTTTCTCTGACAGGAGTAGGCGTGCGATGCATTTGGGGTTACAGCTAGGTGTTCTGCGAAACTGGATTGACGCGACTCGAAACGCCCTGGAAAACACATCAAGTCAAGAAGTCCACGGCACCACCCATTGCAATTTGCGTGCGGCGAATCGCGGTCCAAAGGGAGGGAAATATTTGAATTTGAGTTTGGCTTTCGTTGATGGTGTGCCGTACTTTCCCGCGCATACTGCCCGTTTTCGCGATGTTTGTTGGTTCCTGCGCTCCGAATGACGACGACGTGCGTCTCCGCGGGTAACTCAGCCTGTCGCGAATTCTCGTTATCGCTCACATTGCTAAGTGGGGTTTCGTCATTCTGATGGGCACTCATAAACTTTGTACAGTGCAGCATATACGGTAATATCAAATCAAGTTTCCAGGTTTATGGAATAACCATGAATGTTCCATGAAGGCTTAGAAAACCCTGGTCAACTTCCAACAACGAAATCCTAGTTCCTGGCCCCAAGTCCACTACTGGTGCTGAAAATGTTGATTGATCTGATCTACCAGTTCTGCGATCAAACTCAAGACTCCTGCCGCGAGGGCAGAGCTTCGGGGTGAGTCGAAGAGAAGGAGCATTGGGGGAGTAGAGGTGCAACGAGCCGTCACTGAACCTAACCCTAAGTGACGAAGGCTCCAGTGGCAAACTGAGAGAGAGAAGATTGCTCAACGGTTTATGGAAAGCAGGATTTTGAAGGCTGCAGGGACAGGGGGGCATGACAAAGCAGTAAGGGCAGTCAACAAACAGCAGATATTGCTCGTGATTGTTCATTTCAATAAACTTTGGAGTAAAAAACAAAAGGCGTTACCTTTCATTGAAGTCACCTTCAGACACAAGTGCTTTGACATGCACCGGAAACTTGTGGCACAAGAAACTGCACGCACAATGCAGGCACAGACAAGGATTGATGGTAAGGCTCTCACCGGTAAAACTAGGGAAAACTGCACGGTCCAGGTCAGGTCCAGAGGCCTAACTCCAGACAATCAATGTACACGAGCAGGACAACCCAGATAGACATGAAATTCCCGGCTGCTCGGTGTGAGTCAGCTGCTGAACTGAACCCTCCCTCCAGGCCGGCATACCCTACCTGCCAGACTGTGCCTGGCCCCTGGCGTCCACTGCAATGTTTGCTGCTGCCACGTGCACTGACGTCAGCCTCACACCCTGACAAGACATGTGATTGTAACAAGGGTTGACATAGGCAAGCACTGGTCAAGAAACCAGAGGTCATCCATAGTGTAGGTGTGCTGGTACAGGGCTTAAATGAATGAGCAGCGCTTAAAATAAATGCAGCACGTGTTAGCTGCAGCTGCAGACAGAACAGTCAGACGTTCCATACATGTAGTGTGAGTAATTATGCCGTTAGAATGGAAGATGGCACGGTAAACACATGGATGGATCGACGAGCGCACCCACCTTGTACACTGCCCCTCGCGCAGACAGATTGACTGCAACAATTCGCCCTGAAAGGAGCTCTCGGTTAGACCCTGATACAGTCACACTCAGATCGTCGCAGGACTCTAGCTGAACAATGGGTGGGTTGGGCGGAACGGGGAGTGGGGGAGGATGGGGGGGGAGAAGGGGAAGGGGGAAGGGCGCAGCGCATGTTGGGAGAAGAAGAGTCGGACACGCAACGAGCAGGGAAATGCTGCAGGCTTGGAATGGATGCTACGGGGATGGTGGCTTGGGGTCCGTTGATAGTGGACAGGACAAGTAAACGGAATATTGAATGGAATACTGAATGGCCTAGCATGCGCTTGGGATAAGTACTTTACTTGAGTATTCATTAGTGCCCAGAACCGAAGCTCATAGCTCCTCACAAAGCTCTATCGGTGCAGAGGGATCTGTGCGACATGGCGCGGACCTGGGATAGAAGAAACAGCTTCACGACTTGCGACAGCGCAGTGCCTACGAAGCTCGGGTTCCCTTTCGCCGACTCCCCCGCCTCCCCTTGTTGAACGCCCTCCGGCATGCCGCCGTCTGCGCTCCCCCTCCCGCCCGCGTGACTCCGCCAGTGCGTGGTGCGGCGCAGTGCGGTTGGAGGAGGCGGTCGCAGATCGTCACGCGGATAGAAACCGGTTATGGCGCTTTTCATAGCGTTCGCGAAATGCAGCGGTGCGCGAGCGGACTCGGAGCACAGTGGCGTCGACGGCGCGGTCGGCGCTCGCGACGTCGTCAGGCGATTTCGCACAGCTGCCGGCGACAGGCGATGAGACCCTGCGACTCTCCCGCTGCTCCCGCTGTTAGGACCGGAAGCGGGCCGGGCGGCGGCGGCGGCGGCGGCAGTGTTTGGGAATAACCGGCGTCGTAATAGACGGGATTGATTGCTATTGGATGAGTGAGGGTAGGTGAGAAGAGAGCGTGTAAGCCCAGGTCGAGCTGTGGAGAAGGATTGCGGAGAAAGAGAAATTACTGGCACTGGGCGGGGATGTGGACCCGCCAGGGCAGCAGAAGCGCCTGCCATGGATAGCGCGTTCGAGACCGGACTGGAGTTGGGGACAGATGAAGAGGAGGAACAGGAACGATTGGTAGGGGAGGCACCCTGAATGACAAATATGGTTAGACCTAGATACGACGTACGAGTGGCTTTAGCTGTTCACCAAGACGTTGCCGCTTAAGTAGGCAAATGAAGCTGATAGTAACGAGGAGGATGCGGATTTCCAGGGGATGGTGTGGTGTGGGTGCCTTCGCTGGTGCTGGGAGTACACAGCAACGCCAACGCGGGAGGGTGGTGGTGGTGGTCGAGGTGGTGTGGTGCGGTGGTGGTGGTCCTGTACTGGTGCGGTGCGGTGCCCTTCCAGCACAACCCCCCACCAGGGCTGTCGGTTGGTCATCAGAAGCCAACCCAGGGATTTCCCACTCTTCAGGTGGAGTACTTCTCAAACGAATTTCACAGGTTTGTGGATCGGGCTTCAAAATGAAGGAGGACTATTATTTTAATTGAGGTGTAATTTAACGGGTAATAATATGTGACGGGTAATCTTCTAAATGACTCCGTCATACTAAGGTTCTACTGTCAGAAATTGACTCCGTCATATTTTAATGACGATGTTTGTCGAACATTCGCTGATTGTTCAACACTCTCAAATTGCTTCTATTGAAACATTTACCTCTCTCAGGGATTTCCCACTCTTCAGTGAAGAATTTGTGGAGTACTTCACACACGAATCTCACAGGTTCGTGGATCAGGCAGGGTGGTGCTTCCAGCGGAATCAATGGCCGGGCACCAAAATGACGGAGGACTATGCTTTAAAAGGATGTGTAATTTAACGGGTAAATTAGGTGACGGGTAATATTATAAATGACTCCGCTATATTAGGGTTCGACTGTCAAAAACTGTGCTAAACGAGGTATTTCAATGACGGTGTTTGTCGACATTCAAAGATTCTTCCACACCCTTCAAATTGTTTCTATGATAGAATTCACCTCTCTCAGTGATTGCCCACACTTCTGTGACGTATTTGTGGAGGAGGACTTTACGAACGAATTTCACAGGTTCGTGGTTCGGGCACGGAATTATAGCCAAGAACCCCGTACTGTAATGACGCTGAGCAATGCTAAGAATTGCGATGTAATTTGCAGGGCTCAAAACGTGACGGGTAATCTTCTAAACGTTTCCGTTATAAAAAGGTTCTACTGTCGAGAACAAAGCAATACAAGGTATTATGATGACGGTGTCGGTGAAGATCCGAACTCCACACACTCAAATTGTTTCTTAGAATTTCGCCTCTCTCAGGGACTTCCATGACGTATTTGTGGACGAGCACTTAACAAACAAAACTCACATGTTCGTGGATCTTGGTGGTGCTTGCAGCGGAATCATAGCCAGGCCCCGTGAGGACGGTGGGCTATACTTTAAAAGGAGGTGCATTCGACAGGTAGAAATACGTAACGGGTAATCTTCTAAGCGACTCCGCTATACGAAGGCTCTAGTGTCAAAAACAAATCTATATCGAGGTATTTCAATGACGGTGTACCACGTTGTTCAGCGAAAAATTTAAGATCAAAAGACCTGGGATTCGAGGCGGAATGTTTTGTCAAAATACTCTTCCTAGAAAATTACAACAGACGAAATGAGCATATTACAGCTACAAAATACATCCGGGCTGGTAGAGACTTATGTAACATACCCTGAAAAAGTAATCCTGCCCCCACTGGCTCCCACCCCACCAAAGGGCTTTGTCATTTTTTTCACAGAAATCATTACATGCAACGCAACCCACCTGCTATACACGCGACTTGCCTGAGATACAGTACCGTGTGACTCCGCTTTGTGTCGGTCAACGTAGAAACTTGCTTGCTTGCCGCTTTCGGCTCCAGTGTTTGCGGGAAAGCTGCGTCCTACAGTTCATCGCAGTCAGCATGGGTGGGATGCAAAAAGTGCAGTTTGAAATGAAACGATTTTCCAGCCTGCTGTTTTCGGAAGCCCATTCCTTCATTCCCGCTGCTAGAATGGATCACTCCACTACGTGCACGCATTCTTGGCTGGTGTTAAATTTTCGGTCTTTCGAAAATTTCTGGTCATTCACTGGGTTGGCTTGGTGTGAGGGGACAAGCCGGTTCCTCCTTTTTGGATTGCATTGCGGTCGGTTTTCAAAAGTCCACACTCAGTACAGAACAGCACTGCGCAGCTGTCATACTCAGTGTACGTGTACACCCAGTCGATCGTCCTCATTTCCGCTTCCTTTCCGTGCCCGCGTGCCTACAGAACACCGCCGCCTCCTGCTTCACCACTCGTACAGTAGTAGTACAGTACCGTACGCCTCGCCTCTTCCCTCCCCTTCCTTGCGGCTAAGATTGTATTCCAACGCAGGGACACCATGCGAAGTTGGGACAATTTCCGTGTTGCATGGCTATTTCTCCTAGTTCAACGTGACCTACAAACGATGCTCTGAAAGTTGCAATTATAAAATAAACACACGAATTTCTTAGCAATGTCAGTACACCGCTCGTCTCAAGTGTCAGTCAGTTGAGTAAGTGCGGCTGAGTGAGTTCATCTGACTCGCATACTCCGCTCGTCACCCGACACATCGAGACTAGCTACTTCTGACGCAAGATTGGGCATGAGATGTTTTCCGGCCTTTCAAACTACGGGGTAACATCTGACGTAGACTTCCATTCGAAAGCAAAAAAAAAAAAAAAAAAACAACCAGGTGTCCCAACTTCGGACGGTGTCCCTACGTAGGAATACAATCTAACTCCCTGTCCTAGCCAACCGAAGGGCTACCGAAGAACTCTAGGGTTTGGTTTTACTTCTATGTTGACCAACGTACGGGCATTTGCGGCTGCTGGTGCACGCCACAGCGTGAACAATGCTCTTGTTAAACGTGCAACCGTGTTATATTAGCGTGAGGTTACGACATTGTCCTGAGAAGTGAAACGCGGAGATTATTTTTAGGGGAAATTTCAGGCGAACATTAAAACAAATCTCGGGCTTATGGATGGAAATGCCGGATTACCACAGCAGCAACAGGAATTCCTACTGGGAGCCCAACCTCGCTCGAGCGACAATACTCACGGCAGCAGCGCTGTCAACGGCGCGTTCTCCACCAATGGCGAGATGGCTGACAGTCCCTGGCCCGCTTCCGAGGGCTCTGGACACATTGCCGTCGACGTATCGGGTGCTACTACTAGCGACACCGGTAACGACCCGACGGGAGCGGCCGCGAGAATGGTTCCTGAGACTGTTGGGACGCGGAGGCTCGAGAAGGTGACTAGGGGAGGTACGACTAGCAGCAGCCGCAGTATCCGCAGCACCCGCAGCAGCGGTAGCAGCCGCAGCAGCAGGGAGGCCAGGAATGTAACTTTCGGAAGCGCGCGGAACGACGATCGGGAAACTCCGCGCTTGCGGCGAACGCAGCCGCGGGGGGGGGATGGCGGGGCCCTTGGCGGTCCCGGTCTCCGCATTCCCACACCAGCGCGCGATGGGGTTGGCTCCCTTCCCCGCACATGCATCACCACCCGCGTTCCGAAACGAGTGGCCAGCGCCGTAGTGGTAGTACTGGTAGAGTTTCGAGCCGCGTCCATCACTCGAAGCCCGACGGCAAGGGGAAAAACCGTGGTTGCGGTAGCTGTGTAGGTGCTTCCGCGCGGGAGGGCGCGCGGGGGGAGTTCGAAGAAGACGAGCGCGGGGAGGGGAGCTTTTCCGCCAGCGGCAAAATGACGCCGTCGCCACTGTCATCCTCCGCCCGTGCCGCCGTCCGCCGTGGCGCCGCGATAAACGGCGCGCCGAGGTCGCGGTGGCCGATGTGGGGCTGGGCGGCAGAGAGCGGCGCGAGAAGCGGCGGGAAATCCGCGGGGAGAGAAGCGGGTAGAACGGTCAGTGCGGAGAGCGAGGGGGAGCACGAGGAGGGGAGAGAGGAGGCGATGCGCGGGTGCGGCGGAGGGTGGGTGGGCGGGGGGTTGCTGGAGTGGAGCAGCAGGTCTAAGGTTTCCGCGTCCGTGCTGCGATCTGTTACGCGCCCGCTCGTGCGACTCAACAAGCGATGGCGACAGGTGAGCTCCATAATAATTCTCCTACCGGTACTCCGGCTGCTGTATTCCTAACATCGACGACAGCCTACCCGCAAAGGTCCCTTCCCTTTTGGGCATCTGCATTCCGCTTTCTTTCTCCCGCTTCCCCTTTTTTCCCCGGCCCTCCCCTTATTCTCCCCTTGCTTTCGCTCACGCTTCCGCTTCCGCTTCCGTTTCCGCTTCCGCTTCCGCTTCCGCACTCCTCCGCCCGTCAGCGCGTGGTGTGGCTATGGCTGCTCCTCGGGCTCGCGCTCACCGTCGGCGTGTTCGTAATCTCCGGAGTCAACAGCTTCCACGCGCGCTCCGTCTCCCTCCAGCGAATCTGCTTACAACACGCGACGTACTTCGAGAACCAGTTCAACACCACCAGCAGCAGCGCCGCGACGATCACGGACCTAATTAGAACCTATTACCTCGCGGGGGATTCTCACCAGAGTCTATTCGATCTCGCGACCTACC